CAAAACCCGGTTTAACTGCGGATTCGCAGTGCCCCCACATCATTGCTTTCATTGATTCACATCCCGATAAACGAGGGTAAGGGACCACACTAAGGGCCCACATGCCCATCTGACCACATGCCGCCCTGTAGGCTCCAAGTGTACCAAAGTGCCAAGAGCTGACAGCACTGAGCTGCCAGCAATTGGCATCGGGCAAACCCCAGGAATCTTCAATCTTCAATCTGGCTTATAAGTCTGAAGAATTCTTAAGAATGCTCAAGAAGTCTGGAAAGTTCACAAAAACGTAAGATCAAGCATAAAACTATGGATCTTGGGGGGGTACCGCATAACCGTATATATATATATATATCTACATAGACATAGACATAGACATAGACATAGACATAGACATAGACATATACATATGCATATGCATATACAGTATGTATATATGCTACATAGTTACAACATCAACGCTTGACAGATTGCAAGATTTTGTTTCCCGTGGGCGTGCGACTGACCCGGATGGCTATGCCTGCCTCCTGCTTTTGCCAGCATGTCAGCATGCTACTGGTTGGGTGGATAGGGCTTGGTCTAGGAACTCCAGAATTTGCAGACTCCCGTTGATTTTCATGCCAAACGTCGTCTGGGGTCCCTTAAATCCTCAATCCTAAGCGTTGAACCGACCCCAGATGCCACGTCCACTCCTGTGTCTGACAAAGGTGTTGCCTCCGACTTGACGGAGGCATCTGCACATGTCGTTGCCGTGAACCTCCATTTGTGCAGGAACGTGATCTCAATGGTGCTGCCTATTTTTAGGAGTGTACGGTCTGCTACAGCACTGCGTGTCAAGGTAGATGTATTCCGGACCGAACATGCTTGGCAGGTTCGACGCTTCGCGGCGACACTGGATGGCGGCAGCTGGAGCTGAGGATTACATTAGGCATGTATCAAAACCATACCTATTTTGTGGCCTGTGAGTGGAGTCGCAGTACGACCCTGATCAAATACACTTTGCAATCCTCAGCGGACGTCATCCACCGGAAAGAATTCAATTGCCCGTCCCATTGGTGCGGGTTGTGCCTAAGCCCTTGCGCAGGGAGGTTGGAGACTCGGATATGTTTGGAATTAGAGCGAGGGAAAGAGCAAGAAAATTCCAGAAGCCCCTGAACCCTAAACCTTAGACCCTATAGACGCTAGCCTCGAGGCTGCTACCGGCTTTTGGCACCTTTGTCACGTGCGTTGGTCTCAACGAAAAGCACTGCACTGCGCTGTGGCACTCCGAGGGTTTCAAATGCAGCTCATGGTTATGTAAGAGGTTCAGCTGAATTCGGGTCTCTTTCCCTTCGGGTCCCTTTCTTGTGGGAGCTCTCCGACTCGCTTGTCGTATCATCCTGAAAGTCTAGGCCCCCACCCACTTGGGCGTTAAAGGTCTTTTTGGCTCTGTTCTTACGGGCCGGACGGTTGGTCAGCTTCAGGTGCTTGCATACGCAGGGCTTTGGGGTTTGGGTTTTAGGGTTCAGGGCTTTTGGGGTTTCGGGTTCAGGGCTTTGGGGTTTCGGGCTTTCGGGCATGGGAGCTTTGGGGTTTTAGGATTTAAGGGTTTTGGGTCGAGGTTTGGGGCTGTAGGGTTTAGGCTCAGGGTTCAAGGTTTTGGGGTTTTGTTAGGGTCCAGGGCTGCTGTAGGGTTTGTGGCTTACGTCTTTAAGGGTTCGGGTTCAGGGTGACGGCATTCGAGGTAGTGGTTTTAGTTCACAGTCTCATGGAATGCGTGCCACAAGTCGACAAGTCAGGCCTTGCTTTCTTCCTACCCCTATCTTGTCAGGCCTTTTTTGCCTATCCTGTCAACGATCTGGAACACAGGCTGCATATATGAGGCCACGCTTTAAAACTGGGAGCGAGCCCTCAGCCCTAAACCCTGCATATCAGGGTATGCCTAGAGTGGCCTGTGCGCTTTCGTGGCAGACCGGTTTGGCAGTTAAGGGCTCCATGATGTCGAGCCTGCAGTGAAAGGCTTCAGGGGTTTAGGAAAGACGAGTCTTATCAGGCGCGAGACGAGTTCTGATAAAGCCCGTGTGGCCGGAGCAAGAATGCGCGCCCGCCAACTTGTCTCATCAAATGCAGTACGCTTGGAAAGCGCCCTAGACGTGCTGCATCGAAGCATGCCTGTACCATGAAGTGCCCGTGCCATGAATTACCATGAACCAGCAAGAGATAATTTCTCAGATCCAAGCCCTGAACTGACCACGGCTGGGTGGCACTTTAGATGATCTACTGCCACGATTGCGTAGCATGGAAGCCAGGGTCAGACTTAACGGGGGCTTCGCCCTAAACTCCCTAAACCCTTCGCCATCCCCAGCCCAGAAAATCATGCAGGGGGTAGCTCCAGAGTTGCGTTGTCGTGCAGTCACGTGGTGTGGGCAGGATTCATGCGGCCGCCTTGAACTATCGTGACTTTTTGCCTGAGTTTAGGACTGGAGTTTCGGGGGAAAAGAGGCGTTGAAGAAGCCCCGAACTTCCAATTGACTTCAAACATCTGGCCTTAAACCATCTCAAACCTCAACAGATCTCAACAGGGCCCTCGAAGTTGATGTTGGCTTCCGTGTAGCCTGGCACTAACAACGAGCTTGCGTGCGCCTGCGTGCGCCTGCGTGCGCCGGAGAACCGACGCCGTTGAGGAGTTCGGGGCTTCGGCGTTGAGGTTGGAGAATGCCGAGAGCGGAGTTCCCCTGGTCGTGTAGGATCCATGCTGGGGAGGTGCCAGCTGCGGCAGGTCCGGCCTCACAGCCGACTGCTTGGTTGTCCCAGTGCCATCAGCCCTTCAGCAGCAGGGACATTCGGCCTTCGACCTTGCTGACGCCGAGTCGAGTGGGGAACTCTCGATGGCACGTGCGCACGACAAAAAAAGCGCTGGACCTCTCAATGTTGCAGTGGTGCCCCCGGACAGAATCTAGGTGCTTCAGGGCGCTCACGGTTTTCTGGACAATTGCTATCCTGAGGTCTCCTCGCCAACTATTGCTATCATTGCTACTACGACAGTTGCTGCTTCTATCACGCTTACGACAATTATTGCTATGGTACGAATACTATTTCAATTTCTATTTCCATCACTCTCAATACTCGTACTCGTGCCCGTACCCGTACCCGTGCCCGTGCCCGTGCCCGTACTACTACTACTACTACTACTACTACTACTACTACTACTACTACTACTACTACTACTACTACTACTACTACTACTACTACTAGGTGTCGGTACCATTCGCGACGGATTCATTTTCTTCGATTCTCAGTGCTAAAACCTAGGTTTCGCGCACATTCCAGGCTCCAGTGCCCCTTTGTCTTTTCTTCTTTCTACATGTACCTGCACCGTACGCCTTGCCAGTTTGGGTTTGGGCTGTTAAACTGAAACATCGGTATTTACGACACTTCGTGGCTTTTTTGCAGAGCATCCATGTCCGCACGATGATAACGTCCGTGTTAGCAGCGCATCCATGTTGACACGATGATAACTGGTAACGTCCGTGTTACCAGAGCATCCATGTCCGCACGATGATAACGTCCGTGTTACCAGAGCATCCATGTCCGCGCGATGATAACGTTTGTGTGACCACTGCGTTCGCAATGGCCAGAGCATCCATGTCCTTACGATGATAACCTCCATGCAAAAACATCGGTATTTGCGACACTTCGTGGCTTCATGGCTTGCGAATGGCCAGAGCATCCATGTCCGCACGACGATAACGTCCCTGTTACCGGAGCATTTATGTCCGCACGATGATAACGTCCGCGTTACCAGAGCATCCATGTCCGCTTGAGCCCAGCACTCAAGTCCGCTCAGTGTCTTCCATGTCAAAAAAAACAAGATAAGACAAACCCTGCCAATCACCTGCCATCAGCTGAAAATTGAAAACACTGTAAATCGCATGCATTTCCTGCCAGTCCTGCGCAAGCACCACACCGTCGCGTACGTAACCAGCGCGTACTACTACTACTACTACTACTACTACTACTACTACTACTACTACTACTACTACTACTACTACTACTACTACTACTACTACTACTGCTACTACTACTACTACTACTACTACTACTACTACTACTACTACTACTACTACTACTACTACTACTACTACTACTGTTCAACGCTGCACCTGAACTCTAGAGTAACAAACAGGCTTCTCGAAGGCATCTGTTTTGTCAACAAAAGATATAGAGGAAATCGAGTCTTCTAGGAAAATCCACGTATAGTCACCAACAAAAATCCACCCCATGGTCTGCAGGGTGTCGGCCGTGCGGGCTGCGCGAGATGCTCTTTATATGTGACGTGTTACTTTGGAGCTTGATTGCTGGTGCAAGCATCGCTAACTACATGGCATGTATAATTGGCAGAGAGGGCTGCAGGAAATACCTATTGCCTTCTAGTAATACTCTTGACAATCGCCGACTCGCACTGAATTTCACAGTTTTCCTTTTTCGCAGATGCGGTTTCGATCCAAGCGTCTACGTCTACTGGCGCATGTGTTTAACCAGCTTCGTGCAGGGTGCTGTCGAGACAGTGGAGTTGTTGTCTGCATGCGCACTTGTTTTGCAACAGAGTCCACAGACCAACCGCGCCACTCGTGTGAGAAGAAAAAGCATATTAGGAGGGTTTAGAGTGTTGTGTGCGTTGAAACACGTTTGTTCGTGTTGAAGTTCCATCTGCAGCCACGACATTCCAAGACGCAAGTCCTTCCGAAATCCAAACCCCACCTCACTTGTTAACGCCTGTAGGCCAATTAGATTCAGATAGGTTCGGTCATCAGAAAGATTCTGAAAGCCTCATGCCCAGTTTCGACATGTACAGACGCGAGCGTTTTATGTAACAAATCGGAAGAGAACCTCTTGCACCTCACGACAATTCATGCGGATATCATGAACCGAAGCTCCCGACGCCCGTGTTTTCTTTGCTAGACCCCACGCCCTGAAAGTTCGCACCTCCACCCGAAACATCCTCGGAAAGATGGGCTCCTTGGGCCATGATCTCCTCGGCACTTCGCCACCACGGATTGCCAGATGCCGGGCCCCCCCAGGCCGATGCTTGATCAGGACTAGGTACACGTCCAATGGCTCACGAGCCGGGCAAGCTTAGGAGGCCTGTTGCATTGCGTCGCGAGTTATTTGGTTTGTTTAGGCATCTTGAATTTCGATTCAGGGCTTCGGACACGGGGCGCGTTGACCTGATGTTTGCATACAGATTGTTTCGTGTTGTTTAAAGATTGTTGCAAATATGTGGTAGTTGCATGGCTCATTTTTTCTCAGCATTGTCCCCACATGGCAGCCCACGTTGGCAAGCTTTGTCTCGCTTTCTGTTGGTGCTTCTTCTATGCAACTTCATTGTGGTCTTACTACTCGATACAGTCGTAGATCTCAAGTACTTCTACACCTGATTGGAAGCTACATTTCCTAAACTATTCGACGTCGTGAGACACGAGCCCCGGAGAACAAGACGTCCGAAACTGATCGAAACCCTCAGCCCTAGCAAGATGAAAAGGTGCGAGATCCCTGGAACCGTCCACCAGGGCGGCATGGACGGGGCCTTGCTCTCAGGAAAGGTTCAGGCTTCGACGGCTCTGGATTGGTGTGGAAATCCCATGCAGCCCTCGAGGGTTGAGAGGAGTAGGGTGTTGTGATTGAGTGCAGGTCCGGAAGCACGCATGCTTTCGGTAAGCCGAAGACAAGGGCCCATACAAAAAACCTACCGTTCAATGAATACCTGAACCCCAACCCACCCGCCTTGTCCACCTTGAGATCCTCGTGGCGCTGGGCGGCCCGTTGCTGGACTGGACGACTGGGTCTCCCAGCTCCGCCTCGAGGAACCGGAGAGACATGCAGAGGGAAACGAGAGAGCGCAAAGGGGCGCAAAGCTCGGCCATGGGTATGTAGACTCCAGATACCCAACCCCCAATGGAATGACCCTGAGCTTTCAGCCAAGAGGGTCACCGTGCTGGGATCGTCACGTGGGCTGCGGAGATGGGGGCTGCTTCTCTCAAGGAGCCCCCTCCAAGCCCCATGGAGGTTTGAACTGTTGAAGTGTTAGGATCTGCTGGGAGGCAACTTGAGGGCCATCTGGTGTGAAACGATTTCGAGTAGAACTTGGAAACTTGAGGCTAGGTTGACGGTGAAGAGCCAAGAGACGACCACGCGAACCCGGTTGAGTCGGAAAACACCAAACATGCTCCCTACGTGAGTTTCCGATCCAAAAAGGGCCACCGGGCTTTTTTAACCATCCAACGCAGCCTGCCCAAGTTGGTGAGGAGCTGGCCGAGCACTGCGAGGAGCTCGCCGAAGCACTGCCGCTGAAGCCCTTGGAAGCCCGAAGGCGCCCCGGTGGATCTCAGGGTCCGGGCTTGACGGCTCCTTGACGGCTCCTTGACGGCTCCTTGACGGCTTCTTGACGGCGTCAGGTTGAGGATGTTAAGAGGGCGGAGGGAGGTTTGGGGCTTCATAGTGAGAGAGTTGTGCTTCAGAGGGTGGCACGCCCCTATGATGACCGTTTTGAGCTGCTACCATGTGCTTGTCCTTATCCTTTTCAGTCCAGCACATGGCTCAAGGGGATCCCTGGCAGGGAATCACCGATGGCCAAGGCCCTAGGCCAAAACCGTGAAAACCGAAGCGCGTTGGGGTTTGTATGGCCCGAATGAAGCCCATTGATGTCCAGGAACTCTCAACTCTTCAGTCGCAGGGCCTCGTCGAATCTCCCTGTGCCAAATGATAAAAACGATTTTCTCAAAGGCGTGAAAAGCTTGCCAGGTTGCAGCGGGAGGGCGTTGCAGCTGCCGAGCGCATAGTGCCTCAGCTCAAAGAGGGCATAGAAGGAGCGGCCAAGAGAGCCTGTGGCTTGGGGCCCTAGTTGGCCCCAGTTGGCGTCTTTGCGCACGCCTCTCGGGGTTTCATCACCCAAGCTGCGGGTGGTACCATGCGGCGGATTTTCAGAATTGGGATTGGGCCTTCAGGGCTACGCAACTTTCTATGAGAGCCCAGGCCGGCGCATCCGGGTCCCAGCGTCCCTCAGACCCACGGCCGGAGGCGGACCCGTGGGCGGAGTCGGACCCATGGTCGGAGGCAGCTGCAGGCCCAAGATTCCGCGTTGCAGGGTGTAGCTCTTGAATGTCCCTCTCCCCCCAAAAAAATTCCCGACCTCGCAAGAAACACCCCTACACACCTGGAGTTGCCCTGCCGGACATCCGGATGTCGGGGGGGGGGGGGGGGGGGGGGGAAAGCGTCCGTTTGGGGTCGAGGGCAAAAGGGTTCTGTTGGGTTTGGGTTTCGGCCTTCAGGTTTGGCGCAGCACCGGGCCCCTTGAGCCAAGCGGGCCTCATCTGGTAATCGTCATACATGTCTAAGAAGACCCATCACGGGGGTCGCAGCCATTCCGAAGCCTGAAATGCTGAGCATATGGCAGGCTTAGCCGAAGCTTCCGATCGGCGAATCACAGCAAAGGCAGGAGGATACTCGGACTGGCAGCAGTGCTGCTGAAGCTAGAGTTGCTGTGTGCTACGGCCTGCAAGATGAGGGAGAGCTCGGAAAGTTCCATCATTGAGCGTTCAGGAAGGTTGTGGGATTCTTGGAGTTCCCATCTCCCAGAATGTCCTACAGAGTCTGTGAAATTGCTTAGGTCAAGGGAAGTTAAGGGTGCGAATGGGGATATGATGATGGTGAGGGGGACAACGGTGATGATGAATAGATTGTGTGTAGGGCACGCCTGCAAACAGCCAGACCTACGCTTGGGTTCCCCAGAACCCTGAACCCCAAAGCCCACCAACCCATTCAGATCCCTGTTCCCTTGCCTGCTGTTATCAGGTAGAGTTCCTGCATATGTGTGTGTGTGGCCTCAGTTTCAGCAGTGCAAGAGATGTGTCGCAGCCAGGCTCCGCGAGCCACGCCGAATGGCAAGGGCAAGCCGGGCAGCGAATTCTGTGTTTCACTGGTACTCAGTAGAACGTGAGGAGTTTTACTTATGCTCGCATGACCATCTTGATTGGGATGTATAAGCATCTATTTTCCACCGCAAGCAAGTGATCCGCTTGTCTGTGCCCCTCAAGGGCAGACTTGCTGAGGTTAGGGGGAAGATGCTCAGCACGTGCCGATTGCTTCGACTCTGGTCTAATGTCTTTGCCCCTCTACTTTTTCATCCCTGAAGAAGAGTTTAATCTCTTCGAAGAGCCAGTGCTTGCGCTTGCACATTGGCAGGCGGTGGCTCTGCTTCGAGTGTCCAGGTGGGAAGCAAAGAGATGATGTTGGAGTTGCTGTCTAGATGTGTCTGGGCGAGTGTAGTCTCACGTGTGGGGGTACAGCGGTACGCGTCCCCCAAGAATCACAACATGGAAATATGAATGGCGCCAGCAGAAGCATCTCGAATCTTGGAATGGATCATTTGAAGGCCGAGTCAAGTCATCCACGACGGAGTTGTTTTGTCATGTCCAGTTTCTCACAGGGCAACTCAAAACCTCCGGCAAGAACCAGTTATACAAAACCCTAAAAGCCTCCCGAAAGGCCGCCGCCAAAAGCCGTCCGCCTGAGGAGGAAGAGGCTGGTGCCGCAGTTCGGTTTCAGTTGACGGATTTGATTTACCGGGTATACCAGCACTAAGCTTCGGTTGTGCAGCTGAACACGTGGAAAGCTAAAGCGCGCCCTGCCGGACCCTGCTTAGTCCATCTTAGTCCGATGTAGGTGAGTTGGCGGAGGATGGGTCAGGAATGTTGGCTTTCCGTTTGGTTGCCTCCTGCCTTGGCGCAGCCTAGGGAAGATGCCCGAAAACCAGCGAATGCGCCGAAGCCGAACCTTTCATGTCCTCAAGCGCAGCTCCCCCCAAATTCTCACGAGGGCTTTCGCTTTCCGTTGGGAGCTGCTCCAGGAGCCGTGGTGGCAGGCCCGTGCCGAAGCCCTCGCGGAAGCCCCGGAGGCACCTCCAACAGCGGGTTCCACGGTGTAAAAGAAGAAAGGGCTTAGGCAAGTTTAGCGGTGCTCTGTAGAGACTCACAGACAATGGATCGCTTTCTCGGCACGGCGGGCACGTGCCCCGGCTTCGCCGGGGCCCTGTCTTGTAAAACATACCCCCCCGCCTGCTGCCTTTAAAGCGCCAACTACTTGAGCCCTAAGCGCGCTGGAAGCTCTTAACGCGAGTAACCTTCAATCCCATGAAGAAGTCTGTTTCAGCTTTCTGCTAGGAGCCTTGGTTTCCGCCTCCCGCGGCGGAGGAGCCAACCTGGGAGGCGCAGTGCCCGTGAAGTTGTGCGAAGTTGTTGGGGGTTGCAGGGGTGTTAAGGGGAAGTCACATACACCATGCATCAAGCACCTGTCACACTCAGCTCCACCTCAAGCCTGTGCCGACCAAGAAGCACAACCGCGCCACTGGCTCGTTGAACGCACTCGCTGAACGCCATGTTTAAAGTCGCGGGCCTTGCAAGCCCTGAGGTTTTCATCAGTCTTGCACCCGAGAGCCCTCATAAAAGAGCTGCCCCATTGAACAACACAAAATCCTTATCGAAACCCCGAGCCCTTGATCACAGATCCCGGCGCCTTCGGTGGCCACCGGGCGATCGGGGTGGCGTGCCCCGACACGTGCAGAGCCGAAGGCAGAGAGGCGCCATCCGGGACAACTTAGGGCTTGGGTCTGCTTGGGTCTTCGGCTGGGAGTCTGGTGTCATTGTTGCAAGGCTGGAGAGGCTCACCAAACCAGCAACGCCTTGAAACTTCCCCGAAACCCGCCAAGAGGGTTAGTTTGAAAACAGGCCTGGGGTGCTGGCTGCGCACCTCGCGGTGGACCCGGCGGTCGGCGCCGGCGTTTCGCGGGCACCCTATGATGGGCTTGTCTGTTCTTGAAGGTTTGGGGCTTGGGGCTTGGCGTAGTGGCTCAGGGCTTGTTTCCTTCTGCGCTGAACATATCGACTCGGTTTTGCCTTCAAAGGAGCCTATACTATAGGGCCTATACTGTACCCCTGGCCAGCCCAGGCTGCTCTGGTGCGCCCGAGAGGGTTACCGAGTCCAGGACATTGAGGCAGATGCCTGAAACCCATACGCCTTAACAGGGCTAGGCTCCGTACTATAGCCAGGCAAAGGACCATCATGGTGCGGGACTCCTGCATGCGTTAATGAAAGGAGTGGTCTTCTTTTGGAATCACCTTATACACCGAGAAAACACACGGAGCACAACAAGCAACAAAAGAAGCCATCCTGGTTCTGAGAAGGATTTGCTCTTGTTGGGTTTTAATGCGACATATTATCCTCACCACATCTTCCGCCCTCGCGCCACGCTTCCTCGCCCTCTTCACAGGCATTCCTGGCTTGCGTCTATAAGCGAGCTGCAAGGGTTTTAAAGACATGTCTGTTGGGTCGCCGGCCCGGCCCTGGTTCCTGAGATCGACAATACAACTGAGGGAAATAAGGCGTGGCCTGCGGATGCACTCGGCGGCTTCCACAGCGGCAAAGCGCACACGCTAGCAAGTCGCAGCAGACAGATGATCATGTATGATGAACTTGTTCAGCTACAGTAAGTAGATTTCCGAGCGTCGTCGTCAATTTCCCGGTCTTGGGGTCTGTCCGTTGTGCAAGACTTCAATTACGCGCTCTCGTTCTCTACGCCTAAGCCCTGCAAGCCTACGTCGCTCTTGGTTGAGAGTTGTTGCTACAGCTGGTTGAGCGTTGTTGGAGGAGTTTCCGGGACAGCCGGAACTGCAGGTCGGAGACTTGATCCGCCGAATAGGCCAGGGGAGACGGGGAACCCTCAAGCCAAACTAATATGCCGGCACGGAGCCTGTCAGAATGTGCTGGCTCTCAAATCATGCCCAGGCCTTTCTCAAGATTTTTTGAAGTCCTACTTCTTCAGACAGAGTGGAGCCGAGTGCTCTTACGTCAAAAGGGCCTTTCTAAGCGACCGTCTTCAGCAAACCCACAGGGGTTGTAGCTGCAAGAGGCCTTCCTCAGCAGAGAGCCGGCAGCTTTCGTTCAAATGCGGCATTGCAAAAGGCACAAAAGTGTCCCAAAGGGTCCCAAAGCACGGCAGGCCCCCTGACCCTCCACGATGCCGGCACGGTGGAAGAAGCGGCCCGAACCCAAGCGAATCCCCGGCTTTCGCGCGCGCAAAAGGGGCCTGGCCCGACTGAGAGCATGTGCCAGCACACTGCAAGGAGCGGCGCTTCTCCACACACTTTGCCGACGGCGCCCCGCTCGAGGCATCTGAGCCCCGAGACCCCAACGAGGAGTTCGGGTTGAAGGACAGCACTCTAGGGCTTTGGGCAAGGAACCGAGGCCTGAGAGTGAGAATCTCAAAGGTTTGGTTTGGGAGGAGTGACGAAGTCGGAAAGAACGTCCTTGGTATGCTTGTGACAACCAATGTTTTGCACCTTTGAACGCGGCACACTTCGCACTACTCGGTACCCTTCTTTGCATTCTGAGTGTAGCCTCATGCTGTGCATTTCAGGTGCGTAGTCGAGGTTACACATCTTCGTATTCCCTATTCCAATGCTCCAATGCTCAGGGCCTGGCTTGTACAATCCTCAGGCTTCGGCTTTTTGAGGGTTTTGGGAGTTGGGTGAGGTTGAGTCAGGTTGAGTCAGGTTGAGCGTGCTCACTTCACCGTGGTCCTTCGTGTCGGGCCCTCGGGGCTCCCGTCCTTGCCGGGTTGCTTCTTCCGAAAGTCTCCACCACGGCGAGCTGAAACTCTACATACCGTCTGTACCTGAACTGTGAAACTGATCTCACGTGATATTAATGTGATACTATGTGATACTATGTGATACTGGGTCAGCAGCCCAGAACCTCTGGCTCCTGCGCCCCGCACGCTAAAGCATGAACCCAGCACCTGAAAGGAACCTGGAAGACGAACCCGGCAAGCCCCCCCCTCCCCAGCAAGCTCCATGTATATGATTTTTTCAAGTTGCGCAACTTAGATACCCTAAAGACGTCCTGGACAAGCCCTTGCCTACTCACCACTCAAGGTGCGCCCAAAGCTTGGCGCCGGGCTTTCCCTCGCCGAGCGCCCCAGCAACCTGTTGATGCGTGTTCTCACGGTGTTTTCCTCCTCGACCAGTGGCCAACAGGCATCATGGGGCCATTCTCCTATTTTCCACCCCGGAGCCGAGGTGTGGTTTCCGCCCGAGGGGTACTTGGTGGAGGCACAAAGCCGTTTCCAGGAGGTGTGATGCGTTGATGCCCAGTTGTATCACCCATGCCATCCTCGCGCCCGGCGGCGCTTTGGTTTGGGAGCGCCCAAGTGAGGCAAGATAAGCTTCAGGTGTTGGGCCGGATTTCGGGATGCTGGTCTTCAGGGAAGAGCTTGCGGAGTGGCTCCCCCGCTACCGCCCCTACCCTTCGCCAACCACTTGGGACGGAGAAGTGAATGGCTTGAATAACCTTCTACCCTTGGCTGCCCTGCTGTTGTGGAGGCCATCGAAGACATCCCGGGTCAGCCGGGCTTGAGGCAACTGCATTTTGGGGAAGTCTCGGGAGTTTATGCTGCTTGGGGTGGACGCGCTGAACAACAGAAGCTTGCCAACCCAACCGAGCATCAGCCTTCAAACCAACAGGCTCAGGGTCCAGGTTCATGCTTTTCAGATTGAGATCCTCTTTAGGCCTATGATTATACACTTAAGTGGTTCAATTCACACCATGATTATACGCTTAAGCGGTCCATGACTTCACCAGTAGGAGGTGTGGGCTACATTCTTAACCGGCATCCATTATAGAACTATAGTGTTCGAAACCCATTTGTCTTCAACCCTGTAGTCTACAACCGCCTACAAGACTGGCAATCCTCCCGTCAATGAAACTGCGCAATGACGAGAATGATGACCCTCGCAGCCTAATCATTGAGACGATGCGTGTGCCGGGCACCTTTGAAGGGATGCAGTCCATAGTTATGCTCTGTGTGTGTGTGTGTGTCCAGCATTGCGGCATTGCTTGTGATCTGGGTGAATCCGAAGTTCGGAGGGTTGACCAGTAAAGTTTGGGACTTCAAGCTACAACCATGGGAAAGGTATTGAATAACACAGCAGGAAGAACAATCACCTTGAGAGCGGTTTTGAGTGCAGATACCGTGACAGATGAATAGGGCCATCAGCAGAGATCCTGCGATATGCAAGAGCTTCTTGGCCATTCCTCCAGGGATAACCTGGACTCTTTGCCTGTTTTGACCAACCCCCTTCGTCTGACGTCACCATGCTCACTTTTGCTCATTGCTCTTAACAACCTGAGAACGATGTCTGCCTCAACCCTCTCAAGGCTTCAAACCTCTTGACCTAAGCACAGCATCATGAACTGTTCTTGGGAGCTTACTGGATGGCAACCTCCGCCTAATCCGGGTGCAGCACCGTGATGGGTTGCGCTTTTTTTTCGGATACCAGAAAGGACAGGATCCCTTCACTAGGCGCTGTGTGCGACTCTGCACTCTGCACGATTCTGTGCTAGGAGTGGTGATGTGCCAGAGCCCTGGTTCTTGGCTTCAACCGGCCCCAAAACCATCATCCTGTGCCAGCTGAACATCCCGCGCAGCGAAAGCCAAATCCTAAACTCAAAAACTCCCTAAGCCCCCCAAAAAACATGGAAGCTCGCAGCCTGTCCGAGGCTCCGGAGAGTGGGCGCGGCTGCGCTGGGCGTGGTGGCCCGGAGGTCTTTGCTTCGGGTCATGTCCTTTTTTGGTGGGGGTTTGAGTTTTCAGGGATGAGGGGATATTCTGGATGGAACGTGCCAGTTCTGGCATGAACCATGACAGCAGTGATCCTGGGAAAGCTTGGGGTCGGGGTGGCAGGCAAGTCTAAGCCTCTGAAAGGCCCAAGTAGCCAGAGAACCACCTCGATCGTACTCCCAACAAGGGATCTTACAGCTCAACAGCCCCTGATTCCACCACCACCCTACTCTTTCCTCAAGTCCCTCGTGTCAAGTTATGGGCTTGTTGGCTCTTGTCTCTAAGTTGACAAAACAGTTCGAATCTTACCCTGAACCCTCAAGCCCGAAGCCTTTTTTTCCATCCTACCCAGGCAAGAAGCCCACATCTGACCACTGAGGTGGCCTCGGCAGCCAAAGTGCCGCCGACCGTGCCCTGGCGGGGGCCCTGAAGGCCAAGTTGGGGCCTTCAGAGTTTTGTTGCCGGTCTGTCTCAGCTTCAGTGTGCCCCAACGCTGGCCAGGATGGCGTCCTGGGGCGAGTGTACAGGCTCCCTGGGCTTTGCTTTGGGTCTCAGCCAAGCTTGTCAAAACCGCACGTCTTCGAAGCAAGGTCAGAAATGGTAGCCAGGGCTGTACGCCAAGCCGAAGATTTGCAGCGAGCGTTCCGCAGTCGGGGCTTTGTGCATTAGAGCGGGCTGCGTTGGGGTGTGGGAGAGCTTCAAGTTTGTTTTTCCCCCGTACAATGCAATGCAAAGCTTTTGACAGTTTGACAACTAGTGAAGGGTATAGTCAGCGGTTGCATTGGCAGGAGCCGCACATTGCCGTTGCCTCCATGAGTTATAAACTCAGCGATTGTGAGAAGGATGTCTTCCATCCTTGAAGCCCAAAAAATCAAGAATCTTTCATCTTCAGCCCCAGCAAAAAAAATCTCAACCACTGGAACGAAGGCCGCGCTGCGATGCAGCAGCAGGCGACCTGGTAGCGGCTCGAACTGCAGCTTCGCCGCTGCAGCGGCCCCGGCTGAGGGAAGAGGGTGCGTGAGGGGAGTCTGTGACCCAAGTGTGAACAAGTACAGAGTGCATGAAGGAGTCTATGACCCAAATGTGAACAAGTACAGAGCAGCTCTGCTACGTTCATCTGCCGTGACCTAGTGCCGCAATGGTTTCCAAATTCCACATCGACTTCGCGCGCTGTTTGCCGAAGCGAAGTCTTTTTTAAGCAGCAAGCAGAGCAAGAACCCCGATGCCACAAGCCAATCTTTGCCACAGTCGAAATGCTTGTTTCTCAGTAAGCAGATCGTGGGAACCCACCCTGATTCCTTTGCTGTGATTTGCTGAAATTTGAACGGGCAATCCGGTGTTGCCTTGCGCTGAGGTGGCTTCCATCCGTGGGTGCCGCGGAGCCCAGAGATTCTCGGGATGGTTCAAGGCTCCGCTCAGGACCTCATAGCACAGGAGCTGCTTCCGTGGTCGTGGCCATTTTTTGTCGACATCCGTAGAAGGAGTGTTATGGTTCAGAGTTGGGAGCCTGGCGGCGCCATCCATCTTCAAGGTAGTTCTTACACACCGTGTGCGCCGTGAATCAAGTCTGGGAGCACCTGGCGGCTTTCGAACTCACGGTGTCTATCTTCAACGCGGTTGCCATAGTTTCTTCCAAGATCCTCAGGAATCATGTGAGTCAGGATGACGGTAAAACGTTCGTTTAAGTCCCACATCCTGAAGCCCCAACGCTCTCGCCTTGAATCCCTGGAGCGCCACAACCTCAAAGCCGCAATTCCACACCGTAGCCCACAACAACTTGTTTATACCGGAGAGCTTAACCCCAGGTGGGTACTTGGTCCTGGGGCAACGAGTCCTTCGGTCGGGCTCTCGGAGGAAATTTGAGGCTTTGGTTAGGTGGTGTAGGGGACGGGGCTTAGGGGATTCACTCGTTGTGTCGAGTCTGAGTCACCCCAATCCTCAATCCCCAATTCTCAATACAGTACCTCCACCTTGGTAGGAGGGCCATGTGAAAACCGTTGAAAACCTCCCCAGAACCAGGAGCGGTGGCTTCTTGTTTAGCTCTCGTCTCGTCTCTCTCCCTCTCTCTCTCTCTCTTGACGTCTTTTGCCCCATTCTCGGGTTGTTGCTCGTTTCCTCGCCTCCTCGGTTCCTGGACTGCCCCCCCTCCCCCCCCCCCCCCCCCCTCCAAGAAAACAATAAAACTTGCGGAGAACCTGCCGAGCAAATCTGAAATGTCGTTCTGCAGAGAAGCCTGGAGCACAAGCCCGGATGAAGTAAATAATTGCCATGTTGTCTGGAGAGCTGTTCGCCAAGGTCGTTGGAACCCGACTCTAAGCAAAGGGAGTAGATTGGGTTTGGGTTGAGGGAGCTCTGCCCAAGAGCGTGGCAAGTCACTGCGGAATTGGCCTGGCGTTTAGGCTTGGGGCTTCAAGTCAGACGATGTTCTCGCGCAGGCCACCAACACGTGGCACCTGGCTCCCCAGCTGCCAAGGCGGCTGGCACACAAAATAGCGCGGACATGAGCGCAGAGGAACTTAAGAATTGCAAACGTCTTCCGGTGTAACAGGATCTGAGGCCGATCATTTCGGGCCAGTGGGTCGGACTTTGCTTCGTTGAGAGAAGCATGGCCGCTGTTGCTGTCTCACGCCCGAAAGACGTGCCTCTTCGTCCTTTCTCCCGTGCCGTCTGTGTGGTGACCTTCAATCTCCAAAAGTGAAAAAAGAGCTCAGAGACTTGCATAAAATACAAAGCGCTTTAGAAACGAACGAGAGGAGGCAGCTGCCAGCACTTTCAAGGCGGCGACCGGCGCGGAGCCTCAGCTGAGGGCCCTGAGAGCGAGGCGTTTTTGCTGGGAAGGGGTGGAGATGCTTTTCTTGAAAGATACAGAGGCCACTCCCCACGGCCACCTTCCCAGCGCTTCACATGGTGGTTCGGTGGCGTCAGGGTTTGCTTCCGGGTCTGTAGGGTATGGGCTCGAGACTGCCGAGGGCTTTGAAGGCTGTAGGGTCTGGGGAAACGGGCCGAAAGATTAGATTCCGAGCTTGTTGCACGGGCGAACCACAGGTGAGTTGCGAAGGGCGCTTCAAGCCTCAAGCCCCCACCCGCAAGCCCAGGTCAGGCTTGTTGGGAGGCCTGTTTTTTAGAGAGTCCAAGTGTTGAGGCCTTGGCAGCTATTTCTTCGACTCGGCGCCAACTTATGGGCGAGGCGACCTGGCCTGAACCTTGAAGCCCGACGCCTCTTGGCTGTAAGCTCCGATGCGAGATCCTCCGCCCCCTATACTCTCTACCCAAGTCTGCGCCCGAAATATCCCTCCAGGTTTGGGCGTGTATTGGAGGGGGGGTCCGGAGGGGGGATCCAATACATATCCTAATGGGTTTCCTAGGGAGAGCAGGAAGGGAAATGTATTGAAGGGTCTCCTGTCAGATGCCATTAAAGCTTGCTGCAGCACAGCAACACCAAAGAAGTTATGGCCATGCTTCTTGTCGCTTCGGTTGCGCCTCTTGCGTGTGATTTGCCTGCTACCTGACACATCCCCCCCTCCCCCTCCCCCAATACATTAGCAACAGGGTCGTAATGTATTCTAGCCCTCCCCCCTCCCCTTAGGCAGCTGTAGGGAGGGATCCCGAAATCATGAACCTGGAGCGTTCTGGCTTTGAAAGTTGAGGTGGCGAAGGGTCCTACTGTCAGTCCCAGGTGTAGCGGAGAATCTTAACCAATCAGAGGGTCCTCAAACCACCAAACTGCTGGAACCCCATGAGGGCTTTGTAAAATGCATCTCTCAAGCTGAGAACACCATGCTTAGGGCTGACCTGGTTTTCGTAGGTGCCCACCTTGTTTTCGTAGGTGCTTGGTATGAGTAGTCAGGGGGGCAGCCAAGCCACGACCGCGCCTCGTCGTCGTGGACGTCTTGGGGGGTGTAAAATCTTTTCTCTCAAACCTCCCTCCATTTAAGAAACCCTCGTCACGCAAAACAGGCCAAAAGAAACTGGTGCGCCTCCTCCTGCTGGCACGGACATGCTCGACGACGAAGCGCGCACACCACCGATGAGAACGCGTGCGCGCCTCCAGGACGCAAGCAAGCGACTGCAACTGCTGTAGCTCGCGAAAAGGAGAGCCAAGCCACGAGCGATGCATCCACCACCGACCCCATCCCTTCCCACCTCTGGCACTCCGAGGACCAAGGAACAAACGGGCCTCCGGCAACCACATCACAGGACCACGAGGAAAACATCACCAAAAGGCGGGTTCACAGCAAAATAGGAGGCAGCAAAGACCCGACATGCGGCGGAACCGCGCAAAAGAGAAACACAAAGGAGACGCAACCCGAGGGCTCAGCATGGAACCGACCAACACGAGGTGCCATCCAGCAATTCGAGACTCCAGCCAGCTAAAAAAGGGCCCAGAGCGACGATCGCCCCCTGGCCGGACCATGTCGCCCGAGAACCGCAGCGAAGCAAGACGCACGACAGGACGACCGCGCTTCGCAGCCGCCGCGAAGGACGGACCTCCAAGCGATCAGCCCGCCGCAGTCGAACCCGGCAAGCCCGACGGCCCAGAACATGGCACTGGCGTTCGAAGCATACGCAGTTACGCTGGAAGCTTCGGTGACCAGCAGGCTCCGGCTCTACGCTTGCCAACACGAGTGCCCGAGCGAAAAGGAACTCCGAGCCAGGGTACACAAAACCGCCCAGCTGCGTTGTATCTCAAGCACGATGCGTGGCATCCACCCGATGCCGTTTACATGCAGGGCTCCTCAACGAAAGGCAGACTTCCGTTACGCGAAGTCTATGAGGTGGCCTTCCTGGAGCAGGTGCTGCGCATCCTTCCAGAAAACGCAATTGGTTGCGTTTGGCAGCAGCAAGGCTGGGATGTCCTCTTTGCCCCGACCGCGATGCGGAGGGGCACCTGTGTACTGGCATGGCAAATCTCCCGCGCTTCGCGTTCAAGGTCTGTCCCAACAATGCAGCTTGGGACCGCTGGGGCTTCAGCCTCTGCGAAGGCGAGGACCCTCTCCATCCTTTGAGGAATTCTTCAGGCTGGCGCGCGGCAAACCTGCAACGGCTGCCTCCAGAAACTTGAAACGCGTGTATGGAAAGCGCACTTATCCCATGTACTTCGCGAACCTTCAAGCAGGAGGTCCTCGCATACCTGGACGGTCGGAAGAAGAACCCAGGAATCGAGCGAGCGCCGTCTCCCACGCGAGCGGCGTTTGCGAAGTCCAATGGCCGAGTCAAGAAGAAGCCAGCACGGCTCAGTGCAAGGTCGCGAAAACAAAAAGGCCGCTGTTGCTCCAGTTCCGCATGCTCTCTTTGAGGGCCATGCATCAGCACTCTCGGTATCCCAAATTCCGAAGTCTGCTAGAATTGCTAGAAGAACCCGTGAATCCCTTGAGCTCGCGGAACCCTGGTGGCAGGCTTTGCAGAGGAGAGCCGGGCACCGAGTGCGCGACGTGTTGAGCTTGGGGGCTTTTGGAAGGTTGGCAAATATAGCGCTCAAACAAGAAGCTAAGGGCTCAATGCGCATCTTTGGCGTTTTGTGGGGTGTCGGGTCCCAGTTGATCTTCACTGTCGTTCTCAATGACTCCCGCAGCAGCGGGTTGAAGTGCAGCAACCTCGGCCGGTAGGTGGCTTTCTGGACGCCTGGCTTTTCACACGGCTACTCGAAACCAACAAGGAGGAGCAACAACGCTCAAAAGGGAAATGCAGACCCACAGTCCGACCATCGAGGAAGGCAAGGAGTCCTCGATTTCAGAGAACATCCCTAACCTGCCAGGCCCACTCAGAGGCAAATTCGACATCAGGAAGGCCTTCAGTTCAACGGCGTCCAGACACTTCTGCTGCACGGGGCTGCGGGAAGCAGTGTGCAGGCAGCGGGCCCAAACACAGGCGGGAAGGAGCAAGGATTGTGAAATGCGGACGTCAATGTCAAGCTGAGCGGCGTGAAGCCGAACGCAAGCAAAAAACTGAGGCGTAGGATGGGGAGAGGGGGTGACCAGTGCCCCCCTCCAAGCGCCAAAGAACGGATGTCGCCTCTAGGCCCTCAGTTGTTGACACAAATATTCTGCCAAAGCCTCCTCAACGCGCCAAAACAAAGGCTTGGGCCATCTGGCGACGACGACCGGCCACTTCTCAGTGGTGGCCACGCGGGCCCGGCGCATGTTTGGATTCGGTGTCCTATTCTTGTATTCGGGCTGAAGGCTCGAAGGGCAGGAGTGGGGCAAGGCAGAGGGGCAAAGGTCTGACAAGTCTATTGGTGGTGTTTAGGGATGAGGTGGGCAGAGCTGGAGCCAGGAAACACTTCCCTCGCGCCGGGCCACGCGACCTCGCTGCAGCTGTCGTCACCACCGCCAGGGAGGCCCCTACGGCGCCTGATGGGTTGAGGTTCAAAATGTCCAAGGTTCTCTCGTGGGCTTGAGGCATCGAGGCGGCCGTCCATTGGTGTCTTCAGGCATTGGGTGAGGGGTGCGCCTAACCGTCCTAGACTTTGAATTTGAGCTCCGGGGATGAAGCTTTTGAGCTCCGGAAATAGATCTTGCGGAGCTGGAGCCCAAACCGACTCGACTCCGAATGCTCTAAATGACGTGAATGCAGCAATCTGAAAGTCTGAAAGGGCTTGACCACGTTTGTTTTTTGGTTTTGAGCTGAGGCTTTCTTCGGATCGAAGTTGATTCGGGCGAGGACTGTCAGGCGTTTAGGATGGTTTAGGGTGGTTTAGGACTCGAGGCTTCAGGTTTTTTGATTTTGCTTGCAACTCCTTAACCCTTCACACTAGCCCAAAACCGAACACAGAAGGGCCAATGTTGAACCACTGAACTGGACCACACAGGGGTGGGCCGGACTGTTTGACAAAGAACCGCCTCTGAATTTGAACTGGGGATTTATTGCAGCTTCTTGGGGCTTAAGTGTTTGAAGGCCACGTGGTGTGGATGAGGGCTGGACTGCATCTTTGTGTGCCTTTTGGCCAACATCGATCACGTGACCCAAAGCCAGACACTTTGAACCTCAGGCTGCCGCCCGACTGCAGCTTGAGCATGGGGCCCAGCACCAAACATGGCTTGAAAGAAAGCCCAATAATATTCCTAGAAACAAACCCCCTAAATTATAGCGATTTTGTGAGCGCTTGGGAGCCTCCAGCCCGACAGCCTGCAAAGGCTAAAGCCTTGGCAAAGTCTTTCCTGGCTGTTCCGTCGTGAATCGAAGATTAGGCAGTTAGAGCCCCCAAGACTTTCAAATTCTGAGCAAGTCTGAAGGGCCCAACCGAGGTCAGTGGAGCTCCTCCAGCTGTGCGGGGCCTGGGAGGGCGGCGCAAGTGCGGCTTGCCGGGCCCATTGAGCCCTTAACAAGAAGCTGCCGCGCACCGCCGGAGCGCCCCTTTCTTGGCCGCGTTTTGTCCGGAAGCGCTCAGGCACCGCCCGGCCGAGCCGCCGTGCAGCCTCGAGGCCTCTGTGTCATGTGAAGGGGTGTGGTGAGGGCGTTGGGTAGAGTTGCAGTGTTCAGTGTCTTCCTTCCGGTGGCTGGTTGCAGGCAGCAGGCCATCCACATCGACCGGAGATTCCCCCTAGCTCTGAACCCTATATAAAGACGTGAATCCTGACGCCCTAAACTTTCCTAAGCGCTTAACCTGAGAGCTGTAGGCCCAGGCGGATGCCCTGGCTTCTGCCGCCCAGACCTCACGGCAGCCGAAAGCGCACAAACCGGAGGTTAGCATGGTTTGGGTGTCTGCATTCTGAATATCCATACAGAGCGGCTTGCAGGAAAAGACTTTACTTACCATATTGGGCGCTGCTTGAAGGATCCAGGGCAACTACTGTGACTACCGTAGACCACTATTCTGAAACCGTCCAGATCCCGAGGCTCTGTTGAGGCGCCCTAAAGCAGCTATTCGGGCATTCCAAGACCAGCCTCTCTCCTTCTAAACCCTGCCCTACAGCCTTTCCCTCAAGACTCGGGGGGCGGTTACAAGGTCAAAGCCGGCGCAGCCAAGGCAGTAGGCGCCAGGGACCCAGCCAGCGCAGTGAGCGGGCGCCCAGGCTAGATTTATGGTCCTTATGGTTTCAGCTGAGTTCGTAGCTCCAAGTAGAAGCTGGCTGAAGGTCGCCACCTATCATGTTTGCCGGGGTTGCAGATACGGGGAATGGCTTCGTTGGCTCCAACGTCTTTATGCCAAAGTGCCCCCCCCCGCCCGTGATATACGGCAAAACGTAACTCACAATGTTCACCTGATCGGTGAGCCCATTGAGGTTTGCAACTTCTCCCTCGCGGAGCTCCGAGTCGTGCATGACCGCCTGAAATCGGTGCATGGCCTCCCACTGAGTACCTGCCAGGCAACCCTCCACATCAGGGCCAACGAATCTGAAGCCATGGCCTTCGAAAGTTTTTTCAATGCAGCTTCTAGGCATGAGGAGGATTCTTCATTGTCAGGAGAAGTTTCTCGACATGCTTCTTGCTTCGAGAGTCTAGGAAATCAAAATTTGGGTTTCGGATCGCGAGGCTTGCGGGCGGACAGGATTAAGATTTTGCGTCGTGGTCTTTGAAAGGGGATTATTCCGAAAAGCCCAGTTGGATGGAGCGACGACGCAGTAGAGCATCAGCATGAGCCCAAGCCTCTCCTTACACATCCAGTTGGGCAGGTGGAGCTGTCGCTGCTGCGCCAGCTCCCCGTGTCATCGGGCTTGGCCAGAGCCCCAGAATGCCGGCTGAGATGTCCATGCACCAGAGGTCCTCATCGTTTTTGTTCTGCTCAGCTCTTCAGCTGCTGGCCTGTATGCAACTTCAGCCCCGCTCACCCAAGCGCACCAAGTCCCACTTTTCCCTACAAATCCTGACGTCCGATCAGGTGAACGGCTGCCGAGAGCTGGGCGTCACGGCGCGACTTGTAGCACTGTGCGGGTCACAACCATGTTCTGAGCGCAGACAGACTCTGGCTTGACGGACCTTCCATGGTTTTTAGAGGGCAAAAACCTTTGCAAGAAGTATTTGTTTCAAGATGTGGTTCTGCCAGTGGAGGTCCTGGCCTTCTCGCCTTTGGCTATGGGCCGGCTCAGCGGGCGCTACGCAGCAGCCTGATGTTTTCGGTGCTGTTTTTCAGGGATCTCTGGCCCAAAGGCCCAAGGACCAAGGTCCTCCCAAGACACGGCTGCCTGCGATGCCTGTCATCTGACTCTTTATGCTCCGGCTCGCCAGCCCATTTGTAGACCTTCGGTGCCCTCTCAATGCCGCGGTAGGTTTATAGGGATGATGCCCAAAGAGAGGCGACGGTGTCTCAACTTGTGCCTGCTGGCTGCAGTTCTCTGCGGCCTCGTGCCAAGCTGCAGCTTTGTGGGCTCCGGCTCCACGGTTTCTTGGGGGCATCCGGAACTTTGTGCAACTTTGTGCAGTCTTCCCGGTGGAGTTTTCACAACAAAGCCGAGGCTTTGAAACCCACAGCGAGGGCTCGCGGACAGGTGGTCAGGGCCAGCTTCCAAAACCCTTTGGAAGGGCCAGATGGGAAGATCGACCAGAAGAAGGCCTTTCGCAATCTGGATTTTTTTTGGGGCGTTTCCAAGGGTGCTCCTCACGCTTTAGGGGCTTCGGGGCGTTGAGTTGATCGGAGGTAGTAGCGCTAGCGGCCATGCAAGGTGGAGGGGGCGCTGGCCACAGGCTTGGACATCGCGAAAAACGTGGTCTTCGCCCTCTTCGATATCTTCAAGGAGCTTAAGTCAGCTGGTATAAGCCCCCGACCCCAAGCTTTCTAATGGAAGACCAGCCAAGCAGAGGAGCCGCCCCAAGAGGCGACGGGGAAGGATGCCCCGGGGCTCCTTGCGCTGAGCAGCGGGGTGCTGGAGACGCTCAAGGGCTGCCAAGTCCAGTCCGTGAAGGACGGTTCCTCGAAGGACCCAAGCTTGAAGCCACCAGTCACAAAGGAGGAGCACCAAGCATATGAGGAAGCAGGCTCCGAGAGTCGGTTTCTCTAGGGAAGTGAAGCTCCGGCTCCTTCCAGGACGCCGCGGCTCTCTGCACCTCGACGGGGGGCCTGGCCGTCTTCTTCCTCACGCACTTCGGAGACTTCAACTCCTGGGAGCTGGCGCAGCAGCTGCGCACCGCTCTCCGCGAGGGCCGCACGGGCTCTGCCCGGGTGGTCATGGTGTCTGGGTCCCAAGAGCTTTCAGTGTTCCCAACACCGTCCTAGGCCCTGGAAAATATGGGCAAGGAACCTCAGGAAAGCCAATGCTTTGAGATCACTTGTCAGTGTGCAGACAGGTGGGGATCGGTTCTGTGGACTCCGGCAAGCTCTTTGCGGAGCAGCTCGACCTGCCCGAGGCCTTGGAGCTCTACGCGGATCCGTCTGGCGCCTGCCATCAGGCCTTGGGCTTCAGCACTGGGGCCCTGCCGCAGTCCCTTGGGAACGGCAAGAAACCTCAAGAGTTCCCGGTAGGGACCTGCAAGGGGCCTCGGGCCCTCTAATCCTTTTTTTGATAATCATACACTTGTATGATCACTTGTAAGTGGAAGTCAGGTACAAGGAGAACCTGAATCCCTACTTCCGGGTCTTCCTGATGCTTTTGGGAGTCGGCTCGCCAGGCACGATCCGGACGGTCTTGGGAGGCTACTTCGGCAACACTGCCCTGGGCTCCGAGGAGGTCTCTTGGGTGGATGAGGCGCCTCTTAAGTACTCTGAACTTCCCTGACCTCCTCAAACTCCTCAACCCCGTTTGGGAATTCTTATGTTGGGAGAGGATTTACAACAGATCCTTTTTAAATCACATCTACAATGGTTCGAGAGAAGGCGCTGAAGCAGGGCGCCCAGAAGGGCCGCTTCCCCACCTCGGTGCCGCGGCGCCTGCCCTGGGAAGAGAAACCCACGGATGGGGCCGAGGAGTGGGCAGACCTGGCCACAGCGGGCTCCACGGCGTCTCGGTTGTAAGAAACTCTTGGGGAGTGGTCAGAAAGCTTTCGCATGCGAGAGAATAGGAGCTCTGTTTTTACGTCCAGGTGTGGAGCAACCGCGGCTTTGGGGAGACGGGCCTGCGGCCCTTCGAGCTGGCCACCGTCCGGCTCCAGAACATGGTCGGGGGCATCATCGCCAACTGGGACAGCCTGAAGCCCGCGGACGACGAGCTCTTGGTCCAGCAGGGTGGTGCCATCATCTTCGACGGCGAGGAGGTGAAGTACTTCTTCCGAGATAAGGGCATCCTCACCTACGCCCCTGTTGCAACTGCTCTGAAGGCGTTGCCAAAGAAGTGAGAGCTGCAGAGGGCCCAAAAAGACCTCTCAAACATGAGCAACAGGCTGTTCAAGCGGGAGCATGCTGGCGCACCCTCACCTCGCTGATGTCGTAGCCGTCGTAGCTGTTGGGCCTGCAGAGTTCCGAGGACGACACGCCCATGCTTGCTTTCCGCTACAAGAAAAAGTGGCCTTGCTCTCTTTGCTTCCGACCCTTCAGGGCTTAACGGTGTCAGCTTTCGATGGCCAGCGGCTATCACCAAACAGCTTTCCGCAGCGGTTGGACTTGAATACTTTCGTCGGAGGGGTGTCCGGTGCTTTCGGAGGCTTGTCTCCCAGAGTCCTCCTTCGCTTCGTCCCTTCACAAGGTTGGCGCAAGTAAACTTGTTTCAGACGTTTCAATTTCAAGACGTCTGTATGTTTGCCTCGATGGCTGACTGGGCATGAACCGCAAGACCCTAAACCCTAAGCAGAGGCCTTCAACACTCAAAGTACCAAGAGGGAAACCGTGAATGCTGCAATGTTCCCCACACTCCTGAAGGCGAACCCCAACCTGTCCCACGAACCCTAAACCGTAGACCCTAAGCCCCAGAAACCCCAGAGCCCGAACCCATGGAATCTTCATGGGGGTTTACGAGAACAAGGGGCCCCTGCTAGAGACCCCCAAATCGTAGGATCCTCTTTTAACAAGGACCCCAATAAGGCACCCCTGATATCCTAAACCCCTCAACCCTAAACCCTAAACCCTAAACCCTAAACCCTAAAACGCCCCTAATATCCTGAACCCCCATAGTATGACTCCCTTCTCCGAGGATCCCTGGCGAGGGTCCCCGCCGTGGTCCGAGCGCCGCGGCCGCGGCTCGCGACCCTTTGGCCGGGAACCCCAAACCTTTTTGAGGGTGTAGGGTTTAGGGTTTAGGGTAAAGGGTAAAGGGTTTAGGGTTTAGGGTTTAGGGTTTGAAGGGTAAGGGTAATGGGTTGGGTGGTAGGGTCAAGTGCTTATGGTTGGACGTTGTCCGCCGTGTGGGTTTGCAGGTACTTTGTGCAGAGTCGGGGGAGCCGGTTCCTGCTTACGGCATGCGCAGTGTTGTTTCGCGGCGCCTCATCAAGTATTCTTGGGGGCCATGTCCCAAATTTTGCCTCCCCCGTCACCTTGAACCCAATCCTCGAGAACATCAGGCGCTGCCCTGGACAGCGAGCCTGAGGCGAAGCTTGATTCTCCGGGAAGTTCAGTTCATCTTTGTTGTTGTTGCTCGGGACTTTTTCGGGATTATTCGGGCATTTCGGAGAGGTTCTTGGGGAAGTCTTGGAGCTCCACCCGTCCGAAGCTCGCTTTGCCCCGGAGGCCTGGGCACAGCTGCTTGCGGGCCTGCGCGAGGCCAGTGTCGCCTGAAGATCCCTTGCTTCCCGTAAGGGTGACGTAAGGGTGACGTAAGGGTTGTTTAGAGGCTTCAGAGGGGCAAGGGGAGTGAGTCGGGCATCCAAGATGCTGGCAAACCGTTGCAATGTCAGCCCCAACTTTCTCTCGAGGTCGGGCAGAAGTACGGCAAGACACCAGCACAGGCGGAAGCGCTAGTTTTTGGCTTTTGACGTTTGCCACCTTTTTGGAGCGCAGGGCGCAGGGGAACAGAAGTCAGAGTTTTTGGGTTTTGGGGGTGCCCCGGGTTTGGGGGCTTGAGCAGGGCTTGGTTTCCCAGTCGCCATTCTCAATCCGACAGACCCAGAATGACCTAGAGCCATACTTCCACAATCCAACACTCACAGACACCCTCTAAGCCTCTAGCCCACTCTCAGCATCCCTCAGCCGCTTTTTCCCGGAAGACAGGTAGCCATCAACTGGGTCGTGTGCCAGGCCGGGCTTTGCCCTATGTCTGTGGCTGCGGTGCTGCGGTGGTGCTTCTGAAAGCCCTCTTATAACCCTGGAGTTCCTAGAGCCCCTCCCTGAATGCGAACCTCAGGGCGCTGTGGCCATCCCCGGCGTCCCTCGGCCTCAAGTATTTAAGGATTTTGGGAGGACCCTGGGCCACATACCTCGGCCCTCAACAAGCCATATTCTTCGTCGAAGGCTTTGGCTTCTCTGGGCCACTAGGGCCACTATTCCCTACACATTGAGTATCGCAGACAAGTTTTTCTGCCATGACGTTTTATCTCGGTAGATACAGTTACGCGACAAAAAGTTGATCTGCGGCAGAAGAAGAATTCTCTATGTAGATTTGTTGGAAGCAACACCCTCTGAAGAAGTTTCGGGCAGCCGAAGATTTGCCGAAGTTTGCAAGGGCCCGATCCGACAAAACCCGCAAACCAGACAAGCTCGAAACAAGCCGAAGTTGGTGCAAACGTTTCGCCTGGAGTTTAGAAGCTTGAGCCGGAGTTTGTCCGAAATTTGGGTTCATAAAAGAAGCGACAGTTTTTTTACGAGATGAAAATGGTGTGTTGTTTTTCGAACAATATTCTCTCTAACGCATAGAAACGGAGTCAGGGCACAATCCAAGATTTCAGGAAGCATTTTCTTGTCAAATACAATATGTAACATGTAGCCCTAAGTCCAAGAGCAATATACAATGAGCACAACCCAACAAATACAAAGCAAATACATTCCCAACCGCGCTCTCTCTCTCTCTCTCTCTCGCTGTGTCTCACTCACTGTCTCTCTCTCTCTCTCTCTCTCTCTTTCTCCCACCCTCTCAGTCTGTTTCTTCCATGCTACTTTGAATCAGTGGACCTTGGTTCTGAAACCCTTGAAGGGCGACTTTGCTGCATAGGCACTGGGTCTGTTGGTTCGGGCGCGGCTGTTATGTCGACGTCTTGCCCAAGCTTCGCCACTGCAGGGCGCAGATGAACCCTGAAAAATCGCGGAAGGCGCCCCTTCCCCCTCCCCCTAAGAGGGCAAAGGTTAGAAGCCGAGGCTCGCAGCGCCTCCCAGGCGTCCGAGAACGCTGGCGCCATGGGCCGGGTACCTGAGTTCAAGGTACAAGGTTCAGGGTTTCGAGCAGCATGACAGTATGGCTGTGTCATGCTGCGTTGGCGTTTCTTTGCACTCCGGTGCTCCTCTCTGTCTCTCTCTCTCTCTCTCTCCAAAAAATTGTGTGGAATTCCCATTTGTGGTTTCCCCCCCATAAAAGTGGCCTGCTCGAGGTTGGCGGCTTCAGGCGGAGGACCTTCGCTCACCGCTTGTTTCTGGCCGGGGTGTGGGAGACTTCTGCGTGCCTGTTGCATTCTTGAAAATTGACAGGACCCCTCCATTGCCCATACTGTCAGTTTCTCGCTTGCTATTCATGCGTTTCAGAATCCGAAAGCGTGAGGACGTGGCATACTTGGCCTCTTTGGGCGTCCGGGGCCCCTGGAAGCGTTCACTCCGATGTGGATCCCACTAACTTGGGGGCCCCCAAACTCCGCAACCCAAAAGCTCAAGCCAAAGCCCCTCGTAAGCCCTGACCTGCACTTGGCAGGAAGCATGCCTTGTCGCCCGAGCCCGAAACCCGCACAACACGTCAACCTTTCACATTCAGGCTTGCAGCCAATTCAGAAGTTCTGAACATAGTTTCCATGAGAAGCCCTACCAACACCTGCAGAAGCACGAGCACCACACTTTGAGTGCGAAGCGTAGGTTTACAGAGGCTCGACAGGACAGAGTTTGACATTCAAAGCACATATTGAACCCATCAGTTTGAACCCTCAAGCCATCTCGGGCCTGTATCCCACTCCCAGGCACGTGGTCAGACGAGCGATTTTCAGCATGGCTGAGCTGGGCCGCAAAAAAACAAGAGCATCTGCAGCAGAGGGCAGGAGTTGGCTGTTGATGCCCGTGTCCGCGCAGCGACTTCGCACCCTAAGGCGCTTTCGGTTCTGAAAGCCGTGGACCCTAAAGCCCAAGCCCGAACCTCTAAGTTCTGTCAGACTGCTACAAGCCTTAGGACCTCGGTCCCCAAGAACTTTCCACAATGCACCCTGAACCCGCACACAAAGTGCGCCCTAGCTGCAAAGTGCCCCCAGCAGCCCCGGCTTGAACGCCCGCACACCCTTTCCTCTCGCGGTCCTTATTTGCTTGGTTCTCCGGCATGTTGATAGCCAGAAATGCGACATGAACGTGACGCGGCTGCTCACAGCCCTAAACTCAGAACCCTCAACCTGCCTCTACCATATGCCCCTAAACCTCATCGAGAGAAGCTGTAAACTTAGCATCCATCATGTTGCCTTCTTTGGCTCGCCACTTGCCTAGGCACGGCTGTCTTCTGCCTGATAGTTCTCAGCGATAGCGGCGATAGTGGGTTGTCTCTGTTAGCCAGTACTGGGGGCCGCAGAAGTTCCAGGGACATTTTGGGGGACGAAAAGACAGTGCAGCCTGAAGCATGTACCTCAGGCTTTGGAGGGCTTCTAGAAACTTGAAAGGCTGGAAATGGGCCCCCTCAGAGAGTCTGCTACCTAAGTTCTCGACCCCGGCACCCCCCAAAATCCGCATCAAATTCCTAACCGGCCGAAGCCTTCACGCATCTCGACGTAACCTCGAAGTTGCTGCGTCAGTTCGCGCAGGCCGCGAGTGCTGGGCTCCTCCCGCGGCTTCGCGAAGTACGCGAGGCCGACCCGCGGCTGAGGGCATTGTCAGGGAAGTCAGTGTAAAGGTGGGTTTCTGGTGGCCGGTTCAGCTTGGGTTCAGGATGGAGGGTTGTTTAGTTTAGAGGCTTGGAAACAGTATTGAGGTTTAGGATCGGGCTTCGGATAAGCTCTGGGGTTTCTTGAGCTCTTTTTCCTCCCCTCAACGGACTCAGGGTTTTGGCTTGCTGCTGTTTTCTTGCCGAGTGCAGGAAGGGCATCTGGGCGCGCGGGGACTATGGGCCACTCGGCACGCAAGCTCCAAGATCGTCTTGACAAGGGTCAGAGTCATGCCGAGCTCCGGCAGTCTCCCGCTGGCGAACCTTGTTGCGTGCCTCTTCACTTTTTCGTCATCCCTGCCTTGCACATGACCTCCTCAGGCAGTACACCCTGGATGATCCTCGCATCTTCCGCCATCAGATGAGGAGGCAACTAAGTAAGGTTTGGAGATCGAGGGACTCACGGTTTCAAACCAGTCGGGGCGTTTGGTTGCTTGTTAGCTTCTTGGCAGAAGGTCTGGTGGTGAGAAATTCAGGCCTCAGGCTCGAGAGGATTGGGGGAGCAAGGCTGGCAGTTCAAGGTTGAGGTTTGGGATGCACGGCTTCCGTCGAGCTTCGTGCCCTGCTGAGGTTTTACAAGGCCTAAAGCTGTGTTCCAAGCCTTCGGAGAGCTTTGAACTTCATTTTAAGATGTCTGAGATTCTGTAGAGCGTTTCTCGAAACCCGAATATCCCTTCAAGGAATTCTGCCCAGGCAATACCCGTACCACAAGCAGCGCCAATGGAGCAAGCCTTATATGTGCCGCTGCCTCAGCCAAGAAACTGAGGTCTGACCCTCAACAACCCTTTATGTTACTCGGAGACTCTTCCGGTCCAAGCTCCACGACTGCCCCCTTAGACAAACAAAAGGCACAAGCGAGCTTCAGACCACAAAGCCACAGCATTAAGCCCTAAGCACTAAGCCCTAAACCCTAAACCTTAATCCCTAAACCCTAAACCCCTAAACCTTAAACCCTAAGCCTTAAACCCTAAACCCTACACCCTAAATGCTCCAGGCATTGTAGAAGAGTTTTCAGCGTCTGCCCCCCTTCGTCTCCTGAGGCTTGCAGCATGCGGCGGCTGCTCCCGAAGGCATGGCCGTGAAGTTGGCCATCATCTACAGGCGGAGTTCAAGGGGTTCCCAAAAAAAGCATTGGTTTAGGGTTTAGGGTTTAGGGTTTAGGGTTTAGGGCTCAAAGGTATAGGTGGGATTCGGACTTGAGCACCGGTGTGTGTGGGGACTTGCTGGTGTGACCGGCGCAGAAGCAACATTCAGAGGGGTTCGTGCTCATTGCGGCGCATTGCGGCGCAGTTACACGTGGCAAGCACCGGCCTTTCGGACCAAACGAATTCTTAGGTTTTGCGCTGCACTTTGTTCTTTCTTCTGTGGCGAGACTTGTGTTGCGCAACCTATTCGTTAGCTGTTTTTCTACGCGGAGAGTAGTGCCAAGTTTGAAGTTCAATCTCAAGCTATCTGCCATGTTGCCGTGGTAGTGCACTTTTTGCCTTGTCAGTTCAAAGAGTTAACGTGTACCTGAAGACGAAAAGAACGAAGATTGTCATTTGGTTCATTTTCAGGTTATGCTCCTCTTCCATCCTATCCTCTTCATATCGAGCTATGTAAGTTGGAATGATCGGTCCGAATAGAAATACTCCATGCGTTCAGGCTATCCTCACCGGTGACTTAGAAGGCATACCCTGAAGCCATTATCCGTACATCTCTGCAAGTGTGCACTCCAGCTTTTGGAAACTGTACAGTATTGTGCTCAGGAACCCGCTTTGTCGCAACCGAGCAGTTACCCCTTCGTGGATTGCGGTAGCAGTGCAGGGATTTGCACCCACCCCTGACTTGCGATGGAGGCGGCTTTTGACGTAAGCGTACAACTGAGTTTGCAACTGGCTGCTAGTTGAGCCTGAAGCCCTCCAAACCTGAAAACTTTGCACCAGAGAACCCTGCAGCCCCTCAAAAGGTCCCGAACGGTCCGCGTCTGCTGTCGCTTGTTGCAGGAAGTTCGAGTTGGCTCCGGCCTGGCCCTTAGCGTTTGGCAGGGGTCTGAGTAGAGATTCGGCTGCTTGTATCCGAGAAGGCGCCATACGCGCAGCGAAACTAGAGCCCGAAGCCTTCCAAGCACTGCCCAAGCGCCATTGTTGCTTTCTTAGTTTTGGCCTTCGCTCAATTTGCAAATCAGCTCTCGTAGGCTCATGCCGATTCCGCCCTTCTTCTTCTTCTTGTCTTTGGGAAGCCCTCTGTGCTACTCCGCGACCTGAAGAGGTCATGGAGTGGGGACGTAATCGGGACGTGTTCAGCTCTCCTGTGCTGGTACCTGTTCTGCGGGTACTGGGTACTGGAGGTCTCGAAAACCTGAGCCCAAGAATCCTCCGACACATTCCGAAATCTAGCATTCAACCCCGCAGCCTCGGAATCGAGAGACACTCCCTCTTGAGGGATTACGAAGCGCTCCAGTCCTCCCAAGCTCCCTGCAGAAGGTCTTCTACGAGCTGTGCAGGGAGTTGAAGCAGCGGCTGCCAGGCGGGTTTTGGGGGAGTTGAGGCCGTGGGGCAGTGGGGCTGCACCGCATGAGCAGGGTCTAGGGGTTGGGGACTTTACGTTGCGCCTGCAGTGTTACTTGGGGCTTCAAGCGCTGCAGTTCACACTCTTCGCATGCAGTTGCAACCCACGGACCCGAATTTCTTCAACTGTAAATCACCAGTCGCAAGCCCTCGAAATCTCTAACAGTTCTTGAAGCGCAGGAGTTCAGATCCTTGCAGAAGCCGTGGACAGAACCGAGGAGAACCTCGATTGCAAATGGGCCATTGCAAGCTCGGTGCCGCTTCTGGTTGAGTGTTAGTGTGTGCGCGGGGGTGGTCGCAATACATAGTATTGCCCGAGCCCCTTAGCCCCAAGCTCTAAACCCGGAAGTGAAATCTTGAGCCCTTACTGGTACCTCCCACCTCAACCGTAAATACAGAAGCTCAGAACGTCAACCCAAAGCCCAACACTGGCAAAAGCAAAGCCTCAAAGCTCCTTGAAGCCAGAAGCCCCAACCTCACCTCCTTTCCAGAGGGGGCAAGTGGCCAGCTCAAGTCCGCACGTCATGGCCTTTGCGCAGCTATTGCTATTGCTGTTTTTCTGTGCTACTGCAAGTTGCTCTTTTTTAGAATCATGTCAATTGTCTGCTTTCGGTGCTCAGCCGTTCATAGGATCCGCGTGCTTTGCTCTCTTGTGCGCACCACTGCAGCACTTTCACAGCCCCCTCGCTGCCATCTGAGGAAATGGCTGCAAGTGGTGCGTCTGAACGATGGGCGTGTCCTTTGGAAGCCGAACCTCGAAGAGAAGGCCGGGTGAACTTGGGGCTTCAGAGTTTGCTTGAAGTGTGTAGCAGATTGCTGCCGAGTTTGGATGACAGCTACGCCAGCTAGTAGGCCACAGTCCCATGTAGCTGGTAGAGTCCTTACGCAAGTCAAAAACCCCAGTGTAGAGACACACCTTTTATGGTTCCACGAAAGCAGAGGGAAGGCCGGACCAAGGAAGCCAGAGGCGTAAGAGGCATGTCTTGTGGAATCTTGAGCTTCTGTTCGAGGGAGCCCGTAGACAACGAGACCAAACCCCTCGAAGGCTTCTGAAAGCCTCCATGTCTTGGGAACGTGCTGAGGCCACCCTGTGCAGCCTCGACTCGAGCACCTAAACCCAACCTCCAAGATCTAACGCTTGAAGCCTCAAGACCCATCTTCCTATTCTTCCTATATAGGAGATCTCAGCTTGACTCCGAGACTCCGAGGTGCAGCTGGACACCGCGGAGCCGCACGAGGCAATGAAGGCCCTCTCGGGGCCTTCGGGTTCAAAGCCCCGGAATCCCGGAAGACGCCTCTTCGTTTTCAGGCAGTTTTTTGCGCTTCATTGGGGAATTCGTATCACCCATGAAATTGTCCCCAATTGCTAGGCCTTCTTGGGGCCTTCGCTTCACCTTGCCAGATGACCCTGATTCTCCAGCTCAGCGGGCAGCCTGCTCCTCATCCTAGCGCTTCGCCTCCTCACTTCTCCTCCCGCTCCATGCTTCTCATTTTCCTCCGCTTCCTCACTCCTCCGATGTCCTCCACCGCCTCTTCCTCCTCTCTCCCCCTCACGCACGCACGTACGCATGCACGCACGCACTCACCTACTCAAGAACTCGGCCTTCGGGTTTCGCAACTTTTCATTCAATCATCTACCAGTGCATGCACTCACCCACCTCACCCACCAACAGGTGGATCAACATGAAGGACTTGTCGCGCTTCCATTTCCATGGGGTTGGGAGGAGGTGCTGCTGTGCAGGGACAAATGCTGACCGACGACTCTCTTCCAAATGCTCTTTCCGAGCGTTGCGCCCATGCATGTATGAAACATCGACGACGCGGTACGAACAAACACGCCAATGCATGCACACTTTGTCACTTTCACGCATTCTTTTTCTTCTTCCTTCATCTCTTGCCTTGTGCTAGCAAAGACAAGAATGTGGGGTGATTTGGGGATAGAGAGAGTTCAGAAAGCGAGCGCCACGGGCTACGAGCATTCCGTCGCTGAAGCTTAAGCCTGTACCCTTGAAGCAGAGGTGTGGGTGTGGGTGTGGGTAGCTGCCAGGATTTGCGGCAGATTCTTCTCCAAAATAGCATGGACACCATCGTCAAGGACCGTTGCCTCCGGGTGAACTCCGGAACGGAATTCCCAGAACCTCAAAAATCTAGCCCCCGCCCACAAACATTAAAGTCTCGGCCTCTTTAGAGGGCGGTCTGTCTCCCTTAAAGATAGGGCTGGCCCGAGGCAGTGGGAATGAAATGCAGGGTTCCGTGGCTTAAGGTTGGAAGACACGTGCGCATCTGCCAGGTCGAGGAAAGGTCAGTTTCCGTCAGCCGGTAATGGGCCTTCGTCACAGTGATTGCAACGATGTGTTCGGAACTTTTCAGATGCTGGCGAAAGCCGCGAAGACGAAGGAAGATGCTGGCCTCACACTGCGTCAGCCGCAGTCTGCACATTGGCTCGAATCCCACAGGCGGCCTTTCTTTCCACTTGGCGCAGCCAAACTCGGTGACTCGGTGCTTTGTATCAGGGGGCCACACCTTGTAAATCAAGTTCTGTCAGTACGTCCCGCAGCTATAGTTTTTATGCTGCCAAGAGCCAGTTTCGTGCAAGTGTGCACAGCTGAGCCGCTCAGTTCGGAAAGTGCAACTCCAAGTGCAACGGAGCAAATCGCCCCCCAAACGCAACGGATAGCCGGGTCTAAAGGGAGGTCTGAAATGGTTCACATGGTGCTTGAGGGGCACATTCTTGGGTGTAGGAAGTTTGGGCTTTGCACTTCGAGAGGATGCGCTGGACCATTTGAGCTGCCGCTACAACGTGCCCTGGGTCGAGAAACCTCCTTCTTGGGCACGTGTATCTCAGGACATGGGGCCAGAGGGGTTAAGCTGAGGCTCAGGGGCTTTTCAGGTTTTAGAGTGTTAAAGCTTCTTTATGGATGGCAAGGATTCCTCTCCTAGGTATGGCTATGTTTTGTCGGGCGAAAACCTGAACGAGACCCGACTCATGCTTTTTGGCGGGGGGAACGTGCTGTAAACTCTTCAAGCCGAAGCAAGAACTCGAAAGCGCGCCTCGGGTGAACCTCTTGGGCCTCGGAATCTAGACTCTGAACCCTGAATCACGAGAAGGTTCCCCAAACATGCCTGAAAACCTGCAAAACCCACCTAACAGAAACGGAGAGGAGGAGCTGAAGAGAGTGCGCTCTCTGCCGGAGTGACGCGGAAGCCACTTTCAGTGCGAAAGGGCCGAGTCTGATAGTTCAGCCAAGTCCTTGGTCTTCATGCTCACACAAATCCCAGACATGAAGCCCTAATACCCAAGAATATGAAGGCCGTGTTGAAAGATGAGGCCGAGAACATGTAGCGTTTCACCGCCGAGATGGTTTGAGAGTCGGGAGATCTAATGCGGATGTCGACCGGCGTGTTTTTGCAGATCCAAGTAACTAGTTTTCCCTTCCTGAATCCCAAACCCGGCAGAACCTTCGAAACCCTAGTGACCTGGGCCCAAGACTCGGCCGCTTACAAAGAGCACATGGACTTCAACACTGGTGCATTTTGGAAGTTCGTAAAGCGCAAGCAGTTCGAGCAAGAACCCTCGAGGGCTACACAGGCCTTCGACAGCTCAGCAGCACGGCACCAAGTTTTACATACTCGTAGGAGGTTTAACATGTGGCAGCAGACGTATCCCGCCAGTATGAACTACCCGGAACATGACGCATGCTCCAGCATGACCGACTTTCTCGTTGGATGTACATGGGGGGGGGACCAGCATGAGGTAGACACGCAGCCTCAGGCTTAATGTTGGCCTCAGGGCACCAACCGAGTTTCAGTCGCGGTTGAGCCTTGCCGGCTCCCCAAGCTCACGAAATCTTCGCCTTAAAGCTCTGGTAGAACCCTGGACAGGGGCAGGTGCTCAGAGCCATGGCAGACCGCATTCCAACACGCACCCGTGTCACCACGAAACCAATCCAGCGGGTATTTCCAAACAATACAAGGGGTACTCATTCAATATGCCCTCAAGTCCCTCAAATCCCTCAAATCCCTCGATTCAGATACTCACCCAGACAAAGCGACACATCTCCCGCGGCAAGAAGCTGCCTCTGGAAGCTTTTGGCTCAGAGCTTGGGAAGCGTTTCGGCATCATTTTAAAGGACTTTCAGCTGCCTGGCTGCACCCAGAAAGGGAAAGGAAAGGGAACCCTTCAACTTTTACAAAGCCCCCTCATGGCCCCTGTGAGGAGCCCTGATAAAGGCCCAAGGCCCTCAAACCCCTCAAAAGCTACGAAACCCTAACCCTGACCCCTAACCCCTAACCCCTAACCCCTAACCCCTAACCCCTAACCCCTAACCCCTAACCCCTAACCCCTAACCCCTAAACCCTAAACCCTAAACCCTAAAGCCTAAAGCCTAAACCCTAAAGCCCTACAACCCCAACAGAGGCCATGCAGCGCTTACGACCCCAGCGCCTGGCCGCGGCGGTGCGGCGCAAGGCCACGCAGAGCGGCACCTGGCTCGAGGCCCCCCAGGTTTCGGTGGGCTCCGGAGTTCAGGAGGAGGGTTTAGGGTTTAGGGTTTAGGGTTTAGGGGTTAGGGGTAAGGGGTTAGTAGGGTTTAGGGTTTAGGGTGTAGGGTTTAGGGTTTAGGGTTCAGGGTTCAGGGTTCAGGGTTCAGGGTTTAGGGTTTGGGCTTATCTGCGCATCTCTTCGATAAGGTTAGGGGTTTGCTTTTGGATTTCGTGGGTTTGTTGGTGTGGGGATGAATGAAGCACCCCAACTTTTCCCGAGAGCAACCCATGTTGCATTCTTTTCGTTCATGAAGTGTCTCTGTCAGGGTGAGCTCAAGTTGGACACCAACATCGTTCATGCGACTTGTCCGCAGATCTTTTATGCCTATGGGGGCAGTGTGCTGCTGCTGCTGCTGCTGCTGCTGCTGCTGCTGCTGCTGCTGCTGCTGCTGCTGCTGCTGTTGCTGCTGATGCGCTGATGCTGCTGATGCTGCTGGTGCTGCTGATGCTGCTGATGCTGCTGATGCTGCTGATGCTGCTGATGCTGCTGATGCTGCTGATGCTGCCGGCTGGCGTCTTACGGCTTCTTACTACCGCCTACAGTCTGTGTGTTCGAACCAATGCTACAACAGGTATGGCGACGCCCCGCACGCTTGTTTCAAGCACGCCCAGTGCTCCCGGATCAATCCCGCCATCCCGAGGCAGCAGTGACGCCTGAGCCCAGGAGTGGCGCCTTGGATGCTTCCGACAATATCGTTTTCAGATCTCAAGAGTTCGCATAGGGATGCATGGCCTCAGATACGTCTCGGCACTTCGGGTGTGGATGTGTTGAAGCGTTGTTGACGTCAATATTGCAGGTATTCTAAGGGTTCAGTGGTGTTGGCGACTGGGGCGTCCAGTGCTTTGCTGTGTTCGAAGTCTTGGAGTATTAGTGCCTTTGCTCGTTCAAAAAGCGAAGCCCTTAACCCCAGGCATCCCTAGGCCGTGGCCGCTGCCATAGCCGTAGCTCTTCGGGATTTGGGGCTGAAGCTTCGCACGCCTGGATGAGAAGGGCGAAGTGCGTGCTTGGTTGATGTTTGAGGTTTCCAGCATGGTTCGAGGTTGGGCCGTTTTCAGTGCAGGCTTCAAGGTTGAAGGCATCTTCAATTTAGGTCTGGGCTCAAGCCATGTTGGTTGTCCAAAACCCTAAACGTCCCTAAGCCCCAAACCCTAAATCCTAAACCTGTCTTCGATTTACTTCCCCAAGGTGCCATCCTCACCCCTCTCTTCCTGTCCACCACGTTCATCCAGGACCAGAGCTTAGGGTTTAGGTTGCTGGAGAGCTCATGTTCTGGGTCTGCGGGTGTGGTACCTTGCGGAAGTCCCGCGAGAGTCCGGAAGAGAAGGGAATTCAAGGACTTCATAGTCGAGCCTGGATGTGTGGAGGCTGCCGCGAGCAGTGGAGAGCGTGGGTGTGTTGCAGATACAGCGTACTCACAGAAAGAAGGAGTTGCCTGGAGCCTCGTCTAGATGCGAAAAACACGGCTGTAAGGGTGGGGATGTTGAGGGCTCGGTAGTCAAAGGCGGCCAAAGACCCTGCTGCTTTGAGGAGTCCGTGGAGAAGTACCTGGAGAAGGACCGGGGCTGACCGGGGCGTCCTTGTCCGCCCGCGCACGGGTTAAGCTGTCGCACTTTAAGACCCTTGATGTAGGCATAGCCTCTGTCTTCATGTTGATACGCACAACTGGACCTGACCTCGATCACACAGACGCATCAAATACTCCTCATTTCTGGTAGGTTTTTGCAGCGCCCGGCCATCTTGAGTATAGGAGGCGTCTGGAATCAGAACTCTTGTCCAACTTCATCGACGCAACAGTCGATCATCTTTTGTCAAAACATGCCAAGCATAGGAACGTATCTCGAGACTTGAATGGGAGCCACCTCTTTGTGATGTCGAGTGACTTGTGTGAAAGCACATGGAGTCACGGTATTGTCGAGCTGCAGAAAGGGCTTCAGGGCTTAAGAACGGAGCTGTCCAACGCCCCATCCTGGGCAGGGCTACAGCTACTCCCGCACCAACAACCCTACGGTCACGGCCCTGGAAGAGAAGCTGGCCAAGGTGGAGAACGGGCTGCTTGGTGGCCATGGGTAGGACCCCCACGCATCATGCAAAACCAGTCGGAGTAGCTGGCGCGAGCCATGGTAGACATATGTTTGGTATGGCAGATCTGACATGCACCAGCAGGTGTGGTGTATATGGTTCGTTCTAATTCGCATTTCGAAAAGGTGCAGAACACCCCGACGGTCCCCAGACACTAGCTCACGCCTCACCATCGAGGAGAGTGCATCTTCACCGAAGCATAAGCTACGGCAGAACTGCATGATTCCTCGGATAGATCTCGCTGTTATGTGCCATTCTCTCAACATGTCCCGCATGGCAACAGGGTAGATGCTCTACCCTTCTTTGATTCTCTGTCAGTTAGTTGGTAGTTGGGGGGCTTTAACGTCAACATATAGTATACATGGAATGAATCGAGTGAAGTGAGCCAATCTCGTCCTCAACTACAACCTGAAAACTGGGCCAACCCGGGCAAGATTCACAGGAGTTGATCATGACTGGCGCACTGAGGTTTGTCCGCAAGCCCTTTCAGATGATATAGGCTCTTGAGAGACAGTGCCATCCCCATGCATCTTTGAGGCCTTCAACGATCGTAGCGATACGCGGTTGTAACCCAAGAGCCGAAACCCCTCAACTTCCCTAAGCCCCAAAAGGTTTGGCGCCTCCTGCTTTGGCACTGGCATGGCCGCCACGACGAGCGCCATCTCGGCGACCATGCAGTGCCCGGCCTTGCGTGTATGGGCTTTGGGTTAGTTGCTGGGCATTGCCAGGTGTCGTGAAGTGTTGGAACGGATTGTCGGATCTTCTGGCGGGCTTCCGAGTTCTCTTTTCAAGCTGGGGCTTCCGGACCTGAAAAAAACGAAACCCTTACAAGGGCAGAGGTCCGAGTCCACATCCGTCATCGTGGTGGTTCCTCGTACGAAGCCTCTAGGTGTGTCGCCCGCTCTGCAGCGGGACAAGTCACAGATTGATCCATGCTGGCTGGTCATGTGATTGCTTCATACTGCAAAGGAGACACAGCATGTCACGTGACTGTGTCCAGCGAAGCTACCCGTGACATGAGGTTCTGTCTTTCTTGACTATGCATACGTACTACATATAGCTGGAGTACGAAGTCCAAATTCGACACAACAGCATTCGATATGTCAGACAGGTGCGCGTGTGCGTGCATGTTTGTTTGCACACGCGTGTGTGCACGCGTGTGGGTGCAGGTGCTCTGTGTGTGTGTGTGTGTGTTTTAAACCCTGAACCCTCAACCCCTAAATTAAGAAGCCACTGAGTTGTCAGCGTCTGCTTGCTACAAGCCCTCCGATCCCAAATCTCCGAAACGTCCAATCCAGGGCGGGTGATCATTGTGTCACTCGGCAGCAGACTCTACCGCTCTCGGATCGCAGGTTGAGTTGCTTTTTGAGCTCATGCTTCAGGATTCGCTTCAGAGTTCAGGATTTGGTTCCGGTGGTGTTTCATGTGTCTGTTGCACGATTGTTCAAGCATGTGCAGAGTTCAACAACAACAGCAATAGCAATAGCGACAGCAGCAACAGCAACAACTGCTGGTAGAAGTAGTGTAGGCAAAGTAGCAGTAGCAATATCAGCAGTAGTAGCGGTTGCAGTGGCAGTAGCAGGAGGGAGAGGAGGAGGCGGCGGAGGAGGAGGAGCGGGAGGAGGAGGAGGAGGAAGAGGAGGAGGAGGAGGAGGAGGAGGAGGAGGAAAAGGAGGAGGAGGGAGGAGGAGGAGGGAGGGAGGAGGAGGAGCAGGAAAGGAGGAGGGAGGAGGGAGGAGGAGGAGGAGGAGGGAGGAGGAGGAGGAGGGAGGAGGGAGGGAGGGAGGGAGGGAGGGAGGGAGGAGGAGGAGGATAGTGGTAGTAGCGGTGGCAGTGGCTAGTAGTGCTAGGGGTGCTAGTGCTACCAGTGCTAGTGGTGCTAGTAGTGCTTGTAGTGCTAGTGCTGCTTGTCGTGCTAGTACTGCTAGCAGTGCTAGTAGTGCTAGTCGTGCTAGTAGTGCTAGTCGTGCTAGTAGTTCTAGTCATGCCAGTAGTGGTGGTCGTGGCAGTATGCAAGAGTGTATACAAGAGTTGTAGTGGTAGTGGTGGTAGGAGTAGTAGTCGTAGGTGGTGGTGGTGGTGGTGGTGTAAGAATATTGTAATAATCATTAAGAAGCAAGTAGCAAGTAGCAAGAAAGCAGCAAGGAGAAAGCAGCAAGTATTGAACGACTAAGTTTTTCACCAGGAAGTAGTACATAGTAAGTAGCAACAGCCATACGGACACTGCCGCGCAACGTTGTTGATACTACTTAGAAGGCAGATTCAGAAGTCGCACAGGTCATCTCGGACTGCTCCTATGGAGGAACCAACAGGCGGGCACCACTGGAGAAATGAAGCCCCCCCCCCCCCCCTATACCGTCCCCCATTGTGGCCCGCTAAGGCCCTCCTAAGGCCCTCGTGACTCGTCAAAACACCCACCCCGGATCGATCCCCAAAACAACTCGCCAAAATCTGCCAAATCCGCCAAGAGCACCGCCAACCTGAGCCCAAATTCCCTCAGCAAACTCGTGGCTGGAAAGCCAGAAATTGGGTGCCGTGGAGTGGTTTGGCGCGAGGTCTTGCAGAGAGTTCTTCACGCCCCTGAACATGGAGCTGCTTGGCATGCGATTTGCAGAGCTGAGTGGTCGGCTCTTGGGGTAGTTGGGCGGGGTGAACGCCTGAAGATGGTGTCGCCTTGTGGTTTTTGGGTCTTCGCCACCCCAAAGCTCAGTCATGCTGCCTCAAGGCCAGGCTCGTTAATTCCAAGGCTCCAAGTCCAATCTTAGACCGGTGCATTCCCTCTAAGTCGCGACATAAGGTTCGACTTCGTTGACTTCCGGGACCCGGAGAATGTCAAGAAGGCCGGGAGGGGGAAGCGTCCACAGCTTCAGAAATCAGCGTTTACTACATAGGCTCGATGACACTGGATCAAAACGCCCGACAAAGCGATGATGAGAGGTTATGCAGCGGCACGACAGATTTTTTGAGGGTGGCCGCCCGCAAGATCACACAGTTTCCAAAAATGTCGGGATGCTGGCTTGTGCTGCCTGCTGTAGGTAACCGATACCAAACGATAGCTCCTCGTGTCACATCATGCCATGACACAGCTCCCTGAATGTCGTCTGTGACATCGCAGGCCTGGGGTTGCCGGTCAGTCAACGGCTTTCCCATGCCCTCCTACCAACTCCCTACGATGCCGACCGATGCCCTACGACCGATGCCGACCCAAACTTGAGGTGCAATTCCCTGTGCAGCCCTTGATGCCACAGCTCTACAGCCAATCATCTCACATCCCAAGCCCCAAAGCCCTGACAATAAAAATAACAATATGTAGTATTCATAATTCTAATGATAACAAATCACAATAATATTAAGAATACGAATAGGAAGAAGAATAATAATGTTAATCAGAATAAGAATAATAACAATAACAAGAACAATAATAACAATAATGATAAGAGTACTACCAATGATAAGAATAAAAAACAACAATAGTACTAAACTCCGCAAGGCCATGAAGCCCAACACGAAGCTGGTGTTCAGCGAGACGCCGGCCAACCCAGTTTTGCCGGGCCCTCGGCATTTTTTAGAGTGCTCGGATGCTGGGTGCTACCAAAAAAGTCCCTAGTTTCAAGGGAGGCCCGGCAGCTTGGGGCTGAATACCCCAAAGCCTGTGGTTCAGGGTCTGGGATTTCCATGGTTAAGGGGCTTCTTGAGCTCAGAAGAGACTGTTGGAGTGAGCCCTAGATCTTGAAATGCTTGCTGCTTTCAGACAGTGACGGTAGGAGTCTTTGGGCCTCTCCAAACAACACGCTGTGCATCTTCGACTTGGCTAGCGTTGATATTCTACATGCTTAAGAGCACAGTGGCCTAAAAATCGTTGCTGTCCTTCCTGAAACAATCGGCCTCAGCAATTTCATTTAGAGACGCTCTATCCTCACGCACGCATCTCAGACATGCCAGTCTAGTCTAAGCCTCTAAGCAGTCTAGTCTAGAACATACTCCAGCACATTCAGTTCTTGAAAATCGGTTTTTCATGGTTTCAAGTTGTCTCCCAATTTGCCTCCCGTCGTACGTTCAAGCTTTTCAGAAACCGATGGGGCAGGTCCCTCACCGACATCGAGGCTGTTTCAAAGATCGCCCACGAGGCCCTCAGCTGCTGGGCCCTTCGGGTGTGCAGGGAGTGGGATTTAGGGAATCTCGGTAGGGGTTGGACATGGCCATCCGGGGTGTGTAGCGCGATGCCATTCAGGCCATTGTAAAGTTGGGGATGTGCGGTGGCCCCGAATGCTCCTGGCTTCTTCTCACCCTACCAGCTGCAGCGTGCAGTCCTGTGGGAGAGTGTGGGATGTCCTGTTGAAGCATGAAGAGGTGGTTGCAGGTCGAGGGTTTCTGCCGTTGACGTCGACGACAACGATGATGATAGTGATAGGAGAAATTTCATGCCAAGGTGATTCTGCTGATGGTATATCCAAGCAGAATTGTACTAGTACCCCTACCAGCAGGGCAAGAGCTGCCTGGGGGCATGTGGTTGCTTCATGTTGCCTGATGTAATGGGACCTGGAGTCTTTTGGTTGCGCACTGAGCTTGTCACTGTCTGGTTATACATGTACCACTTAAAACCTCTCTTTCTCTCTTTCTCTCTTTCTCTCTTTCTCTCTTTCTCTCTTTCTCTCTTTCTCTCTTTCTCTCTTTTTCTCTTTCTCTCTTTCTCTCTTTCTCTCTTTCTCTCTTTCTCTCTTTCTCTCTTTCTCTCTTTCTCGCTTTCTCTCTTTCTCTCTTTCTCTCTTTCTCTCTTTCTCTCTTTCTCTCTTTCTCTCTTTCTCTCTTTCTCTCTTTCTCTCTTTCTCTCTTTCTCTCTTTCTCTCTTTCTCTCTTTCTCTCTTTCTCTCTTTCGCTCTTTCGCTCTTTCGCTCTTTCGCTGTTTCGCTCTTTCGCTCTTTCGCTCTTTCGCTCTCGAGGACGTAAATCCAGAAGCCCGTGCTGTAGGCTCAAACCCTTGACCAAGAATGGAAGTTGGATCTGATGCAGGCCGGTGCCAAGCACGTAGTGGATGCCACTTTCGCCACGCCGGTCTGGCACTCTGTTGATAGCGCATCAGTGGTGGTACTAACTTGTTTCCTTTACTTGTTTAAACCCAAGTGTTGTGGGAAGGTACCGTGCAAGTTAGCCTGATAGGCTGCGGAATGACTGTCCCATGAGGCCCACATGTCGCATACCGGTGGCGCAGAGTCCTGGTGTTTTATTTCTGCTCTACTCATCACCTGTCATCATGGACTTGCAATGAAGCAAGCGACGGGTGACACAGAGATGGCTTCGAGACGAAGAAGCTGTCTAAACGAGTTGTGGCCGGGCACTGGCTTGGGCCATTCACTCATGACAGGATTCTGACTGGTCACATGCCATGACAGCACCGGCAGAACACAAGCCTCCCACCCCATAAAGCCACTACTCATGAATGTCCCGCTGCCCGGAGTATCTTGTTCAGCCGAGGTCATCTGCCGGCCACTCGACTGGGGAGCAGACATGGTGTGCCTCGGCGGCAGTTGTAGGATTGTAGGCTTGCAAAAGTATGCAACACACTATAGACCACCTGAGAGGCTTTCAAGAGGTAGACTTTTGCAACACGAACGCCGTACGCCGGTGCACCTGAAAGTAGAATGCTAGGCCGGAAGTTTGGAACTCTATTTTTGACTTTCGCTTGCAAGGGTCTCTGGGATGCACGGCTTGTTCTATCCTAAATCCTCATTGTGTTTCCTGGCAGGATTCAGAGCCTCACAAAGTACTACGAGGGTCACAACATGATGACCGGAGGTGGCTGGCGCAGCTGCAAGACCCACTCACTGTAACAGCGCTTTTGTCTCTTCCAAAAGGCGTATTTGCCCGAAAAATCCCACATGCTCTCGTCACCCCCTTTTTGGACTTTGTAGCCTGGGATGTTGGGGCTTAAGCGCCTTGGCCTTCTTCTTGGGTGAATTTCATGGCGATGCTTGAAGACAGGGTTTTCGCCGCAACACCCCAGAAGCACCGCCGCTTATCCAACCCAACGTAGCTTCGTCGACCACAGTGGCTGTCGAGAGCAGGCTAGTACAACTCGAGATGCCACTAAAACGCATCCGAAACCAACCAAAAGCAACACTTTAGGCCTAGGACCACCCCAAATTCCACTCCCCAAGGTCTCTCAGGCACCAAGCATCTGGCAATCTAAGCCTTGAGCTCGCCTGCTCCTGGTGTACAGGGTTGCAGGAGGGTTACCCGAAAGCCAGGTGCTGTGATCAGCAAGGATCAGGCCATGCACGAGAAGGTCAAGTGGGCCACGCCCTCAAAGCAAGTCCATACAGGATTGGTTAGAAAGGGGGATTCAAGGGTTTTGCGGTTGAGCAGGAGGATTCTGTAGGGATTCTGTAAGGGTTCACTTGATGTCCGAGTTCGCCTGTGGTGTTGGGAGACAGGACAGTCCGACCAGTCCTAAGGGGGTGTGCAGAGAGATCTTGTTTTTTGCCATGGCTTCCTTTGGTATCTCAGCCCTAAGCCTCAGAGGTGCAGAACGTCCACGGCAACATCATCAACCCCTTCGCGGCATACATCATCCTCCAGACCAGACACCCGACTGAACAGATCGAGCCGGGGGTTGCCTTTCGGGCCTGTCGGGTTTTGTTTAGCTTGAGCCTCTCGGGCGTTTCTTTCAGGGGTTCACTGTTCACATCAATGACGCGGAGAGCTAGTAGACGGAGTGGGTGAGGCCTTTGCTCATGGAGGTTGTACAGCACTACTCTGAGCTGGTGTAGGCTGTGGTTGCAGTTCTCCAAACTACAAGTCACTGACAGCCACGAGCTGTCAGCAGTGAATAGCTGAGCTCCAAGCTTTGACCCCAAGTGGACTGAGGCAAGACCATGCATCTGCGGATGAGGCAAGTGGGCATCGCCTTGGTATCTTTGCTCCGCTGCTGACTATGACAGCCCATGACAGACCATGGCAGATCCATGGCAGCCCATGACCGCGCTTCATTCCCAAGCGCTGCAGGGCAACACTCTAAGACCTTAAGCGCTCTCGCGCCGAAGCCTAAGCACCAAATAGCCAGGCTCAATGCGGAGCCCAACTGACGTGGTTTAGGGCCCCACCCCCAAAACTTCTCGGCCAGGAAGCAGAGTGAGAATGCCATGGCCATCGCCCAGTTCTTGGAGAAGCACCCAAAGGCGAATCCAGAAAAAGAACTAAACGGGTGTGTGGCTTCTGGTGGCTTTTGGGGGTCTTTGGGGAGGGTGTTTGCGGGACGCTCATCGGCTCAGGGATGTTTGCTGATGACTTTGACGGTTTCTCACTTCTTCTTCATGTTGCATGGTGTGTAATGTCTCAGCTTCTACTTGTGCTTGTCTTCGGGTACCCTGAGCCCCATACTGAGTTGGGGTATGACACCCTCTTTCCTTTTTCCTTGGCATGGCGAGGGCCGAGGGCACACTCCTGGATCTTGCGCAATAGGAAAGTCGCTTGCTTCTCTCTTCTCAACTTGGGACGCCTCTGCCTCCTGCAAGTCTCATGGATAGGAGATCATCTGCTTGACGCGCAGTTCACCCCAGCACGCAGCCGGAAATCCGACCCTTAACAACAACCCTAGGTTTCTGGGAGTGCGCTGGGACGTGACACCTCAGAAACAACACAACAAACTCCCCAAAACCCCCAACGAGGTGACGAAAGTGGTGCCGCTGGGCTGCATGGGTCGCCGGTCCTGTCTCAACGACTGCAAGTTAGAGGAACATGGCATGAGGGTGCGTGGTTTATCCTCACCCCTGTCACCAAAGAAACCAGAATGCAGAGCCACGGAGCCGCGCCTTGAGACAATGTTCAAGCCCCACTCTCATCGAGTGGCGCATCCGCCGTTGGAATCCAGCCGCCCTTGTGACCCGGCTCCAGAGCGCAACCCCGCTTGGGTGCCAAATGTCTCGGATTCGACAAGCACACGGGAATGAACTTGGCGACTTCAACTCCGCCGAAGTGCTGCATGCAGAAAGTCCTTCATCTGGCCGCCATAGAGGCAGCAGGAACTTGTAGGCAGCAAGAGCAGCACAAACCAGCACAGGACCAAGAACGGCATTCAGCCTGGGAAGCGAGAGGCTGCCTGTCTTCTATGCTTGAGAATGAAAGCTTGAGCTTCGAAGCTCGCCTAAGCCCAGGGTTCTCCCTCTGAGGCTGAAGGGGCTAAAGGGGCTGAAGGGGCTAAAGGATGTTCGAGGTCCCCAAAGATGACTTGCATGCTAAATCTGCAGCGCCCTTGCGTCCCAAACGAGGTATCCTGGGCTGGCCTCTCACCCGCAGAAGGACTTGGCAGACAAGCCCCCCGCCTCAGCTGGACATTTCGGTACTTGAGTTTCGGTATTTGAGGTTGGAGGGATGCTTGACAGACTTGACAAGCACAAAGAGCTGCAAAAACTGTCCGGGTCGAGAGCTGTTCCGGGCTTACAATGTTGAGGAGTGCTGGTGGAGTTGGACTGCACCTTCATGTAAGACCCTAAGCCGCCCCCGCCTAATCTTTCTCCTTCTTAGAAAAAGGAAAGCAGAACCCATCGCCTCGCAGGTACCACCGCGACGGCCTTCACGGCGGCATGCTGTGGCGCCTTGGGATCAAACGGTCGAATCCCACCGAAACCCCACTTCAGACGTTCACAACTTTGAGAGTCACATGCTTTGAGCCCTGTCGCCCGCTAGATGATGCACAGGTTTGACATCGTCGGTGGCTCCGCGGCGGGCACGAAACTCATGAACGCCCCATGGCCGAAAATTCAAAGCAATGAGCTTGACAGTTTCAAGGTGAATCATCGCAAGAGATGGCGCCTGAAGCCGAACCATCTCGAACCCTAAAAAACGCCTTGAAGACCCGGATCCGGATCCCTGAGCGGCAAAGGTTTGCCAGCGCCCATGGAGCTTGTGCGAAAACCTGGGTGCCACTGAGCCACCTGTCAACCAATTCGGGCTTCAAAACCAGGGTCTCGGGTTTTGCGTCACGGCAGTCCCTTCCCTATCCTTTGAACAGGGTATGGGGTGAGTTAGGCGAAGAGCAGAAAATCACAACCCGAGGCCACCAACTGCAAGACAAACCCTGCACCTCAGCCCAAACCCTAAGACCCTCAGCCAAACTGTCTCATCCTGCGCGAGCTCAGGAGCATCATCACAGCGTGTGCCGTCATGACCCACGCCAACATGCTGAAGGAGGAGCCTTTGCCAGAGTAACTTTTGCTGCGACATCTCGTCACAGCTCGAATCCTAAAGCCTGCAAGTATCTTCACCCGAGCTCAGGGTTCTGTTTGAGCAACCGAGGATCGGCTCAAGGCCGGCAGGGGCACGGGCGGTGGCGGGAGGGTTGCAGCGGGTCTGCGGCTTTCGAGGGGTGAACACGGTCTTCCTCACGTCCCAGGCTGCACAAGCTCCAAGCCATTCAGCCGAGAGCCCCTGCCCTCGGAATCTCCCAAAAATCCTTCTTCGCCCAACATCTCTGGCGAGAGGTGGGGATCACCGATGGCTTTATCCGCATCAGCTGTGGAATCGAGGCTCCGCTCTCTGGAAATCTGCAAGCATGGTGCAGAGGGGTTTGGGGTTTAGGGTTTAGGGTAGGGTTGTAGGGATTGAGGGTATCATGGGTTGTAAGTTGTATGAGCCCGAAGCTCCGCGGGCCTCTGAGAAGACTGGAGGTTGAATGAGGCAACATCCTACCATCTTAACCCCCTCCCCAGCACCCCCCCACCCCGCATCCTTATCCTTCACCACCCCCACGTCCTTCACCGCCCGGCCAAGCAGTCTTCAGCCTGACAATCGTAGTGAAAAAATGTGCGTCGATGGTTTTGAGTGCCCCTAAGCCTTAAACCCTAAACCCTAAATCCTAAACCCAAGGTGTAGGAATGTTGCGTAAGATGTTGCACGACTCACGCGAAAGGACTCGTCCGACCTGATCCGGGCTCTCGAAGTGGCACTGGCACAAATCTGAGAGGCGCCCAGCTCAGAAAAAGTCCCTAAGCCCGTACCTGGAGCATGAAGTTGACGGTCCACTAGCTGCAGAATTTTGGGGTTGGCTTTTTTTGGAAGGTTTGTAGCCCTAAACGCTTAACCGCTTGAACCGAAACATCGACTGGCGCCCTCAGTGGCAAAAGCGCCGGCCGGCCAGCGGGGCCAGCGGGGATGCCGATTCTTCATGGGCGGTGGAGGCGGTAGAGTGGCACAGTGTGGCAACGGTTGCAGCGGCAAAGGTTGCAGGGCTTCAGGGTTTCAGGCTGTGTGGGCCGGGACGGGGTTTCTGTTCCAGTTTGGGGTACAGGGGGCTGATTGGTGACTGCGGGGTTTGACACAACTAGGTTGCAGGATTCGCGCCTCTCCCACCCTCAGGCCCCCCACTCGCGGCCCATCCCTGGAAGCCGATGGTGCACGCCACGGCCAGACAATCCAAGCAATACCAAGCAATACGAGTTGGGAGTTGCAACAGTCATGCCGGGATCCTGCCAAAGGGGTTTATGCATCAGGCAAGCCTGAGGGTTGAGGCCTACATCGTAGTCCAAGTTTGGTGACCTTGGTCCGCCCTCTCGCAAGTATCCCTAGCACAAGTCCACCACCAAGAAGGGCCGTGTAACGACGTGACTCCAGCTCATGCTGCGTCGGCTTCCAGGGCACTAATCCCAGTAACTCTTGCGAGTAGACCATGTTGCAATATGCACGCTACGCGCGCCAACGACGTGGATGGTTGCCTCTGTGGGGTCTGGTTCGCTAGCTCACTTACTTTAGTATGAGGAGAGCGCATGAAATAAGCGAGCTCACTACTTTTTGTTGGAGATCTGTTCGCTCACACCGTTTTCATCTTATTTCGAGCGTTTACGGGATTCATGCATCCTAATGACCATGCCATCCAAGATTCGCGAGAACGGGGAACACACGCTATGAGCACAGAAAGAATACTATATATAGCCAATCCGCCAAGCAAGATTCTTGATTGATTTTAGTGAAGGCGGCCTTCAGAAGGAGGTTTGGCCTCAGGCCTTGTTGTTCAAGCTTGTGCCAGGTGATACACCGCAACAGCTACCAGGGAAGCAGACGCAAGCCAAGAAACTGAAGAATACTCCAAAGCGGTGACCATCCACAATCTCTCCTGCGGTTAGCAGAGACAATCTCGAGGCAGTAGTGCGACGTGTCGGAAAAAGTCTTGACACACGGCCCCTCGTGTTGCTGTGAAGACCCAAAAGCGATCAAGCTCCATTCGCACTGCGAGTGGTAGAGTCCAGCCCCAAACGCCCAGACCCTAAGTAAAAGCCCGGGCTAAGGCGGCTAAGCCATATGCCCCAAATTCATGGTGGAGCTGCCAAAGGGCTCTGGATGCAATGCTCAGCTCAGGTTTCCGAGTTGAGCAGGGACGCCCTTGGCTAAGGCTAAAGAGTCTTGAGCCATCGACCCCAGCATCTGCAATACTGTCTCACGTGCCGCAGCTTTTGCAAGCATGTTAGATCAAGACCGTCAGAAAACGAAAAGAAGGTACGCAGTAATCACGAAGCCAGCGTAGCTAGAATGAGTTTACCTCTGCTTTCACAGGATGTTCGGACCAACCCCTTCAGAGTTGTCTTGTCATTTTTCGAGGGAAAAGGGGGGGTTCACTATTGATCTTATCGTTTTGGGGGTGGTCTATTGCACCCATCAAGTCGCCATTTGGAGTATACTTGAGGCTTACACGGGAATGTTGAGCTATAGCAATAGCAATAGACTGCGGTCTCTATGAGCGCACGTTGGTGCATCTTCTTCTCTCAAGCACGTTTTGTTGAGAGCTCTGCGGACCTGTTTCGTTCGCAAGATTATGTTCTCTCACTCGCTTGTATTTGATAGCTCGTGAGGGCCAGATCGCGATCTTTATGAGCGCCTGGTAGGGGCGGTGGCGGCGGGCAGTTTTGTGTGGTGGTGGCGTGTGGTGGTTGTGTCTGAGTCTGGTGATGGTAGTGTCGTGGTGGTGATTCCAGTGATGGTGATGTGTGGTGGTGTGCGGCAGATGGGGTCTGAGCCGGGTCTTGCTGGTCCTGGAATAGCTGCTGCAAGCCGGCTCTATGCCGCCTAGAAGCTAGGCTAGCTTTCGTTGACCTCGGCTTGCCGATCAAGTTTCTCAGATGCTAGTATCCATCTGGGTTCCCTGACTTGGGAGCAAGAGCCTTCGACACCTTGACCCTGACCCCCCACGACGCTGACTTCCAAGCAGCCCTTGTTGCAGCCGTAGAGAACTCACCCCCTACCGACAAGAGAGAACGGAGCCAGCAACTATCTGGTACAGAGATGGCGACGGCCAGTTTCCGCCTCTTCGATGTCGCGAGGCCGTTCGCCTATTTCGAACTACCCGATTCATGTGCTCCAGATTGAACGGCGTTGTGCCTCCCCCCCTCTTCAATCAGCGATACCCTTGGAAGGCCCCTTTGCTTCGCTGCAGCTGCAGCGGCTGCCGCGGTGCGGCGGAGGGAGCCGGCGCCCGGGAAAGGCCGTTTGGCGGCGGGTGGGCTTAAGCTGAAGGCCTAGAGGCCTAACGTTACTTCAGCTTAGGCCTGTAGATGCCTCGGGGTTTACGGTTGCTTTCTCTCGGTTTCCATTGCCGGGTTCGTGCCACGTTGGTTGCTGCAAAGAATAGAAGATACTGTATGTCTTGGAACCCCCTTGTTTGACCTTGATTTGCGCCCTTTCTTTACACCTGGATTCGCAGACCCCTTATGACACCAAGAATTTTCAAGCCATGTTGGTGTGCTTGGAGCATGACCAGGCCAAAACCACCAGCGACAGTGGTTCGTGCAACGGATAGGAGGCGCTGGGAGCTTGGACACTGGCATTGACAGTCGTGTTTGCGTCGATGTGTGCCAACATACCGACCCTTTTGACCGGATTTTGGCGCCTACATGTTTAAGAAACGTGACCTGGCACAGGCCATGGCGCTCTGTGGTGCGAAAGCACCAAGAAGGCGGGAAACCTGCACACCACACGTGCAGAGAAGCAAAATGCCAAGCCCGGAATCTTTCTGAGGCTACGGCCGGAGGTTCGAGGGGTTCCAGGCGAAGCGTCGTGGGCAGAGTGGTAAAGTTGTAAAGACTCTACTGGCCGAATATCTCGATGGCGATCCTTACTTCAAGGGTTGGGTGATTGGGCCCAGGGGTTCGTGTTAGGCGGCTAAGCCTTGTCAAGCCCTGTAGCCCTTGCAGACTGCACACCCCAACTCAAGACCCTCGAGGTGGCCATCGGCATCGACCTCGGAACGACCTTCTCCTGCGTGGGCGTCTGGAAGGCCCACGGTCGCACTGCATGCCGTCACAGCTTAAGACCCGAAGGGTCTCGAAGTCAATTTTGACCCCTGGAGCCAAGACCACTCCAGCACGGGGACCCGAGGCGAGATTATCATTGGAAAGCCTTTGGCACTCCGTCAGATGCAAAGGCTTTTGGAGTGGACACAAAGCGAATTCCAGGACCGTGCAGGAAAGCGCGCTCCTGCCACTTTTTCGTGACATGGAGCGATTCAAGCCTCACAAAGCGCACGGGACCTAGGCGAGCCCGCAAAGGGCAGCGTGTGGCCACCTCAAGCTACCCCTCCAGACTCGGTAGGAACTCTTATGCCGCACTAAGAATCCCAAAGCCCCTTCACGTCTTCTTGGGCTCCAGGAAGACATGGGCAACATGGTAGGACAGTTGGCTGTGGACAGATTTCAGTATCGTCGCTTAACGCGAGGGGGTGGGGGGGGGGCGATCAGGATGGCGGTGTGCAGATCATCGAGAACTCCGAGGGCAAGAGGACCACGCCCTCCTTCGTGGCCTTCACCGAGGCCCCCCCTTCCATCATTGAAGTCTATGGGGGTTTACGATATTCTGGGTACCTTCTTGGGTCTTTTTGGGGAGCCCTATGTTCGTAAACTCCCGTATGAAGTACTTCGTGGCCCCCCCGGAAAACTATTAAAGATGCGACCAGGCCGAACGCCTTGTCGGCGACGCTGCCAAGGCCCAGGCAGCACGGAACCCGGCGAACACGCCACCCGACAGCAGACGGTCTATGGGATGGTGGTTTTGGGTTTTTTGGGGTGTAGTTTGCGGGCGTTTACGAGGGTCTTCGAGGCTGTTGGACGTCTGCAATTTTTTTGCTTTTCACAAGGGTTTGAGGGTGCCTTGGCGTTTCGGCTCTTGGGCTCGTAAGGTCAAGGTCTGGAATGCTTAGGGCTATGAAGCACTGCTGTACCACTCGGCACGCAAGGAAAGTTGAGGCAGTACCTGGGCGCAACGCCGAATCAACAAGCCTTTGGCCTTAGAAATTGAATTGCATGCATAAACCTGCAGAAACAAAAGTAAGCCCTAACCCTAACCGTCCTCGGCTCAACCCTGTCGACCCAGGGTCTACGATGCCAAGCGGATGCTTGGCCGATGTTGTGGGAGGGGGACGAGGGGATGGCGGGATGGTTGTGCAGCTCATGGCTTTGTCACGAGATGGCTGAGGAGGGTCTAGGTTTCGAATATTGTGCGCCCGAGTCCTGGGGATTAGCTGTATGTGCAAGATGAGTTCATGCGGCGAAGGCTGGGGATATCTGAGGAGTCTAAGGCTATGGCTAGGGACCACCCAAGTTTCAACCCTCAGCAGCTGCGTGTCCTCGTGCAACTGAGTTATGCTTGTATTGGCTATGAAGGGTGAGAGGAAGTTAGTGCCCAGGCTCATTGGCCGGAAGTTCCAGGACGGACCCGTGCAGGCTGACATGAAGCACTGGCCGTTCAAGGCAGATTGGTGGGTGGGGGATGGTGGGGGTGGATGGGCGTGTAGCGAGGGTCGAATATACCTCTGGTCTTCGTGCCTTTTGCTCCTGCCCCAGGCGCTCAACTCCAGTCTCAGGTGTACGTGCATCCTTCGTATTGTTATGAAGGCTTTAGCAAATGTTTTCTTTCTTGTTGCTGATTGTTGTCCATCAGCTGTGTGTTGCTAAGTCTTGCATGAGAGCCGCAGTGGCATGTGGCACCTTCCGCTGCCGATATGCTCGGTGTGCCAACCCCCATGCTTCGGATTCTCACACTCAGTGCCTTAAACGAGTACTAAAGACGAGACTTTCTTGCAGAAAGTTAGCCTTTCCTGGTGTTTTCAGGAGATGCCTGTCCTACCATCTGTATAGCGTCATCCGAAATGGTGATGCCAGAGTCGTTTTACCTTAATTCTGGTCCCAAACGCCGTGGCATGTTTCTAGACTGGGATGGCTTCAGAAACCCTCCTCTCAGCAAAATGGGTTGAAACAACAAGTGCTCTCGTATTCCAAGCCAGACACGCCCAAGCATCCATTAAAGTGATCAGGTGGTTCGTGGCAAAGACGACAAGCCGCTGGTCGAGGCTCCGCCCTCTGGGTCTTCAGGGCCCTTTTTGGGTTTTCGGGTATCTTGGGGATGTTGTGGGGATCTTCTGGCAGTGGCTCCGGGGCCGTGTCCTGCTTCTCTGACCTAGAGGCTGGAGAATGGGGCCCAAGGTGCAGTTCCAGGGCAAGACCAAGCAGTTCCATCCGGAAGAGGTCTCAGCACCGTGGCTCAGTGAGTGAGGGACGCCTCGAATCTGCCATACGTTTGGAGTCTACGGCCTTGCGCTCTGGATTGGAACCAGATGCTCGGATGGCCCCCCGAACAAGCCTGGCGCAAAGCCTGAGAGACTTGATGGGATTCGAAGGGGTGTATCGAAAATTTAGGTACAGAGTTTGGGATTTAGGTAACCCTGGGTTTGACACTCCCGAACTCTGACCCTCAATCCAAGCTAATACTTTCACTGTACAAAACATAATACAAACAAACAACAACTCAACAAAAATAGTCATAAAGCGCTCAACGGTAAGCCCCTGTGCTACGAGGCCATGGTCCTTCAGAAGATGAAGGAGACTGCAGAGGCAACCAAGAGCTTTGTCATAGGGTGATTTGAAGGGTAGGGTTCTAAGTCACTGGTAGGGTTTGAGGAGGGTTTGGGTTTGAGGGTTTGGGCGTTTAGGGTGTGGGGGGTTCAGGTGTCGAGGAGTATGGGAGGATTCGAGGATACGAAGGGCATCTTCAAGCTGGGCGTAACTTCGTGCGTTGCCGGTTGCAGGTTTCTCGAGGCTTGAGAAACTACGACACGTGAATCTGAGGACATACTGCAGGGCTTTGTTGCGAAGATTTGGTTCGACTGCCACTTCAACCTCCGCCTGAAACCCGAGCCCCGCATTGCTTTTGAAAACGCACCATCTCCATCTCCATTTCCATCCCCAAACCCAATCTCCATATCTCCCACTCCCACTCCTTGTCCCTCTCGGTTTCTTCCTTTCTTCTCTATCTCTGGAAGGCCCACTTAGGCCACCCCGTCACCGATGCGGTGATTACGGCGGCCTTGTCTGCAGCCTGAGGTAAGGCCTTGGTGTGGGGCTGTTAGACTTTTAGTCCCGCCGCCCCAAAAGCGTCCCTGAAAATCTCCCCGCCGAGCCCACCCTCACGGTTAAATCCGAGAGTCCTGCCGAGCATCGGCCACACCAAGAGAATTCCCACCAAGAGTCCCGCGCCGGTGGGACTCGCGACTCGGCGCGAAGTGCTCTTCATTGCCTGTCCGAAAACGGTAGGTCAACGGATATTGAATCTACGACGCGCGACACAGAAGATGGTGTGAAGAATCTTGTTTTCTATTCGTACACAAAGTATCAATCCTGCGTATTTTGCAGAGTCCGCACCAAGAAATTGTGCTCGCGCTTGTGATTTGTTGTGTCGTGCATGTAGCATGAACGAAGAGTGCGGGCATAATTGTCACAGCCATGTCTCAAACCGTTCCCACTGTCCACTGCCCAAACATGGCTCGCGTCGGCAAACCATGGGAAGTTGGTGGCTGGCGAAGAAGGGGCGGGACTTGCCTCCCTCCAATACTTTGTAACCCCTCAAACACCATGCTGGAGTAAAGCACCAACACATGGCTTTCCGAGGTGCCTGCGTACTTCAACGACTCGCAGAGGCCAGAGAAATGCACTAAATTATGATGTCGTTGTTCCACAAGGGCATCCAACTTAGTAATGTCAACGGTGTCAACTAGTGTGCAGCCAGCGTCCAAATAAGTGGAAGATAACGGATGACATCTGGTGGAGCTGGCAGAAGGAGGCGATACAATGCTGAAGGAACCAATGACAAAAGGAAGGTGCCCCCTTTGCAGCAGAAAACCCTTGTGCCAGAGCCTGATCCTGATCCACAGAAAGGCGCCCTAAACAAAGTGTTGGGCATCCGCCCAAACTTGCCGAGCGCTTTGATAGGCAGGCGACGAAGGATGCAGGGGCCATCTGCGGTCTCAACGTCCTCAGGAGTCTCTTGGGATGACTCGTTGGAAAAGTCGTTGCCTCACTGGGTGCACGGACCCCTCTCCAGCCGTGGATGAGGGTTTCGGGTTGAACTTGGGCTTTAGATGCTTTCCCCGGAAACCCCCTCAAGCCATCGATGGAACCACAAGCTCCAGACTTGAGCCTAAACGTCCCAACTAGAAAGCCCAAACCGACAGAAGAGGATAATCAACGAGCCCACTGCAGCAGCCTTGGCCTACGGCGGTGAGCTCAGCAGGGAGAGGCAGCAGCCACCTTTTCGTGTCTGCGGAGACGACAAAACTGCTTTGGATCCAGGCAAGGGCCCTTACCGTTTCTTGGGGTGTATGGCTGGGTTCGTGCGCACCCTTGCACGCTTCTGTTTGCGTGAGGAGCAGGGAGGGGGCAATCTTAACTCTGACCTTTTGAAACCCCTAAAGCTTGAACGCTGACTGCCCAGAATTCTTCGAGTTCTCTCCGCCTAAACCCTAAACCCTAAACCCTAAACCCTAAACCCTAAACCCTGAACCCTAAACCCTAAACCCTAAACCCTAAACCCTAAACCCTAAACGTTAAATCTAAACCCTAAACCCTAAACCCTAAACCCTAAACCCTAAACCCTAAACCCTAAACCCTAAACCCTAAACCCTAAACCCTAAACCCTAACCCCTAAACCCCTAAACCCCTAAACCCCTAAACCCTCCAACAATTTGGGCCTTGCTGTCGAGGCCTGGACTCTAAAGAGCGAGGAGCCAGGAATGCCTGGGGGCCTGGTGCAAGTGTTCTCCGAGGGAATTGGGGGCAACGGGGGCTACCCTTCTACGAAGCGCGAGAATTTTTAGCAGTAATTTACAAGAAGTGGAAGAAATGGGCCAGATGCGCGAGACGTTCTCAGGTTTTTGGGAGGTGGGTTTGTGAGCAGTTGCAGTGGCAGGGGCGAAGCCGGACAACCCCAAATCCCAAGCCAGGTTCTGGTGTACGATATGGGTGGTGGGACCTTCGACGTCTCGCTGCTCGAGATTGAGGCACCTTCACAGAGAAAGCCTCATGATCCAACAAAACCCCTAAGGTGGTCGAGGTCTAAGAGTGCCATTGTGTCTTCGAAGCCTATGGAGATGTGAAGCCCCAAATGAAATCAGGGAGAAGAACAGAGATGTCTGGAGTGGTTCACTATGGGGCGATTCATGGCTCCCTGAGCTTCGAGCCTTACAACGCCCTTCGTTGGATTTGTAGTGATCCTGGAGGACGGTGTGTTCGAGGTCAAGGCGACTGCTGGTGACACCCACCTCGGCGGCGAGGCGCCTCGAGAAATGTAGAGCTGAGGGCTTTGACAATGGCAAGCCAGCCCAGCGTTGCCAATCTCCATCCCGGCCGGCCAAGGACTTCAGCAACCGCCTCCTTGAGCACTGCATCAAGGAGGGTTGGGGCTGAGCATCTGTTTCATGATGTTGCCAGGAGACACTTTCCGAAAAGTGAGGGTTATGAGCTCCCAAGGCCCCTGAAGTCCCCCGTCAGCCGGGATACTGTCGGATGGGTTGACGCCTCGCCCTTGTCTGAAACAAGGTTTGGGCGGCAAAAGGCTCCACAAGCCTCCACAAGCCCCTACAAGGCCCCTCCAGGCCAAACTACTGGTTGCGGTGTCTAGGCACTTACCTCCGGCGTGAAAGTTGAAATAAGATTTCTACAAGTTGGGAGGTTGACTCAGGTCCTAAACGAAAACGAAGCCCAAGCAGATGAGTGTTTGATTCATCAACCATGCGAGGAGTTCGAGAAGAAGAACCGTGGGAAGGACCCGTGGATTGAACGAAGTGTCCCGTATGTAACCGGCCGATTTGCAGACTTTTGTTGGTCTTGAGATGCTGCTGTGTCATAGCTAACCCGGATACAATTTGGCTCATTGGTGGGATACGGTTCAAGGCCCTGCCCAAGGTTCTTCACACATGTGTGTCGGAGGTGCTTTGGCAGTATGTAGTATGGACGACGGAATTGTATTTCGGGCAGAAGATGATGCTGTGCGACAATCAGATACATATGCATAGAATTATCGGCATCATACAGAAGAAAGCCTGCTCCGAAAGTCATGTCATTCACGCCATTGTCTCAGGGCACTGCAGCCGCTACAGTAGCACCTCCAAAGAAGCCGATGGCCGCGAAGCCTTACACAATATCTACACACCCTGAACAACTGCTGCAACACTGTTCCTCCGACTGTCATCCAATTCCTTGCACGCCCAGAGTTTACATCCAATGCACCCATGAAGTCGGTTCCCTCCAATCTGCAAGCTCGTTAACATCTCTGAGTCAGAGGCTTGCCTGACTGGCAGGAAATCTGATATCAAGTGCACTTTCCCTGCCGAGCTCTGCTTGCAAAATCCTCACGCCGCCACCTGGGCTCTTGCAGGCCCCTGAACCCCAAGAACTACAAAAAACCCTCAACCCTAAAAAATTGCCAAGCCCGAACCCTGCAGCAACGGCAGCCCGCAGGAGGTCCACAAGAATCAGCGAGCCTTACGGCGGCTGCAGGCCGAATGCGACGCGGCTCCGATCTGAGCATTCGCTGGAAAGTGAGGTCTCTCAACACTTGGGCAGGGAGGGTTTGCTCGCCTTTCGGGTGCAGGGTTGAGGGAGTAGGATGCCCTATACCAGCCTCCTTTTGGGCTGAAACCCCCAGCCCGCACCCTGAGGCCAAGAGGACGCTTTCTTCGTCAACGCAGGCATCCATCGAGGCTCTGTTCTTGTTTAGGGTTTAGGGTTTCGGGTTTAGGGTTTAGGGTTTAGGGTTTAGGGTTCAAGGCGAAGTTCTTGGCAGGTGGCGAAAAACTTGGCTCAACTGGGGGGGAGTGAGTTCTGCTTCATCGGGCGACGCTGATTTTGCAAGTTGGGCCTTAAACCAACCCACATGTTGAGACCCCCAGATCTGAAGTTTTCGACTCTCAACTCTCAAACCTCTGACTGATTCTCCGCCGTCGGCTGGGAACTTGTTAAATGTAGGATCTCCAACTGTCTCGAAGTGGTCGGCCGCAAAACAAGAAGACACCGGAGCCTGCTAGCATCTGCCAACTCCTTTCCGTTGAGTTTCCCAAGTGGTCTGCAACAGAAACATCTCGGAGCGAGCGGGTAGGTGGATTCCCTGCTGGATGGCCTCGACTTCTCCTTGACGATGAGCCTTGGCCGCTATGCCCCGTATAAAGGGTGTGCACCCTAAGCCCCCCGAAAGTCCTACTTCAACGGGCTAAGGTTCGCGGAATTTTGCATTTTTGGGATTCAGGAAATAGGACCGAAAGCCCGACAGCCCTTGTTGCTCAATCCCCGCCCCTCCCGCCCCCCAACCACAACCAGTCAATGGAGCCTCTAAGCACCTTGGCAACCCAAGATCAATGCCCTTAAGCCTTAAGAGTTTAGAGCCCGGAAACCCTACCAGCTCCTGATTCGGGCCTCGCGAAACACCAAGGACCCGGGCGAAGTTTGAGGCGCTCGGGTTCTTTGGGCTACGTTCGGTAGGCCTTTAACGGTTCAGCGGTTTTGCAGCGTTGCGTTGAAAATGGATGGCTTCTTGGATAGTCTATATGCACTTTGTGGCCGGTGTCTCGGTCAGAAAATTTGGAAATTCAGCTGTTTGTTCTCGTCTTGCGTCCCGCCGATTCGTTCTGCCGTGCTGCACGTGCTCTGGAACTGACACAACCTTTTTGCCCTGCCCCGAACTCCTACATGAAACAGCGACAGGTCGCCGAACCGTAAAGCCCGAAGTCTCAAACCGTCTGAAACCACAGCCCTTAACCGTAGAGGGTCTACACCCTGAGCCATGCATGAAGTGTACCTTCCAACTTCAGCCTCCAAGCCGCGAATCTAGACATCCACCCACAGGGGCTCGAGACACAGAACTTGGGGCAGGGTAAGTTTAGGGCCTTTTGGGATGGGGGCCTCGGGCTGTCAAACATGGCTTGAGGGCAAACGAAGGCTGAAGCCCCAACCTGCAAGCGCCGTTCTCGAGGAGCTGAACCAGGACTTGTTCAAGCGGTCCATGGACTCGGTAGCGAAGGCGTGGAGCCTCCCTGGGGAGAGGCCTCTAAGAGCTTTCGGAATTTTTAGTGTTTGGAGTTTCTGGGCTTCCCCCAACATTGGCTTTAAGAGAGGGATTTGCAGCGCAGGCTTTGGGCTCAAAGGATCTAACTCGGCCTTCCGGAAGGTGCTCAGCGACGCCAAGGTTGATCGCAAAGCCATCGATGAGGTCGGGCCCATGTGCATGGGTCGGCTCTGCACAGGGCGCATATTGGGAGGGGCCGTCTCGGCGGAATTTCCATGCTTCGCTCATTAGTTTCGGCATTGAAGGGGCTAGTGGTAAGACTAAATGGAAGAGCCCGTAACTAGTGCTTGAAGTCCAATGAATGGTTTCTTAGGAACACATGAAAAGGGAGGAGGTTAATGGCTTGGGTTCCAGATTTTTGCTCTTTATCAGGCTGGACAGGGACTCGTTACGTTCCCAAGGTGTGACAGAAGGTATCAAACAGCCAAATATTGGGGCGCTCACATTGACGCATGAAGTTTTTTGGACGTTTAGGCTCACTGCTGGCCTTAGAGTCTGTCGTCGCGATGCAGGTGGTGCTCATTGGGGGCTCCACAAGGATACCTTACGTCCAGAAGCTCATCGAGGACCCCGCCCTGGACCCGTTTTGCAGGCCATGGATTGGAAGTCACAACCTTTGCCCAAGCGCTGCTGCAAGGAGTATTTCAAGAAGGAGCCCTGTCGCTCCATCAATGCCGATGAGGCGGTGAAGTCTGGGATGAAGGACGTTGGAGGATTCGAAGTTCGATTTCAGGGATCGTGCTGGCTCCCCCCAAAATTTAGAGCATTCCAAGCTGCACATCTGTCTAGGAGGTTCACATTCACGCTCTGCTGTGGCATACTCAACAACACATGAATCAAGTCCCCAGAACTTTACATAACAGACCCCACATCCCAAAAAACAAATTCAACACAACGCCAGAAGCCTCAAATTGCAACCCAGAAAGTCCACCTCACAGAACCTAAAACCCAAACCCTACACTTCTAAACTGCAGACTCCACCCTAAACTCCTTCGTCCTAACCTAGGTCCTAACCGGTCCTAACCTCCAAACCCTAAACCGCGCAGAGGCAGTAGCCTACGGCGCTGCGGTGCAGGCAGCCGTCCTCAGCGGCGTCAAGGCTGGCGCTTGGAATTTACGGGTGTTCAGGGATAGTGCGTTCAGCTTTGGCATGGAAGGCTAAGGTTAGGGCTTTAGCGCTTTAGGAGGATTTTTGGGATGCAAAGGTTGTGGGGCTTTCGGGCTTCAGGGCTCTAAACGGCTTTAGGGAAGCCAGTGGGTCGAAGCCAAATGCGGAGCCCAGGGTGTAGTTTGTTTTTGGGGGTTCTACGGCAACAGGGAGCAAGGCTCGCTTGCAACCTTTTGCTCTAGACCGGTAAGCGGCACCTTTCAACGATTCATGCCTAACGGTGTTCAAGCCGAAGTAGTCCTCAACCCATGGACACCTATCTACAAAACATGCCCCGAACCCCCAGACCCACATGTTCGGTCAGGGCAAAGATTCTCCCTTGAAAGACCTCGTGCTGCTGGACGTGACGCCCCTTTCGCTGGGCTTGGACACATGGCAGGGAGACATCTTCGAGAGCTTTTCACGGATGCAAACCCAGGTTTCTATCTTCGACTCCCAGCCCTGAGCCCTGCAGGTCCCCATTGCGGGTGGGTTTTTTTTGGGTGGGTTTTGGTGGGGTTGGAGTTGCTGGCAGAGTCTATGGCGCAGCTGCCCAGGAAACAGCAGGTGGAGTTATGACAAGGCGGGTGTGGGCATGCGACTGGCGTCGACGGACTTCATGTGCTCCCCTTCGGAGTGCTGGTGCGAGCGCTGAAGGGTCATGAGTCTTCCGGCAGGCTCATTGAGAGGAACTCCACCATACCGACCAACAAGAAGCAGGCCGGAGCCAGCATGGGTCGGCAAAAAGGTCTGCCTAAGAGGTGCAAGTGAAGGACTCAGGGTCGCGAGCGGGCCCTAAAACCACCACGTTTGCTCTTGGGGTGAGGACTTGGAATTTAAGAAGTCTCAGACCCCAACAACATGTCTGACAGGTCTTCTCAACCTACTCCGACAACCAGACGGCTGTGACGATTCAGGTCGAAAATTCTTGGGGCATTGATGTAGACAGGATTCTTGCGGGGAGGGTGATGATCTTGCAGCAGTGGAACTCTTATCTGCTTCGGGAGTGGGGGGGTGGGGGGAGTGGAGCACTTTCAAGGATTTTGCCGGTAAAGTTCAGTTGGAAAAAGCTTAGTAGCTTGGGGCTCAAGCTCAGATCCTCACTTCGATCCCCCGAACGCAGCCCGCAGGTCTACGAGGGCGAGCGCTCCATGACAAGGCTTTGAGCCGGGTTCATGTTTCAATATAGTTGCAGCACCTTTGGCCGTGGTATTGAGGCCTGCATAAGCATCCGTAAAAGGTTGCAGGGTGTAGAAGGAGGGAAGAACAAATCCTCCAACAAAAGCTTTGGCGCGTCTTTATGGGGGGAGGAACCAAAAAGTCCCACTTCTTTCTCAACCCACCTGATTGGCCAGCATTTCCGGCAAATACTGCAAGTGCTTCATGGGCCTCGCCAAGGTTATGAGGGGGAATACGTTTACAACGATACAATTAGACCTTGCTTGGAAATAGTTAGAACTCGACCTTCTCCTCACCTTCTTGCGGGACAAGTTGGCGGGACAGGTTTGTTCTGGAGCGGAGCTCCTCAAGACGCATCCCAACACACAACTGTTGGCAGGTTCTGGGGTGGGCTCGTTGGGTTTGCTGGACGCGGGTTTGGGTATGATAGTGTAATATGTGGGGTTAGGGGGGATGGTCCGACTTGTGTGAGAGCAAGGAAGGCTTTCACTGGCACTCGCCCCCAGCTTGCTGGGGTCGGCGGATTACAAGTTGTAAGTACTTATGAATAAGTATGAATACGTATAAGTAAATCGGCCGTAATTATGAGTAGACGTAATTACAGTAATTCCAGATACTTGTAGGTAATTGTAAGGGCCCCAGCTTCCGGATGGTTCACGACAGGGACAACCGCCTCTTGGGCTCGTTTAACCTCGACGGCATCCCACCGGCGCCGCGTGGCGCCGCGCGGCCGCGATTTTTTGTTTGCTTGGTTTGCTCTACACTACTGGTTGGGGGTGTAGGGAGGGGTTTCGGGTTTAGGGTTTATGGCTTAGAGTTTAGGGTTTAGGGTTCAGGGTTTCGGGTTTAGGGGCAGGTGGGGAGGGGGTTTGATTGAATTCCAAAGATGCCGTGGGCTTCGGCTTAGGCTTGGATGGGTTTTGGGAGGTTTGGATTTTCGAGGCTGCAAGATCCAGGTGTCTTGCCAGGTTCTTTCAAGTTGCTGTGTGGGGTTGCAGCTTCGCGTGCGTGTTGAGAGCTGGTTGGGCCGGGCAACCCACAGGGTGTGGAGAGGGCCCAACGACAGTTCTACGACACCAGGGAAAATCCTAAAGAAAGGCTGGGATTAGGAAGTCCCCACGCGGCAAGCAAAGTACCCCAAAGATTGCGCGACAAGCAAAGCATCTATTTCCTGGCTGACCCGAAGCCCGAATTCCCAAACCCAGGGACCCACTGATTACCTGAAGCGGAAAATTTGAAGCTTCCGACCCTGGGTCTGACCTTGAGCTCTTTTTTGAACCCCTTAATAAGATGTATTTTTGAACTCTTTTTGCGATTCTTCTTGGAACTCCCTTTATAAACTTTTTTTGAGCTCCGTTTTTGACTCCCAGGTGCCGCAAATCGAGGTGGCCTTTGACTTGGACTCGAATGGGGTCGGCCCGGCAATTCTTAAGGGGTTTTTCTGGCGCCTTTGGGGGGGCCTTTTTGGGCCCTAGCACCCTTGCATTCATGAAAGCGCAGCAACGGCTTGTTGTTTCCACTCAGCTCTTACTCGCTAGATCCTCAACGTCTCGGCTGCAGACAAGACGACGGGAAAGTGGGCGCCTCAAGCCTTTCGATCGTTTTGAGTGCTTGGTTTAGGGTTTCGGAGTGATCTTCGTGAGCTCGGGGGGTTGGGCTAACGAGTGGCGCAACCGCAGTGCATGCTCCCAGACTCGACAAAGCAAAGGTCTCGAAGTGCATGTGAACGCTGGCCGAGGTCAAACAAGATCACCATCACAAACGAGAAGGGTCGACTCTCCAAAGACGAGCTCCTTGGCTCAGATGTCGGCTTCTGGTAACTCCACCCAGTAAATCAGTGCGCAAGACAGGAGGAGATGAATCTTGTGGTATACGAAATTTGAATCCTGGTTCTTCTCTCGATTCTGGGGTGTGTTCCGTGTGGCTCTGTACCACGATTTGGATCTTGCAACGTCCACACTCGCACAAACCCAGAAGCAGCGTTTTAAAGCGTGGCGTTGAAGCGTACCACAAGGATAGGCCAAGATGTTGACCGTTGTGTATCTCTCTGTCTCTCTGTCTCTCTGTCTCTCTGTCTCTCTGTCTCTCTGTCTCTCTGTCTCTCTGTCTCTCTGTCTCTCTGTCTCTCTGTCTCTCTGTCTCTCTGTCTCTCTGTCTCTCTGTCTCTCTGTCTCTCTGTCTCTCTGTCTCTCTGTGATACGTGTGTGTGCGCGATCTGTGTGCGTTTCAGCCTGCAGCGATTCGGAGTTCGCGAGATCCGAAGCCATGCAGCATCTCAGGATCGAGCGTATGGTGAAGGTGCGCGTTGCTGAAACGTGCAAGGTTCAGTTATGGTTTAAACACCAGCCTGTGGAGACGGGAGATGTTCCGCAAGCCGGCTTGCCCCACCACTCCCCAAAATCCTAAGATCGTAGCCAATGTCCCACAGCTGTCCCTCTCGAGTTTTCCCCGAACCTCAAACCCTAGCTAAGCTGCCCCAAACCCTGCATCAACAGGAAGCAGAGCAGTTCCGCAGCGAGGATGAAGCCATTCGGAAGTCCGTGGAGGAGAGGGGCTGCCCAAAAGGTTTGCATTTGGAGAATTCAGGGTTTCCGGACAGTTTCCAGGATTCCAGGATTTCGGGTCGCGGGTCCTCAAGAAACGGGCTCAGTTTTTTGGAGGAGGTGTGCCATCCCCGGGAGTTGGTTACTGGAAGGGGGGTTTGAGGTAAACATATAGGTGGCGCACGGCTGTGCCCGCTTATGTTGTGATGCTAAAGCGTACCACCTTCGGCTGTAGCATCGGCCCTTTGGCTGCCGTAACATCAGGTGGAATCTGAACATCTTGTTGTGGTTAAACAGGGTCCAAACCTAAAGCCTTGACCCATGGAATCTCATAGCATGAACGCAGCAGCCCAGGTAGAACAAAAGGGCCGAGACGGCGGGAAATCGTTCAAAGCATCCCATAACTTCCTCAGCCCTCGCCCCCAAGCCTTAAAACCCAAACCCCCGGCGCAGGCCCGCAACGAGCTTGAGAGGTATGCCTACTCGGTGTCAGGCCAGGGTGTGTTCTTGAGATCTGTTGGCTAATGCGACCCTAGGCTCAAGAGGAGTTGGTACCGTGCCAGATCTCGTTTCTCACATGTCACCGTGACGTCACGAAGCAGCGGGCCATGTTTGCAGGGATACCACTCCCCCAACCCACACATCCAAGATCTACCACGTTTGTGCTCCTGCAATGAAACGCCCTGACCTCTGCTGCTTCCGAGAGCGCCCGATTGACAATCTGGAGTCTGCATGCTGCTACCGACGCCCTAAATCAAATTACAACTGATATCATTGCCGCAAGACAAGGGACAAACACAAGAAACAATCCAAGCAAGTTCAACTCAAACTGTTTGGTTGGATCCAGCCACCCGTATCATTTGATTTGTCTTCGCCGTCTGTTTGTTCAGGTCTTCTTCGGATCACAGTTCGGCTTCATGGAATCACAGTGCGCTTAGAGGTTCGTAAGTAGTAGAAGGCCTCGAACCTTAAAGCCGAGCACTTCTGGATCTCCGAAGCTCTTCAGACCAACCCGCCTAAACTGCAGAAACAAAACCCTGAACCCTGAACCCTGAACCCTGAAACCCTGAACCCTGAACCCTAAACCCTAACCCTAAACCCTCAGCTGCCTCAATCCTGAATACCCAGAGAATGCAGGGTCACTCGATCGAGACGACCTGAAAGAGAAGTTCACCGATGACGACCGGGCCAAGGTCTCGCCAGTTGAGGGCTTTTGAGGGCTTTGAGGGTTTTTGAGGGCTTCTGGGATGGGAACTTGGGATGTTCCCCGCCTTATTCTAACAAGTCCTTAATAGAGATTACAGTACCCCCCCTCCCCCCCCTATTACAATCCCTATTCTGGACTCTTCGTATAAGGGGGAACATCTCAAGTGGGAAACGTCAGTGGCATCAACACATCGACTCGTGGGCCCGACTCCTGCTATGGGCAATGCTTCCGTGGACTTTAGGGTTTAGGGTGTAGGGCTTAGGGCTTAGGGTTTAGGTCTTTAGCGCTGAACCAGGAGCCCCCAAATTCCCCAAGCCCTCGACAGAAAACCTTGAGCACGTCGTTTGGGGGTCGGCCCCAAGATACGGGACACGAAAGCCACAACCAGAATCAGGAGGCCTCATGCTGCCACTCCTCACAGCCGGAAGATCGTCGAACCCGAAAGTTGCCGAAAGTCCTAAAGTTTCCACAGCGTCTTCCACTTGAAGCCCCAACAAGCAGGTCTTGACAGTCCTCCAGCCCTGGGCCTCAAACCCAAACTTCCAAAACTCGAAGCATCCCTCACACCAGATCCGGGAAGCTGCGGACGGCACCACCAAGTGGTTGGAGGAGAATCCGCAGGTGCCGGGTGGGGGAGGCAGAATCCAGGCGGAAGTGGATTTTGGGGCTCTAAAAACGTATTGGGGCATTGAGGCTGATAAGGGATTCTTGGAGACCTGAGTCGGCTATCGTGGCAAGCCGTCGGAGAGAGATTCGAGAGAAGCCCTATGCTTGGCCCTCAAGCGTCCTGAAATGCTCGGCTCTGTGGCCCAAACGATTCAGTGCAAGAAATGGCGGAAGGATGCTCGAAGTACATCTCGACATAGAATCCATGCCGAAGTCCGGCGCCCCCAAACCCCCCCAAACCCTGTTTGTACATAGCATCCATACAGGCAGAGGCCGAGGCGTGCGCGGCGAAGCAGAAGGAACTCGAGGCGCGGGAGCCAGCATCTTTTTTGAACCCGGCAAGCATCTTTTCTGAACAGCCGTGATAGGCACAGGCACCACACCGCACACCCGCCCTCCCCACAGTTGCTTGAACAACGTAATGACCATTAATGACCTTCGACTCGACCCCGCAGTTTCGCAGCCAGAAGCAGAGCTTGTTTGTTCTTTTCAGGTTTGTCGGTGGACAATGTTGCGTGAAGCCCCAACCCTTTGATACCTGGCTCACTCTTATGAGCTTCCCCGGTGCCTTGGAGGCCGGAAGGAGCACCAAGTCTAAGCTTGAGGAGTTTGAAATGCTAACCTTGGGAGATACAAGGGGTTCACTGCACCATTGGCTGCACGAGCAACCCAACGGGCACCACACCTTCGCAAAAAGCTACCCAAAATGCTCGGCGTACCCCATACTTAATATGGACGTGGCCCGGCATAAACCAGTAGCTTCTCTCCGTGCTTTCTGACAAGGCCGTGGTGAACCCCATCATGGTCAGGTGCGGAGCTCCAGCGCAGGGCCACTTGCGGGGATCATCTACGTGGCCTTTCGGCAAAAAGCCCTACACAGTCTAAACAGCCCTACATCCTTAACCCACATTGCCTAGAGGATCTACGGCGAGGCAGCCAAGGAGGGAGGCGATGGAAAGGACCGAATCCGGCTCAGCGCTTCAAAGCTTAAGCAGATGATACCTTCGTAAGTCGCTAGGAAGCGTTTGAGACTTCTGTGGTCGCAAGTGCCCGAGGTGCCGATCTCTCAAGGTGAGTGTGCTCCACAATTCACCCTAAGACCCGAAGAGAAAGCTTCCGAGTGCCTCCGAACCGGTCGTGAGCGAAGGCCCGAATGCGCAACCCATCAAGCTCCTTGAGTCCTTGAATACAAATCCAAATCCAGGAGTCCAAATTTTCGGAGGAGTAAGCCCCGGGCTCGGGAATCGTAGAGTGGCGCAGTGCCCGTGATTTGTGAGATAACTTCTGCTGGGCCGCCTTTAACCGAGATTAAGGCGCATAGGGCACTTTCAGCCCATGCCTTGGACCCAAGCCTCCTCAAATCCTGGCCCAGAAGTCAGGCTTAGTGTTGCCTAGCCTGAGGGTCCAACCTGTTTGGGCTGTGCCAAACACATCCGAAGCTGAACCCCGAACTCAGCCAAAACTCCAAACGAGCCCTGAAAACTTTGCCCTCGCGCACCCCGAGGCGTCCAGTAGCTCTGGGGGCTGACGGTGGCTCCCCGCACCTCAACATGAATCTGAAGCCTCTTCAACGTCGGCCCGAGATCCTTTTTCAATGCTCTGAACCCTAGTTCCATCTCCCCAGTCCTCAGGCAACCGGCGTGTGTGACTTGTGCTGGCGCAGCAGAAGCTGCGCGACAAGAAGCGCTTGTGACCAAAGATGTACGCACGCCTTGTTCGGAGTGCTTCCAGAGCCTAGGGAACAGCCCACAGCGTGGTGGGAATTTTGACGGACGGCTGCCTTCCTGCTTTCCGCAGACTTCATGCAGAACTTAGGAGCTCGGAGCCCAACTTCGCTGCCAAACCCCCCACGCCCAAAGTCTGCTTGAGGAGGGTGGCAGTCGTGTTCTCGGCCCTCCCGAGGAGGGCGGTAGCTCGCGGAACACGTGTAGGCAATCATCGGCACCTATGACTTGGGGTTTAGGCTTTCTGTATTTAGCTGAGAAGCTCTGCAGGCGACCCAGAATCACGAGGTTGCAGGCCATCACTGCTGATTGATCCACAGGTGTTCCCGCCCTTACCGGGAGCCTTCTCAAAGGATGGCCCTTGGCGAGTGCCAGGTTACGCCAGCTTGACCCTAAGAATCAGAAATGACCGTCAACCCCCTTCCAGAAGCCCTGAAGAACTCCAGCCCAAGACTGTACACCTGTGGCGCTCAACCATGAAATCCCAGACAAAGCCTGCATCTCTCCCGCACATCTCCCACATCTCTGAACTCCGAATCAGGGTGCTTTGTACCAGTCTCAGACATGGGGGAAGGTGAAGAATACCTGGAGCTTCATAACCTGCTCTCCGGCAAGAAAAGACTCGTGAAAGCCGTGGCGTCCATCGGTCGTCCAGGCGTTGCAGCGATCTGGGAGCAAAAGAGTGCAGCTGCTCCGTGCTTACTTTGTTAAAGGCACGGCAAAAGTTGTGACGAAGCGATGGGTGCACTGGGTGCCCTTCGGCTCAGGTCCGGACCTCGGAACGCTCCACCCTGCATTGTGAGATTCCTTCCCATGGCAGCCATGCGCGTGCTGACTGCAGCCAGCCTTATTGCCACTGCGTTTGGTCACAATCATGGAGGAGGTCACGATCACAGCTGTGCACATGAGGCCTCCATGGTGAACTACACCTGCAACACCTCGATGTGCGGTGGATACATGGCATACAAACCGACAGTATGCACTGCCAGCATGAAGTGCCCGGCAGTCGTCGTCATTCAGGACTGGAACGGCATGAACGACTATGAGAAGGAGCGCACCCGCATGTTGGCCGGCTTGGGCTACGTTGGGTTCGCGGCCGACATCTACGGTTATGGCACACCCGTAGAGGACATGTCCGATTGGATGGCTGCTTCCTCTGCTCATCGCGGAAATCCGGACCTTTACATGTCAAAGATCAGCGCAGCCATTGACAAGGTGAAGACCTACGATTTCGTGGACACGAGCAAGATTGCCGTGATTGGCTACTGCTTCGGCGGCACTGGGGTGGTGAACATGGCCATTCTGGGCATGGACATCCTTGGTGTTGTGGGCTACCACTCCGGCATCCAACCGAATGCAAGGGTGGTGAGAGGCAACAGCACGGTGCCAGTCGTCGCCAAGGTGCTGCTCCACTCTGGCGTGATGGACGATGCCGCAACGGACATGGCATTGCTGGAGCAGGAGCTCGAGTCCGCACAGGCCACATATGAAATCGATCGCTACGGCAGCGGTGTCTACCACAGCTTCACGGAGTGGAGCGCCGCCTTCCCTGGCCAAGCCATGTACGACCAACGTGCAGATGTGAGGTCCTGGGAGAGCACCAAGCTCTTCTTGGCAGAGCTGTTCTCCGGGCTTCCAGCTGCAAGCCGTGGACCAGAGCATGACACGGTGACGACAGGGCTCCACAACTACACCTGCAACACAACAACCTGTGAGGGATACATGGCATACAATGCTTCGGCATGCACCGCCAGCATGAAGTGCCCGGCAGTCGTCGTAATTCAGGACTGGAACGGCATGAACGACTATGAGAAGGAGCGCGCCCGCATGTTGGCCGGCTTGGGCTACGTTGGGTTCGCGGCCGACATCTACGGTTATGGCACACCCGTAGAGGACATGTCCGATTGGATGGCTGCGTCCTCTGCTCATCGCGGAAATCCGGACCTTTACATGTCAAAGATCAGCGCAGCCATTGACAAGGTGAAGACCTACGATTTCGTGGACACGAGCAAGATTGCCGTGATTGGCTACTGCTTCGGCGGCACTGGGGTGGTGAACATGGCCATTCTGGGCATGGACATCCTTGGTGTTGTGGGCTACCACTCCGGCATCCAACCGAATGCAAGGGTGGTGAGAGGCAACAGCACGGTGCCAGTCGTCGCCAAGGTGCTGCTCCACTCTGGCGTGATGGACGATGCCGCGACGGACATGGCATTGCTGGAGCAGGAGCTCGAGTCCGCACAGGCCACATATGAAATCGATCGCTACGGCAGCGGTGTCTACCACAGCTTCACGGAGTGGAGCGCCGCCTTCCCTGGCCAAGCCATGTACGACCAACGTGCAGATGTGAGGTCCTGGGAGAGCACCAAGCTCTTCTTGACAGAGCTGTTCTCCGGGCTTCCAGCTGCGGCTCGAGAACCTGAGTGCCACTCTTTGCGCACTTATCATCAGCTGCAGGTTTGCAGGGTTGTTTGGCCTGGCAGAGCGAAACTCAACTCGGGTCTGTGTGTGTGTGTGTGTGGGTCGGTTCAGGACAACCATGAATCTGCTAGCTGCTAGAGTAGATTGCCAAACAAAGGCGGCAAGAAAGCCTGCACGAGCAGCCAAATCAAGGTGACGACGATCACGACCACGACAATCAGGCCTTCAAGAGTTCAGGATTGAAGCATTGAAGCAGTTGGGAGTAAGGTCTGGGAGTCATTGGCTAACATTTGGTTCCGGGGTGTTGGGGTGTGAGAGTTTGCCGGATCATTCGAATGGTGCCGATTTGGGGGGAGGGCTTAGGGCGTTTAGGGCTTGCAGGCTTGGGGCTTCCAGGGTGGACAGCCCGAAACTTGCAGTCGCGGGTTGACTGCATTTAGGGTTTCAACGGCTCTGGAAAAAGACAGGCAGAAAGGGCAAAAAGTGGACTCCCCAATGCATGGTAGGCAGACGCAGATCGCGGACATGGAACATAATCAGCCGCGTACAGCTGGGATTGAGACATCTAACTGGTTCGCGCAAAGCCAAGCAAAGCAGCCGCTGCAAACGTCAGGGCGGGCGCAACTCCCAACAGCATAGACGTTGCATGAGCAGTTTAGCCTTGGTGGCGGACAAGATCGTGATTCGGAAGGAGGGAGCAAGGAAGTTGAGGCATGAAACTGACATGCTGTCGCTTGTGATCCCTGCAGGCCAACAGCACGCAAACCTCCGACGCTTTCTACCTCGCCTTCCCTTCCTTGGCCAGCCTCGCGGCGTTGGCTGTCATGGCGGCATAAGCTGGAGGATGTGGAGGCCGTTGCTGTCAAAAGATGGGTTGGGTTTAGGAAGACGTTCACATTGCCACCACCATCAGCCACAAACCTGCTGCTAAATTCTGCTGTTTCTGTTTCTGTTGCTCTTGCTGTTAATGGCAGCCTTTGTGGATACTACTGGCACCCGTATCATCTGCAGAGCCTACTGGCATCAGAGTTTGCTTCCACCTTGGTCAGTTTTGTCTGTCATGCTAAGTCCACAGTTATGGATGTACGAAATGTGGTGGAGTTCACTATGGCATCGTACTGCTGCTCCTGTTGCCCAGCTGCTACCTCTACTGCCACGCCGTGTTTATGGCAAACCGTGCTTTCTTTTCTGCTCCTTGCCGCCACTTTTGTCACTGTAACCACATCGGTCTTCGAGAAAGTAAAAGGCGTAACGGAAACCACTGGGCTGGGCTGCAAGTAGCGGAAACCATTGCCCTCAGAAGTAGCAGTGGCGAACATATTGTGCCACTAGTGCATCTGCTGTGTCATTCACAGCGCGGTGTTAGACACCCTCAGAAGTAGGATTGGCCTTCAGAGCTCCTTTGGCAAGGAACCATAACGGAAACTACGTTCAAGTTTCAGTGTTTCAGATTGGTGCAGGCTCAGGCCAGAAGATCTCAGAAGCTAAGTTTAAAGAACTGGCACGCAATTGAGGGTTTTAGGTGCTTTCGGCGTTAGGGCTCAAAGGCTCAGGGTTCAGGGTCAGGGATGGGAGGTTTCCATCTTGTCGGGCATGGTTTTCGTTACACTCTCCCTGGTTTCGGTCCTGGTTTCGGTCACGGTTTCCGGCCCGGTTTCGTTTACACCCTGTTTTGGCTTCCGGTACCGCTCTTTCACCACACCGAGAAGCTGCTCTTTCAACATGGTTGAGCAAAACCCCCTAAACACTGACAAAACACTGCCTCATCCATCCAAGCGTAAATTCGACGTCCCAAATCCCACATCCGCGGAGGCTTCTGTCGCCAGAGAGCTCCTCCCTTTTCTGGCTAGGACCTCCAGCAGTGGTCGTGTGCCGACAGGTACCTTGAAATCGCACTTTTCCGATGCTTCTGCTGGAGTTAAACCCTAGATGTACAGCTTCTTTCGCAGTGGCTTCCGACCAACGCTGTCGAACTCCGCCTTGCCCATTCGAGGCAGCCCGCCTCTTCCCAGTCCCCTTTCGCTGCAAAGCAGCCCCAGGGGGCTCCTTGTAAGTCAATACGAGGGCACGGGAACCCGTGCCAGCAAACCTCAGGTGCGGCACACCCAACAGTTGGTGCAAGATACAAAGCCCTGTGCCACGGCTCGGATCTGAGGCACTTCCTGCTCGTGTCAGCACAGGCGCTCCACCCCCCGAACCCCCAGAAAAAAACACACCTGCTCTCTGCAATGACCGGCTTTGCAGCACGATCTCTAGAGTTTGGTCGTGGCCGCCGCTTCTCCAAGGCCTTTCGAGGGAGGGGACTTGAGGGGATTCTCAGGGATCCTGAAGGGCTTCGAAGGGGATTCTGGCTCCCCTTTCCTTTGTTCCCAGGTGTCTCAAAGAGCGTTCGAGGGGGCTTTGGCCTGAATCGCGCGTGTTGCCCTAAGCCCTCAACCCCAGAATAAGGCGATAAAGGCCCGAGCGCCCGCAGGTTGCCATATGCTATGGCAGTTGGGACGGCGGGCGATCAAGCACCCAGTCCTTGTTGGGTTGGACCATTTTGGTTGAGGGCTTCTGGAGGGGTTGGGGCTTCTGGTTTGGGATTCTGGGTTGAGGCTTTTTGGAGTCTTAATTTACGTCGAAGGTCAGGTTTTTAGGGCGGTTCCGGAAATTTGCTCGCAGTTTACGGAGTACGTTCTGAGAGCTCAAGGATACAAGCCTTGATGATTCCTAAGTAAGGTTGCCGGGAAGTGCGAGGGCCCGCCGGACGCCCCAAACTCCTGAAATTCCTGGATCCTCATTGTTCGGTTCCTGAGATGATTGAACCTTAGGAGCTTCCTGGATTGTCTAAGAGTCTTTTCAGGGTGCGCTCGATGCCCGTCTTGGACCCCTGCCACGATCTTTTCACCCAATGATGTCTGCGGGGTGCTAATGCCGTTTGACGTGGCTTCGAAGCTGTGGGAGGTTTAAGAGGCGTCGGAGTACGGTCGCAAGTCACGCCTGTGCCCACGCAATATCTGTTTTGCAGGATTTGGTACCACCCATCTATGCACCGAGGTGTTTGCAGAAGTATTTTGCTGCCAAGCAGGACCTGGGATGGCAGGGATGGGACGGCAGTAGAACCAAACACACACGACCTACACAAAACAAGCGCAGAGCAATTGCACTACGCAATTACACCGCACAGCAGTTGCACAGCCCCAAATATCTTCTGCGAAAGAGGTCGTTTTGGCTGTTTTTTATTGAGCTTCGAGCTGAAGTTTGCTGTCGTTCGTGTTTTGGGGTCATCTTCCTCCAATTATGCCTGTAGATGCAGCAGCAGCAGCTCAATGCTCAATGAGCCCTACATCGATTCGATCCCTCTCCAACTGCAAGCCAGCATAGACTAGGGACTTCTGTGGGCCCGAAGTCCTGCACCCCAAATCCCAGTGAAGCAGCCCTCAACTTCAAGCCATCGGACACCTGCCTCTGCAGGATCTACGCAGGAGACTTGCCTGACTCTCACCTCGAAGAAGGCGCACAGCCTACCACGGCCTCATGTCGGGATGCTTAGGGCTTCTGGAGTTGACAAAAATCCTTTCATTCATGAAAGCTCCGCGGCGCGGCCTCTCAAACAAAGGGTCGCTTTTTGTAGAATAATTTTGTGTCGGTTTTTGGCGTCTGTGGGTATTTTGAGGTTACTTTTTTAGGGGGGCGTGTTTTCGACACTTGTGCAGCCTTCAAAAAAGCGGAATTTAATTTGAAAAAGTAACTGCAATAAGTTTACAAAGAAGCAGCTTCTGACATTAATTGCGAATACAGAAAAGCCTAAACGTTTCGGAGAAAGATTTGAGCAGGTTGGGGGAAGGGAGGCTGGGCTTTTGGGCTTTGTAGCTTCTCGGCGGTTTTCCTCTTAAAGCATAGAGGTAAGCAGGTCTTCTTATGAAGCATACAGAGGCGTACCATCTTTCCAGATGAAAACAGAGGAAATACAGACTTGCGTTGTCAAGCAAAGATGAACTAGGCAGAAGTTTTCTTTTAGCGCGATGAGGAGACGGAGTTTTTGGTCTTCAAGCAGAAAAAAAGAAGAAGCATGGTTTTCCCGTTCAAATGTAGCGTAACAGAGATTCAATTGAGCAACAGACTTCCTGGTCTTCCATAATTACTAAATCATGGCAATAATGCGGAGCCATGACCTGCAAGGCAACGCACTGTTTAAGGGGCCACCGGGCCCTTTTTCCAGAAAACGCATTGCAAGAAGCAGGCATCTTCCAGCGTCTTGAGATGGAAGGGGAGGTCGAGCGCTGTAAGGTTCACGGGTTTAGGGCAAACCTTGCTTCGAAAGATGGAAGAGAGGCCGAAGCTGTCGTGGGGCGCGACAAGGCCTGTGACTACCAGGTGCGAAGCGCGATGCAAGCAACGTTTTGCGGGCTGGGAAGACCTACTCTGTTAGCTGCTCAAGAATTCACGTTCTGCAGACATTCTTGAAGATTTTGAGGCAAGCCATACCCTAAACGGTACCAGGCCTTCGTGCACTTAGAGGGCTTCCGCAGCTTCAGCACTAGAGAGGGTTGGACGTTGCAGAGTCTGCGCCTTGCCGATCATTTCCGAACCAGCAATCCTGTTTAGGTCCCAGGCAGAACACCCGGCATCGGCGCCAGCTGAAGAATCACGATTCCAGCGCCCCTGAAGCCCCTGAAGCCCCGCAAAACAAAGCCTGAAGGCCTCAGGCCTGAGAGCCCTGACTTCCAAAATGAACCCCCCCAAAAGTCGGACAACATCGGGACAGGTGGGCATCAGCAAGGTCTCCAAGCATCACCTGCAACTCCGCAGAGTCCCCGAATATGGGGGGGATTCGGGGCCCCGAAGAGTTCGGAGATTGCAGGGTTTCTTGGAAGCTGGTGGCCAAGGAGTTGCTCTGAGCATCCGGGACCCTGAATACGCTTGGCGTGCTCGCTCCCTCCAAGCCCCTGAAGCCTAAAATCCACATCCCCGAGCCTAAGCCCTAAACCCTAAACCCTTAACCCTTAACCCTTAACTTAAACCCTTGTCCCTTAACCCTAAACCCTAAACCCTAAAACCTAACCTGTTGGGGTTTCAAGGTTGGTTAGACTCCGCCGGCCTGCACCTCTTCGTACCTGGCAACTCCGGGTGTTACGTGAACCATGAGTACCTGGTCAAGGCGGATGTTTCGGAACGTGTGGGAGTGTTTGGGTTGTCGGGGGGTGCTGCTGTGATTTTGCTTGTGGGAGGCGCGGCTTGCGTTTCAGCAGTTCTGGTTTTTACCTGCGTCTTCGCACCACTAAGCCTGCCATCATGCCCTTGTGGGGGATCCGAGTCCTCAATTACAAAAGTCCTGAAGCCGATTTGTCACCAGGACTCGCAGCGGACCTTGCAGGATGGGGATCGCGTGCACATCGCGTGGTTCCAGCGAGTCTTGTCCTGGCGGCAGAGTTGGAGCCAGTATGTTTTTTTGGAGAAGTGTGCCCTCAGTCCTAGCTTAGCAAGCGAGCTCCACGTCCACGTGTGCATGAAGTGCAGATGAAGATCTACCAAGCTGAGTCCAAGGAAGGTTCGCTGGCTTGAATGATGACTCCTGAGAGCACTTAACTCTCAAATCGCTTGCCAGGAAGCGGCAAGGCAAGAGTGCCGGAAAGGACAGGTTGGTTAGGGCCTGTTCTTTTCGGGTGTTGGCGCATCAGGATGTTTCTTGGACATCGCGTTTGCATGCTGCTGTGTCTTGGGACCACACGAAGCCGCATCCCCCCAAACTGCACCCTCTACCACGCGATGATTTCTTAGACGATGGCCTCAAGGTCAGCTTCAGTCTTGGATTTTCGTGTGACCTTGCACCTCCCCAGTATTCTAAAGCAATGATTTTGTTTGACGACCTCGCATGGAGGATCCGCACTGCAGATCCTCGGCTGAAGTAGCGCAGTTTTGGCTTGTGGTATCTGGTGGTATTGGGGACGGTCGCAAGTTGAGGAGGTGGGGGTTTTGGGCTGGAAGCCCCCGCGTAGTTTGGCAAAGGCTCAAGGCTCAAGGCTCTGACAGCGACCTGTTCTCCTTGCTAGTGAGGGCCAGACCTCAGAAACTTGCTGAAAGCCATGGCAGTCCTGGGCTGAAGGGTGTAGGGGTTAGGTGCTGTGTGGGGGTGCCACGAATATCCCAAGTCACGGGTTCTTGGCTTGATGGACCAGGTCTTCGTGTCCACTTGCCTTCGACGACGACGCAGGCACGCTTCTCTCTGCGGTTTAGGGTTTAGGGTTTAGGTTTATTTCGGGTTTAGGGTTTAGGGTTTAGGGTTTAGGGCTTAGGGTTTAGGGTCTAGGGTTTAGGGTATTGAAGGTGTTGAAGGAACGTCCGAGGCCTCCGCTGAATCCTCTTGAACACGCGGCCCTCCTGGCACGGCTAGAATTCTGGAGACCCTGGACTACCCATTCGTAAGGAGGCCGCATCAGCGGTTGAGTTGGGCTGAGCCTCTCAGCTTCCCGAAGGGGTTCCTTTTTTTTGGGCCTTCTGAGGGCTTAGGCAGAAGCCTCAGACTGCTGCAACCCCTTTCCCTCCCCACCCCTGAGTCCCCAAACTGCTCTCCACCACTTGCCTTTGCAAAGCCTCGGGTGGAAGCTTACGGTCGCAAGGATGCAGCAGCTCTTGGACATGATGCCTCGCTCATGCCCGGTTACCCCCAAAACTCGAAGCCCGTCATCACCTACAACGGAAGGAGCCGGCCGAACCCTCCCAGATCGACAGGCCTCGCGCGTTTGTCTCAATGTCAGGAGTATCACGCTAAGCCCTGGGGCCTCTTCTTTCCGACTCCCCCCCTCCGATGGTGTTTTCGGAATCGCTTTGCCGCAAGATAACCCACGTACGACGAAGGGCTTAACTGGATGGAGCCTTGATTGATGCAGCCGTGGAGTCCCTGCTAGCTATGCCACACATCTTGCAAACTGTGCAACAGACCCCCTATCTTCCCTCTTCCGCCCAACCTAAGATAAGGCAACCTTGAATTCCGGCCCCACCCGCGTCACCCCCAAACGCTTTTTGCGAGACCTGGTGGTCTGGTGGCAGAGGGCGCAAGCCCGCCCGGGACCAAATCAGCTGGAGACATGATTTTGTTCAGGATTTGTGGTTTCGGATGTGGGACATGTATCGAAACGGAGACCACTGTGCTACTCGTACAGCTAAATCCAAGGGAAAGTGACGCAAGGGAAGGTTCGGGATGTTTCTAGTCCAAAGTTCATCGGTCCATCTGCGGAATTGGCGCGGTCCTCTTGGGGGAGGTATGTCCGATCGGAAGGTCGGTGATCCAGGGCGATAGTGTGGAGGTCCCAGTTAGATGGAGATTCAGTCAACCAAGATGTACTCCGGCCCATCTTTGCTGTTTTTGGCTTGGATATAAGCCTTGGTGCCGACGTTGCCGATCCCTCTTCGAAGGCGGGGGGCCTTGAGCTCGAGACCCAAGTGACCTAAGCATATTCATTCACATTCAATCTTAAACTCAATCCGAAATCCTGTGAAGCCTTAAGCCCAGTTGCAGGTTTTGAGCTTGCGGGGCTGTTTTGCCCAGCTTCATAGTACCGACTCTCCCTTGAAGATTTAAGCTGAGGGCTCGGGGGGGGGTTGTAGGGCCTAGGCTTCACAAAACAATAACGCCCCTCCCTCTGCGACAGGTAGAACAAGAGCCATGGGAAGCACGTCTCAGGAGCTCGCTTTGAGTCCCTATGCCGAACCTCCTCAGCGCCGAGCCGATGTGAGTCCCCAACTTAAAGCCCAGGAAGCCCCCCAAGCCTTGGGAGAGAGGAGCTGATCCAGCAGCTGCTTCAGGCCTGGTGTGAGCAATGGCAGCTGAGCCCGTGGCTTTGGGGGGCTTAGGGGTTTTCCCCTTAATCATCCTCCCACCAAACTCGTACCCGAGGGCTCTAGGGCTGATGGATTTCAGGAAGAGTCTGCGGAAAATAGGGCTGGAATTCTCACGTATATGCTATCTCAAACCGACTAGTATAGACATGGCCTCACCGTTTAGTAAGGGATGTGTGCCATTAATAAGATATTGATATGCTCTGCAATGCTTTGCTTGTGAAGAATATCTCATGTAATATGTTTAGCAGCATATGTAGCACAGGTGTGTTCTTTTTCTTTCTCGTCACTATTCTTTTCTCCATCGCGATGATGGATCGGTGCTACTACCCGAGAAGCAAAACTTAAGCTCACACAGGCTGTCCTTGAATTCATGTCCTATCGTCTAAGCTTCGCTATCAGAGTCCCTCACCGGGTATTGAAGGACAGCTACGGGGACCCACCTGAGCGATCCTCCCTTCTTCTAGGCAAATGGTAGACAATTTGTACGGTTCTTCCGACAGGCCAGAATTTGATCAAACGCCGATCCAACACGAATTGTGCATACTAAGGGAGTGCTAAGTATACTATTCTTACTGCGTGTTAATGAAAAAATCATTGTTTAGAGAAACCAAAGAAAAGATTCCAACAAACAAGTGCTCAGAGGATCCAGGAAAAGTTGGTTTTCCCCTAATGAACGAGGGGCCCAAACACTACATAAACATAAGGGTCCTAGAAACAGTTTCCCCCCCCCCCCCCCCGGCTTATAGGGATCCTTATGATCTTGTGGTTCTTGGGGCCCCAACAAACAGATGGTTTTGGTGAGACAAACGAACTTTTCCTAGTACAAAGATGTACAAAGATGGTTCAACAGAGACATGCCAACCTTTCCTTGGTGCAAAGATGGTTTGGTGAGAACTACCAACTCTCCCCCACTACAAAGAAGGGCTTTCGTGAAAAAGCCAACGTTTCCCTAAGTTAGTTGTGGAAAGAATAACTTCTCCGCAGCAAAAAGCTGGCTTTGGTGAAAAAGAACAACTCTTCCTTGGTTGGTCTCAGGTCCAAACATGAGTCGTTTGTCATGTGTTCAAGTTGAAGCCAATAGATCCTATATGCACTTATTCAGAATAGAAACATCGGGTGGGTTCATGGGGGGTGCCCGTATAGCATATTATTGTGTACATATATAATATGAAAATACATGCACGTATTGATTCAATCCCCCAAGCTGCCCTGGGTTGCTGATGTCAGGCAGAGAAACATGCAGAGGAGATCATCGCGAACGCCAAAAAGAACCGACCTGGCCTCAAGTACTGCTAGTTTGATTCTTTGGGTCTTCGAAAGCTTTAGGACCGCACACGTGACATGTTTAGGTATGGTTACGGTTCAGGTGTTGCGTGAAGTTTCGGTGCTGCGAATTCAGTACAATGTCCGAATGTCAGGCGCGCATTTAGGAGATAATTTTCGAATCGATGAGCGCCGCGACAGTGCGGCAGGGACTTGGCTGGGTCAGCTTCGTGCATACGCTCTATGGGAGTTGCACGTTTGCGGCGTCTTGAATCGCTCTCCCACGGTCCCATGCTCGCGCAGCGCGCGAAGTGCAGAACTGTCGTCGCTTCTTGCCTTGAAAACGAGGGCCCGTCGCGAGTCCCGTGTGCCAATTGGGGTCTACGCGAGCACAAGTTTTGCTCCAATTTTCTGCACCTTGGCTTACAACCCCCACACTTCTCCGAGGCTTGACGAAGCTGCGCCAGGCCAAGGACAAGGCCGAGGAGGAGCTGAAGGAGAGATGCCCATGCCCTTGAACCTCAAAGCCACAGCATGGCCAAGCTGAAGTAGATTCAAGACTCGAAGAAGCGAAGAAGCCTTCCCCAACACGGTGGGGCGGGGTCAGGTCGCTACAAAGGTGTGAAAAGACGTCATAGCCTGCCCTCCATTCATGAGAAGCATACTGCATGGCCTTCGTCCCTTTTTTGGCTTGTGCTTCTTTCATGAAAGCAGATCTGGCTGCAGCTCTGGCCATGTAACTCTCGAGGAAGCAGCGCCAGAATCCTGTAGTTGAAGGGGATAAGGCCGTGCGTCAGGAATCAGGAACAGCGGGCAATGATTCCCCAACAGCACATCCAGCGAAGCACTGGAGGAATTCCGCGAGAAGGAGGAAGCTCGATTCCAGAAGGAGATGGGTGCCTGGGCCTGTTTCCAGCATCAACAGGTCACTCCCCACAGGTAGTTTCAGGTGTAGGGGTCCCCCTGATATGGAGGCTGGCTCCAAACGACGTGATGTTGATGCCCAAGACCCTGAACGTCCCACACCCAAACCACAAAAGCAACCCTACCACGACACCGCAAGACCGGCGCACGACGTGACATGTACATCAGTTCACCTGTAAACCCAGAAAAGTATAGACAAGTATTTTCCTTAGCTCCCAAACCGACAGCTCTAAACCATCGGCAATCGAAGCAGGGCAGCTGAGCACAAACCTCACCACCCAGGCGCCAAGGCAGGTGCCAACCCGGCAGAGACCTTGCAGGCCAGGAAGATGGCTATAGGATGTAATGCTCAACAGAGAGCGAGAGCGAGCGAGCGAGCGACAGAGAGAGAGAGAGAGAGAGCGGTTTAGGCATGCCCGGCAGAAGAAAAGAATAATAATAAGAAGAGAGAGCGTTTTGCTGGGGAGGGGGGGCTTAAAGGGTTGAGGATTTGACGATGATCAGCTTGGACATTGTTGTAGCCGAGGATTGCATTCAGCAGGAAGAGTGCAGATGGAAGTGAAGGAACAATGAAGCTCAAAGGCTGTACTTCTAAGCGAGAGGCATGCAGTGCCGATGTTACTGGCAGCGCATACCCTGCCGGCAGTCAGACTTGTCCATTGCAGGTGAGCACGCAAAGCGAGATTGACAGTGTCCACAAGGAGTGAAGTTCAGAGGTGGAACTTGCAACGAATTGGGACAGATCAGGTCACTCCACGAAGAACAACTCCCTATGCCCTAACATAACTAACACTGCAGGACTACGCCAACAACAAGGCCAAAACGATCGAATACGCCCCAGCCCCATGGGTGTTTTGGGGTACAAAAAAGGTGTTTGAACTTGTGGTTGAAGGTTCTTCGTCAGTCAGGGTTGAAGCTGGAGTCAGGAGTTTTTTATGGTCGATTGGGGCTCCCTCCCCCGCCCCCCCCTCCAAGCCGTGGACTGGTGCAGGGTTTGGATGGGTTTGGGTGGGGTTGGATGGGTTTGGCGGCCTCAGGGCACGCGAACGGTTTAAATTTTAGGCAAAAGCCTAAACTCCAAATTGGCTCTCGAAAGGTCGTGGGTCGAGTTTTGGAGGTTCCCGTGACCTTGTCCGACACACAGAAGCAGGCGCCCGTCTGCCCGTCGGTGACAAGGGCTTTTGAGATGTTGCAAAAGTTGAGGGTGTTGCACCTCCACATGGAGTGATCCACAAGTGTCCCCAGGTCATATTGGTTTGCGGGAGCACCCAAGCTTTCCGGCGAAGAAGCAAGCCCCACTTCAAGCTGGTCTCAGGTGTCAAAAACTTTGGAACTCTACACGCTAGATATCCTTGCCGAAGTTCTCGAGCCTGCTGCACTTGTTGCAGACCCCAAGCCAAAACCCCCGAATCCCAGAAACGGAGATGAGATGCTAAAGGTTAGCGGAGGCAGAGCTTGAGATGCTTAGGGTCCTGGACGTTTGCAGGAGACAATGGGACATCCCCCGCTTGTTTAAATCTTGGAATCCTTCAAATCCTATGACCAAGTTTCGGGCATCCCGAACCCTTCTCTCTCGCTCTCTGTCTGTCTCTCTCTCTCTCACACACACGCACACGCAGATTTGCAGGCGCTGAAGACGGGAGCTGCGTGAGGCAGTGAAAGGACTTAGGGCCAAGGGGATCCAGTCCCACCGCAACATCCTGAAGATCTAAAAGCAATTGCCTGAACTTGAAGCTGAAATGGGGATCAGCATGTTTAATGCTAAGTGGCCTGCCAGGAAATCTGCATTGAGAGAGCGGCTTGTGTGTAGTAGCTTGATTACTATGGGGTCCAAAAGGGGTAACTAGCCTAAGGCTCCCTCTCGTACTCTCTTAGGTTCCCTCGGCTCCCTAGGCTTCCCTAAGCATCTTCCCCCGCTTTGACCCCTCTCCCTTATGGACCTTCTGACTCGAAGGAAGTACCTAGAAGTAGTCGAGATACTGTGCCGGAAAGAAACTCAATTGACAGTCTGCACGCATACAAGGCCAGAGCTGTAGACCAATCGACTGGGATGACGATATCTCTGTGCTGTGGGACTCGCTATATGTTAAGTTTCCTAAGAGGCGGCGCAGATGTTGAAGCTCTTAGGGACGCCTCGTCCATGTGGTACTTGCCAGCATTGAGCCAACAGTCCCGCGCTTTTCAGCACCTCTCACTTGGCCAAGCCCAAACCCCCAAACCCGAAGCGGATGACTCCTAGTCCTGCCACCGCCAGACCGACAAACTGAAGTATCCTATGACAACTGCATCCAGCCATGAAGACAATGATAACACAACTCTTGCTGCATCCTCCGGCAAAGCTCGACAACTCGCCTTGGGATAGACTGGAACCAGGAAGCACCATGCTCTCACCATAACCCACGGTTGACCTGATTAGGCCCGTTGACCTTCTTATTCATTATTAGTTCGACGTATTCTAAAGCAATAATAAGACTTATAACTCTAATTATTATTAGACCCTTTTGTGCCTGTTGGCAAGTTGCTGCGCTTGGGGCCTCGGGCCCCGGTCTCGAGCAAGGGAGAGACAGAAAGAGCGGGGCCTGTTCATTGTCAAAAATTGTTTTGCCCCGGAGCCAGCTGAGACCAAGAGAGCTTCACCGAAGACCGCAAGAGCTCCAAGGATGTTTGAAGCCCTTGAGGCCCCTAAAGTCCCCATAAAGTCACTCAGCCAGCTTTGCGGGCCACCTCTTGCTTCCTTGCTTTCCTTCACAGGGCTTTAGGATGAGGAATCGCCGGATACATCTTAAGCTTTTAATGCTAGGTCTTCTAAGTAACTGCCGCCCCAACAAAAGGCGCTTGAACACTGCGTCATCTGAGTCTCTGCAGCTGGCTCCGATGTGTAGCGCCCGTGACCGCTGCGGTTTTGGCACCACGCAGGGGGCGACCATCCAGCGTGCAACAAAAGGGGGCCGTCTGGTTTGACATGTGGGGGGTTTAGAGGGTGCAGTTTACAGGGAGATGGGACGAAGCTTCCTGAATTGGAGGACAAGGCTTCGGACGATGGGTTCAGCAGATCCGAATGTGAGTGACGGGGTCCCAGAGAGGCAGGAAGGAAGACCGAAGGAAGGACATGGGGAAGAAAGGTCCCAGGGATGGAACATGGAATGGAAGGACGAGCAGAAGCACGCAGGGAAGGGTTTAGGGCTTAGGGTAGGGGGCTTTACGCAACGCCACCACTGCTTCGTGCTCCACAGCTTCGGTGAGGTACGCCTGATGCGTTTCTCTTGCCCGTGACGTCTGAGTTCGCATGCTGAGCCGGCTTGAGCACACTTCGCCAGTCAATTTGAATCAATTTGGCTTGCAGTGATTTCCAGCACCCTGCGCCTGCAGCGGCACCTCAACAGCCGAAACACAGCCATGCCCAACTTCATGACGATGTCCGAGCATATGTCGGTATTTGTCTCTTTTGTCTGTGTGTGTGGGGCGACTTGGTAAAGCTTGTTCAACTTGTTTCATGTTTGAGTTTTTTGCCTTGTTGCATTAGGCATTGTACTTCGCTTGCTTATGCGATTTTGTGAGGTCCCAGTGGCCACTGGGCAGGAGCTTCTGATTGAGCAGTTCCCCTATGGCCAGGGTTCGTGCACAGGAAGTGTTTTTGAGCGTCGTTTCGCCGTGGGTGCATGCACGATGAACAGCGACGCAAGCAGAAATGATACCTCCGTCAAGGTGGAATGCCGGGATGGCAAGCTCGTCTCCTTGCAGTATGCTGGAACGACCTGCACCGGGGTTGCAGAGAAACAAGAGTGGGGAGCCGCGGAGGGGGACTGCTTCCAAGGAATGAAGGTCATTTCACACCCGTGCACAACAACGACGTCAACAACGACACCAACAACTGCATCAACTCCGACAAGCACATCTCAGGGCGGTGTGTCAGTGCCTGTGGCCGGCGGGCAGGAGCTTGTTTATGAGCAGTTCCCCGATGGCCAGGGTTCGTGCACCGGAAGTGTTTTTGAGCATCGTTTCACCGTGGATGCATGCACGATGATCAGCGATGTAAGTGGAAACGATGCCTCCGCCAAGGTGGAATGCCGAGATGGCAAGCTCGTCTTGTTGCAGTATGCTGGCACGACTTGCACTGGGGGTGCAGAGAAACAAGAGTGGGGAGCCGCGGAGGGGGACTGCTTCACTGTGGGAGAGTCAGGAATGAAGATCACCTCACACCCGTGCACGGCGACAACGACACTTGCGCAGGATGGCGCGGTGTCTGCAAGCGCGTGTCTGACTTTCAGTGGAGCTTTCTTCATTGCGAACATCTTGTACATCTTGAATTTGAGCTAACCTCGCTCCGAACCTTGTAGAGAAGCTTGTACTGATATGCAGGGCAACAGAAGTTTCAGATGCCCTTGAACTGCTAATTGTTTCACTGAACTGAACACCGCGATGATACAGGAAAAGGCTTCGATCTGCGAGTGAGCAGGGATCAACTCTTCCGATTAGGCGGTTTCATTGTTGCGACGTATGGCTGTTGCCTGTGAGTATCAAGCCTAGTGTAGTCTGTTCTCATCACGCGTGCATGAGGCAGGGGAAGCACAAGCAAAGTGTGCACTCGCCTGGCGAAGTCAAAAAAGCATGACCTCCAAGACGCCTAAAATCTCAAACTCAATCACCCTGAAATCCTCATCTCAAACCCCGAAGGGTTTAAGCCCCCCACGCGCAGTGTCTGAGTGTCAGTTTAGCTTCATGGTTTCGCCCTGAGCTCCCCAAGAAAAGGCAAAGCCTCCCACCCAGCGCCCGAGAATACAAAATCTGATGCTCAAAGACGGCCCATAAAAGAGGTCTCATTGTTTCGGTGCTTTTTTCTCAGTTTTGTCGCGGTTTTTTGTTCTTGTGGCGATGGCTTTGTCAACCCTGGAAGGACAAATCGCCCTCACCCACCTCAAACGCTCTCTCGACCGGGCCACATCCAGCACACCCCCAAGATGCCAGTGCAGGCCCTGACAAGCTTTTGGAGCCCGAAACCTAGGGAGTTATTGGGGGGGGGGGGGGGTTCTCTGGAGAATTTCGAGGCCACCAAATCTTATTATTCTTCATCTAGGTTCGGGGTACAAGGGCGCTCGTAGCGTTTGCTCCTTGAGGCCGGACGCTGAAGTGAAGCCTTCCCTGAGCCCAGATGCAGCGCGGCGCCAAGAAGTCAGGTTGAAGGTGGGAGGACGGCGATTCCTGGATTCTTGGCAGAAGGGCCCCAAGCTCCTCAACGATCCAAGCCATTACTCGCACCCTACACGTAGCTAAGCAAAAGAGTTAACACGGCTGCTCTCGCAAGAACTCTTTGCAACTGACCGAGGCCCCGAGCGATTGTAGCCACGAGGGGCCCGGAAGCTCAGAGGGCGATGGGTTGGGATCTATTTGTGTGTAATGTCTCAGGGTGTTGAATGTGTTCGCCGTGAAGTTTGGGAAACGTGGTCCAGGGATTTTTGGCGAGGTTTTTGAGCGTTTGGGCTTGCTTTCTGTGTGAGAAGTTGCAGGGTTGAGCCTAACCTGTGACCACAGAAGCCACAACCCATCCGCAACCCCAAGACCTGAGAATCTAACAATGCCAGTAATAACAATAATAATAAGTATGAATATTTAAATAATCAGTATAAGTATAGGGTGTTCAATATCACTGTAGTTAGCCATGAGCACTGAGAAGCGAGCCCCAAACCCGAAAACCGTTTGTCCCCTCAGACCCCTCAGAACCCCCTCCCCGAACTCTGCACCCAAAGCTTGTGTGGCTTCAGTTGTGAGTTCTGCCCGAGCCCTTGTTGAGTCTGCAGCACGTTCAGTCTATCGTACCGGCAAAGTAATCGCCGCAGGTCCAAGTCCAAGTCAGACAAGCTTGCCAGTGAGGACTGCCAAGAGTCTGTGGCGTTCTGGACTAAATACATGCGATGAAGGCGCACACTGTTGCTGCCCCACTTCGAGCTTGCGACTTGCAACAGCACGCTCTCTTTCTCTATCAGTCTTTCAAGTTATGTTCGGCCTGCCGTGTTACTTCTCACCGCGTAGCAACCCACCAGGCGCAACAGGAGCTTCAGAGGACCTACGCTGAGATCCGCCAAGTGGAGGATGAGATCAGGAGGCGCGGTCTTCATGTTCAAAGGAACGTACATCTTTATCGGAGTCTTTCTAGAGCGTCGTCTTCGGAGACCGTAGGTCCTTTGAAGGGCCTGTAACTCTTCAACTCTTAAACTCTTAAGCTTCAACCCAGACCTTACATCAGGATCCGCATGCCACATGCCAGACCAAGCCAAAGAATTTCGATCGACAAGCCTAGGTGCCCTCAAGAGGAGTCCCCTCGACGAGCCGAGGGCCTGGAAGCCCCTCAGAAAGCTTGGGCTTTACGAAAGCACGGGGGTTGCTTTATGTTCGTTGTCCCTTTTAGGTACACTTCATGTAGTAGGGCTATTCTCGTGGGGGAGCGTAGTTGGCAACACACCTCAAAACGAGTTTTTGTGGCTTCGAGGGGCTCGGATGAAACCCTGAACCCTAGACTTTGAACCCTAACACCCCCCCCGAACTTTGCCCTGAACCCGAATTCACCCTAAGGCCTCAACCCGGGACGTTCCCCTACTTTGAGGCCAAAAGCCTTCAAACCCTGAATGCCCTAAACAAGAAGCCCCAGCAGCCCCAGAGAATCGAAGTGTCTTGGAAGCCCCCGAGGCCTTTCCAAGCGTGGATGGGCCGTGGCCAAAGGCCAAGGCTTCGAGGGCTTTCGGAGTTAAGGGCTTAAGGGGTGCAATTAGCAGTTTAAGGGTTTAAGGGTGCTTTAGCGGTTTAAGGGGTTTTAGCGGTTTAAGGGGGTTTAAGGGTTTTAGGATTTTGGGGTTGCAGGGTTTAAGTTAGGGTTTAAGGGTTGGAGGGTTGAAGGGTTTAAGGGTTCTAGGGGATCTAAGGGATTTTAGGGTTTTAGGGTTTTACGGTTTTAGAATTTAAGCGTTTACGGGTGCAAGGTGTGACATAAGGGTACTTAGGGTTTAGGTTCAGCTTAGGGCATTTTAGGCCCGGCTTCAGGGTCTGTGGGCGCAAGGATGGTCAAGCGATGCTCAACTGAATCCGGCAGGTGTTGGCTAGAGGTCGTCTTGATTGAAGGACACAGACACGGCCCTTTTTGCAAGCAAACAATGGGTCAGAGTGTGGCATCACCGCGAGGCAATGCCCAAGCGGGCAGCCGCGAAGGCCGGCGGGCAGAGGGACATCTGGCCTGGAAGTACTGTGGAGTGTTTGCGGTTTATCATCCTTATTGCCATCCTAAGCACAAGTATCACGTGTAGTACCATGACGACCCATCATCATCAACATTGTCATCGCCACCCTGCTTATGTTTTTGTTTACTCATGTGTTTCTTCTTTATGACTTGTTCTTTGTTTTATGTCGTTACTCTTTGTTTTTTGCTCTGTGCTTCTCAGTTGTTCCTTTCACTTGATTACGCATCCCTATTCTTCAAATCGCCAGAGCTTATGTCAGGGATGGTTTCAGTTTGCCACTTCTCGCCACACTCTTCAAGCCCTCTTTTCGATGCCGGAGAGGAGCCTGCTGCTCCGGTGCCATCACTGATGCGACCCTCAGGCCAAGAAGGGGCCAACACGCGTGGAGTTGGGACATTCGGATTGGAGCGTTTTGTGCGGAATCTTCAGGGGTACTTGGGGCTTAGGGTTGCTCAGAGCTTGGGCAGCTAGGGGCTCTTTCCTAAGTCTTCATGCTGTGTTCCCGAGCTTGGCATAGCAACACCTAACCATGAAACCCCAAACCCCCAGCAGCACTGAGGGAGTCAGCTGCCGGCTCCGTCAACTCCACCGCAGGGCCAGCCTGTGCCTACCACACCACTAGGCCCGATGAGGGATTTGGGATTCAGTTATGGGGACTGGGAGGGGGGCCCCAGTTGTGCCTTCAGTTTGTAGACCTTCGACGCCAAACACGAGAAAAGCAAAGCCAGTCTGAAGCTTCTCAAGCCCTGCAAAACCACCCAAAGCCTCCAAACATTGGCCTAAGCGCCCAAAACCTCAAATCAAAGGCCCCTAGTCGGGGAAACCACTCCGAAGCCCGGAAAGGTTTGGCCCCCGAGTGCCCGCCACCCGGGCACGTGATCGCGACGCCTCTGAAACGAGGCTGCAAAAGGGAACCCCAATAAATCCTACTGCCCGCAGCCTGAACCCCCGACCCTAGGTTCTGAGCACAGCGCTGGGATCGGGGTCGCTAGTTTGGAGGGGGTGCAGAACCTCCGAAAACGCTGTCGGCTTGATAGCAAGGCCCAACAGACGTTCCAGCAAGCGGTGGAACAAGCGGACCAGTTGCGACGGGAAGGGGGAGTGGAAGGAGTTTCCCCGTGAATTCCCGCCATTTGTGGCAACGAGAAGGTTCCAAGACGCGGTGGAAAGCATCCATTCTTTGCAGCGGGAACCAGACTGAGAAGCGGAGAAGGGGGCGAATTCGATTGGTGGAACGACCTCGTGGACGAACTCCGCAGACTTGTAATCATCGCAATCAGAAGTAATTGTGGAAGCTTCCGCCACTAACTGTCACCAGCTGTTTTGTTTATGCCCACGGCGTAGTTGCGAGGGGTGCTTGGCTGAAGGGGGGGTGGCTACAGGGTCGAGCAGTACGGGGGGGGGGTTTCGGCTTTTCGGACGGAATGGTGTCCCGGACTGATTGTCAGGATGGTTTGGTGGTTTCTCAGGAAGGGCTGTCTACGGCCACGGGACCTGGAGCTGGTGTTTTGGGTAGAAGTCGTCACGCGCTTGGCACGAGGAGGGCAATGGGTTGGTGCGATTGTTATTGGGGGAACTCTCCGTGCACGTTTCTTTCCCCAACCTTGTGCTGGAGCCGATTGTGTCATTTTTCACATCCCACATGTGGGGGTCATTTTCGTCAATTCCGTCAATTCTGTCAAGTCAGTCTTGCTCATCGATGCTCGCTGCTATAATGCGCATGTTGCGTGCGCTCCGTCATTTCCGTCAGTTCTGTCAAGTCTGTCAAGTCTCTGGCGCTGTTGGCTGTGGGCCTTCTAAAGTGCACTATCTGACACGTTTGACGAAATTAACGTTGTTGACTCGTCAACACAATCTTGGGAGAACGCGGAGTCAAGCAGAGAGGGTCTTGACGATTGTTGACGGCTGGCATTAAAAAGTGCCTGGAAGAGCTGCGGGCCATTTAAGATGCAATGCTTGACACTTTTGACGGAATTGATGCCTTTAACGCATCAAAATAATCTTGGGAGAGAGGTGCAGCGGTAGGTTTTCCTGTTCGTCGAGGGTTAGTTCGAAGTTGGATGCGATGGGCTGGCTTTGCAGACGCGTCGGATAGACAAGACAGATCATATACAATTTGCTATTTTAGTACATTTCATGTGACAAAAGTGTCAAATAATGTTTTTGCAAAGGCCTTTGGCCATTGTAGAGACAATTTACCACTTGACACTTCAAGTTATACAATGTCAACGGTGTCAAGCCAAGCAAGAGAAGTTAAGAGAGACGAGATGAGGCATGTGCAAGAGCCAACCTGGCCCGAGAGCCTGTGCCTCGCAATAAGCGATGCAGTTAGGGCCCTCAGGCGCTCCCAGCATGGCCGTTACAGTGCTGAACGACCTAAAGGCGCCCATTGAGGTGAAGGACCCAGAAAAATGGAAAGTGGTTTATCCAAAGCAGTCACTGCTTCTGTCAAGCGCGACAGAATCAGTGACACAGGTCCGGCTGCGCGAGGAGCCGGCGGTGCAGAGCACTTGCGAGCGTCAAGGGACGCTGCGCGCCTCTGAGGATTTTGGCGAAGTCAGCACGCGTGGGAAAGACCTGGACGCCTTACATGAAAAATCTGTGGCGAGAGATGCAAAACGCCGATCGATGGCCAGAGAGCGGAAACGGCGACTGCGGCAAGCACGGAAGGAGTTCAAAGCGGAACTCAAGAGCCTTTGTTGCATGGTAGGATCCCTCCTGGGAGTGTTTCCGCCCTTACTGTTTGTATTCGCCTCTGAGAAACCAGAGCACCCAGAGGGCGCAGCTGGAATGGCCGTGATGGCGGCCCTCTTCTGCTGCTGCTTCAGCTTCTTCATCGCAGTGTTTGCAAAGAGCCCCTACAACAAGTTCGCGGCCTGTGCCTTCAACTCCCTTTGCCTTGCCGGGCTCCTGGGCCTTGCGGCTTTGGTCTGGATGACGATCCGGCATACGCAGGAGGGCTTTTGGTGGACCTCGCTCATCCTGTGGCCCGCAGCCTGCTGCGGTTGCTGGCGGATCAACAATGCATCCTTGGATGAGGGGACCACGGGGGCCATGGAAGTGCAGGAACAGGAGTTAGATTCAGCGAAAGCAGAGATTCAGAAGAGAAACATCTGTTTTGAAGGGTCGGTGATCCGCGAGGTTGGAAGGCCCTGCATCACCTCCTGGCCTGGGAAATACGAAGAGGCCTGGGAAAGGCTGGTCGCTGAGAGTCGACGGGGGCAGGTCAGTGCGGCCGTGGTGTTTCTGCCAGACGGTACAAAGGACAGTGGCAAGCATGATCGCATCCCAGAAGAGGAAGGCCTTGCTGGCACCTGCTGGTGCACACCTCTCTACGGCGAGCAGAAGCCGTGGGGCTGTAGGTGGTGGTCGAAGTGGATGGCAAACGTGGAGCTTGCGGTTAAGTCTGGAGCTCAGCTAGACGTCTACTTCATGAAAGGCCAGGTGGGCAAGGGCAAGGTGGAAAGCTTCGACACCGCTGGAAGCGAGCACCTTCGAAGGGAGAAGATCAATGCTAAGCGCACTGACTTCAAGAGCTCCGCAGAGTTCCAAGAAGCCTCCGCCGCAGGTCTCGATGGCCTTTCTCTCGAGCCATGTGAGGACGGCTCCTCCCGCTACACTAAGGAAGTCGACCGCTTGTTCCTCGATTGGCTTCTGCGTCCCAAGCAGTACGCTGTTGCCTTGGTCTTGTTCGGGTTTCCTTAGCTTAAGTATCATTATAATATCAAAGCTACAGAAAAAGCGCGACCCTCATTCCTATCATTGTCAACATCATGCGTGTTTTGCTCATGTTTGTCTTTATGAGTTCTGGCGAACCAAGGCTTCCCAAGGAAGATGCGGAGTTCCTGGAAGTTTCGGAGGGCCTCGGGAATTCACAAAAGGCTGAGGTGGCCTGGCTCGAGCGGAAGGGCTACAGCTACCGTGGGGTCGACGTCGCCACGTGGCTCGCAGATGACAGCAACGAAGGCAGGGCTGCGAGGCCCCATGTCGAGTCAAAGCCACAAAGCGCAGACGCGACACCTTGGGCGCTTCCGCACGAAATCCCAGCAGCCGTATCAGATCTGAACGAAGCCATTGGCTCTCCCGCAGCCCCAGATCTTTTGGAGTAATCAAGGGGCCTAAAAAATCGCCAACACTGTATAACGGGCCCCAAAACCCTGCTCTAATTATTCAGGCCCCTGTCTTAGCTGCTTGAGCTTCGTCAAGAGGATGAGGCCATACTTCTGGAGCTCCAACCTGGGAAGGTTTAGGGTACAGGGTACACACCGTACTCTCTCAGCGGCTCCTTTAAGCATTTTAAGCATAAACTGTGCTTCTGCGGCTTCATTTCAAAACTCTGGTGTGCAGAGCCTGGGGGCAGCGGGGGCGCAGGGTGATTGCCGGCTTTCCATGGAGATTTTGAGAGTTAGAGGGCACACAACATAAGCTGCGGGGTTGCAAGTCTGCCCATGTGCCTACTGCCCCAGATATCGAATCCTCGAACCCAAGTGTCCAACGAAACTCCTGGGATAACGCCTGGATCCCAGTATTAGTAAGGGCTCTCGAGGGGCATGTTACTAGAAATTGTGTCTGCTACGGCCCTGGCTGCAGTTTGTGAAGTCAGGGTTTAGGGCTTCGGGCTTAGCAGCCCTGTAGGCTTCTATGACTGCCATTAGTGCAGGAAGGTGGACAATCAATAAAGTTCGAATTTGATGTCGTACAGCAACCTGTAGCGCGATCCCAGATCGTACATACCTACCTACCTGTTTGGATTTGCCCGCCAAAGCCTATCATCTCGATAAAACCGAAAAGTGTCGCATGTAGCTTCAAACCTGTGAAATGGTGGAAGACTCTTCTTCTAATACTTTCAGCCCTGAACCTCAAATCCCAAACTGTAAAGTGCCATCTCAGGGATGGGCTTATGTATGCCGCCAGGTGCTCCTACCAGTGGTTTCCTGCAAGTTTGCTCCCCCCCCCCTCCCCCCCCAGCCTCTTTACGTTAGTGCGCAGGGCTCTAGGGTGAAAGGCGGCTTTTGAGCTTTGCTTGATCCTGAAGACCAAGTAATTGAAATCAACTGAAGGAGCCCGCTCAGTCCACTCTTTGGCCAGCAGCTGGCAAAAAGTGTAGGCTCATGAACGTAGAATGCAGCACTCTGCCTGGTGTTGAGCTTTCAATCCTTGATTTGATCACTAACTACGTTTTCAAAAGATGTGTACACGCGCAGGTAGAGCGCCCGGCGATATGCTGTCGCCTTCAAGACTGCCGGAGGACGAGCCCATGACGCCCAGCAAGCCACGCCTGGGGCTCGGTTGTTTGAAGCGCTGATGAACGAGGACGTTTTGCAGTTGTAGAGCTGTAGGACCATGTAGGGTGTAGCGGTTGATGCTTCGGCCGGTGCCCACCTGGTGGGTGATTTGGACCGGTCCAGATCCCACTCTCGCGCCACTTGCCGAATTCATCAAGAGGGTGCCCATTTTCTTAGATATGGCCCCGACATGATGGCGAAGAGTGTAGCTGAGTTTGACAGCCGGAGGACGTTAGCACATTTCCGGGTCGATGCTTGAAGTTTCGAGACGCCCAGCAACACCGGAGCCTGCTGTGGAGCACGAGTCTTCAATCAGTTGCTCCGCAACTCAATCTTTAGGCTAAGTCCACTGTGTGTGATCTGAAGCCACGGACCGATACCAACTCCCCAACGCGGAATTCTGAATACCTTGACCTTCTAACGGCTGCAGTGCGGCTCCAAGGACGCCAGGCGCCTCGGATCACGCCAGCCAAAGCGGGCTTTCCAGCCAGCATGGCCGACACGTCGAAGATCTTGCAGCCAGGCCAGAGGGGCGTTTCGAGCGCTTGAACCAACATCCTGCAAGGATTTCATGAATTCACGTCCTCCATCCAAGGCATTCGGCATGTGGCCTTCGACTTCATAACCCGACCTTGTTCTAGAACCTGAAGCCTGGACGTCCCTATCCGTGAGAGGACTTCGGCTTTATTCGGTCTGGCCTAGGATCAGGGGAGTCTAGGAAGCATGTATCCAAGGCTATTGTAGCAGAGGGCTCAGGCGTCCTCCACGCGGAACGAGGGATCTTGGAATCAACCGCGCGGCCCACGGCCCCCAAATGAAAAAGGCCCGCCGCCCGGCCCGCCGCCTGGCCCGCCGCCTGGCCCGCCGCCGCTTGGGCCACCGCTTGGCCCCCCGCCCGGCCCTCCACCCGGCCCACCTCCTGGCTTCATGCCAAACACAGCAGCTGCGCAAGGCAGGAGTTCGAGGGTTGGGGCTTGAGGGCCGTGGGATTTGTTGAGGATGTGAGTTGAGGCTTCAAGGCTCGATGCTTTCAGACTTTCAGGCTCTGCTTTGGGTTTCGAAGTCGGCGGCGCAGCCGTTTTTCCTCGAGTCTGAGTTCTGAAGGTTGGATGCAAGTTGTCAATCCGGCAGGTTACGGCAGAGTCCGCGGATTAGGACTTTGGGCTCGGAGCTAGGATTGGGGTAAAAAAGCTGGGGGTTGTGTGACGAGCAAAACCCTGGTCGCTCTTTGTATCCTAGTGGTGCTGGTGATGTGGGGGCGGTGGTGGTGGGTGTTGAGAATGATGCGACTTTGCCAAAATAACTACAAGAGAATGCCATGCCAGATACAGATACTGGTCTGTTCAGGGCCATGCTTTGCAGCTGAGCGCTGCAGGGTTTGACAGCCCATCATGTTCTAGTGTCAGGAGTCAGCGCTCTTTGTTTGTGGGCTTGTGAGTTGCTGCCTCAACAAGATGGAGGGAGAACAGGCATTTGCCGAAGTCTGTTTTTTGTTACAGCAGTTCCCTTGTTGTTGCATGGGCCCTTCGGCCCGTGGGATGCATTGTGGAATATTGTGGAAGTATGCTTGCAGACCGTGCCCTTCCCTCTGCACCCGAGAACCTTCAAGCTCCAAGGAAGACAAGACTTTCGAAAAGCCTCTTGCACCTTCACAGTCCCTTTGCCGCCGCCCGGCCCACCGCCCGACTTCGCGCCCGGCGCTGCGCCAGGCAGCAGCATGAGGGCTTGGCTTTGAAGGGTTCAAGGCCCAGAACTTCTAATAACGATTTGCAGGGAGGTGCCAGTGTAAGGAACGTGGCAGTCGTCATTTGCGGGCTTTGCCTTTCCACTCCGGCCAGCCAAGACATGGCAAAGCTCTGGACAAAAGTGCATCGCAAAACGCCCAAAGTCTTTAAAGTCATTCTGGCGGGATTTGTGCATTTGTTTTGGTTAGGCGCTTCCCGCTCACCACTGAACGAATCAGACAGCATTGCAGACCAGTGGGAAGATGTCAAACAGTTTTCGAAAAAGCAAACAGCTAAAACACTCTTCAGAATGGTGGTGTGGGGAAGTACCGCAGGGGTGCGTCCGCATCCGGGCATCCAGATCCAGATCCTGCCCTGCTGGGTGCTGGTCCGGATGGGCGGTTGTGGGGGGGGGGGGGGAGGGGTAGTGTTGCACTGGCTGTCACAACCTGAGCCCTAGCGACTGTGCTCACAGAGAGTACCCATCTGCAAGTTTCTTCTCCCCGGGGCTCTGCTGTCGGCGCTGCAGCCGTTTTTCCGGAGCTTAACTTCAAGTCTGTGTTCTGAAGGCTGGATGTAAGTTGTCAATCCCGCAGGCTACGGCAGAGTCTCCGGATTAGGACTTTCGGCTCGGAGCTAGGATCGGGGTACGCAGGCTGGGGGTTGCGTGGGGAGCAAAACCCTGGTCGTTCTTTGCATCCTAGTGAGTGGTGCGGGTGATGTGGGGTTGAGAATGATGCGACTTTGCCAAAAAAGTTTCGCAGGTGCTTACAGACTGTAGTTTTTGTAGCGGTGCCTTTGTTGCTACATGGGTCCTTCTGCTGGCGGATGCATTGCGGAAAGCTTGTTTGCAGACCGTGCACTTCGTAAAGCATTCGATGCCTCAGGCCTCTGCGCCCGAGAACCCTCAGATAAGAGACTCTTGCACCTTCACAGTCCCCTTGCCGCCGCCCGGCCCACCGCCCGGCTTCGCGCCTGCCGCTGCGCAAGGCAGCATTTCGAGGGCTCAGCAATGCTGCACTCTTGCCAAAGGCCTACAGTCCTCACAGCACGGAGCGCATGAAACTCCCTCACAGCTTCCAAATCCGTAGGAGCTCAAAGCCTTCAGAGCTTCTAAAGGCTCAAACAGCAGAAAGCCCCTACGGAAAGTGCTAGTAATGACTTCAAAGACACTGCATTGTTCTTACTGCAGAAGAGACAAGAAACGCAATCCTTAACTCCGTAAATCCCAATGCTAATCAAAACGCGCACCTGAACTACCACACCTTGTGGCCTCTTTGCCAGGTATTCCACACCCCGTCGACCCGCCCAAGCACGGGCCCCAAAGCTGCCGCGAAACCTCAAAAAGCCCGCGCAGAGCTCTTGATGTGATCAAGTGGTAGGTTCTGTTGGCTGGACGGTTGGGGTTTTTAGCTCCCCCCCCTCAGCCGTGTTCAGAGCTTACTTCAAAGATCTGATTCAGGTTGTTAAAGGGTTCAGACTTGTGAGCCCCCCCGCTGAGGACCGTCAAGACAGAGCCGAACGACTGGGATCAGTGGTTCGCGACTGAGAGAAGGAACTCGGGAGGGCATTGGGCAAAGGATTCCGAAGTCCTCTTCAGACTGATCTTTGGGGCGAGGGCATGGTTCAGGACTGGGTTTGGGAAAGCCCAGGCATGGACAAAATGAAGATCCGTGGTCCGAGTGGAACGATGCGTGGCAGACTCAGGTACGAGGTCGGGGTTCCGCATGTGCACTGATGTACACACGAGCACCGAAATCGGACAGTGTCTTTTCCAGTGGCTCCCAGTCCGCCGGAGGCGGCGGTTCGGATTGCGGTGCCACCCTTGAGCATCTTACATCTTATTGTTGTGCTCACCACGTGGGCCTTCGGGAAACGTGAAGCCACGAATCTACATGTCGCCGGTGGCGTGGAAAACGCAGAGTGCACGCAAAAATGAAGCCTTCCCGAGGGGCAACCCACAAAAGCAGAAGCTGCGTGTGCATACACACAATAAAGGAGCGTTCCACGCACCTCCCAAGCTAGCGAGTCTCAGGCCTCCACGACGACTCTAACTGGTAAGGCTTTACTTGCCTGCAAAGTTAGGCGGATTTTAAGGAGGCCGAGCGTCTTCCTGCCAAGGCCCCTGATAGTGGGAAAAAACCACAGAGCTTAGGCTTCGGCATGTCTGGGATGTCGAGCACCCACATGGTTGTATGGCAGGTATGGAGAATTCTGTGAAACGTAAACTCCCTGCTAAGGCAAGGCAATGACCAGAGCTGGGACTGGGGCGCTGAGCAAAAGCCAGCCGAGCCCGGAGCTTAGCAACTCTTGGGAGGGACATTTTTCAACTCGGCGTGATAGAGCTTCGGTATCTGAGGTATCTTAGGGAGCGCTTCTTCGGATCCGGGTGTTGGTTGGTGCTGCGTGAGTGGGCGTTCATGTTGTCTACGCGGGCTGGACGGCACTGCAATTCGACTTCTCTTAGCTGCGGCTCCCTGTTTAACCCTGGCAGCTTGCGGCGGTGCCCGGTTTGGCCAAGCTCCAAAGCCCTTCTAAGGCCGGCCGCGCAAACCCTGGAGTTTCAAGCGCTGGGATTGAAGCCTCCCCCGAAGGCCCTGGAGGGCAGACTTTGTGGGGCTTTAGACTTTTGGGGCTCTTGGGTGCTTCCAGCCCTCTTGGGAGCAAGGAAGGATGGCAGGCTTCACATCTAGAACCTAGGACCTCGGAGGTCGAGGAGATTTTGAAATTAATTGCTTTTGGGATGAGGGCCATCCTTGGGCATATGGCGAGCGAGGGCGAGGGCGAGGGCGAGAGCCCTATCGCAAAAGCACTTGTGTCACACCACAGGCCCAGCAGAAGCAAAGAAGAAGAAGAGAGGGAGACAGAGAGGGGCCGAGGTGGAGAGGGGTAGCCGCTTCCTCAGGTGTTCTAAGCTTTGGAGGGGGCCTGAACTTACGGTGTTTGACTGTGACCACAGAGGCTCTAAATCCGCCTTTGCTACACTTGACTCCTTATCGTCGCCCTTGGCTGAAGAAGAGGTATTCCCGAAATCTCCGACAACCTACAGAAAGCCCGTGGCAAAAGGTTCCAACCATGCCAGTGGTCGGCCAGCCGTGCCCACCGGAAGGCCAGGGGTTGCCACACCGCCCTACAGTAATCCAAAAACCCCGTCCACCAGTTGAACAGCAAGAAACCATCATGTTTTCAGCCCCATGGAGTGTCATACCTTTGTTCGGCGGAGCAGATTCCCCGATGTCGGGGGTGTCCTCCCGAACATGGGAACCAAGCTCGGCTTTGACAAAAGCCTTTCTCCGCTCCCTGAACCGGAACATGAGGATGCAAATGAGGATCTGCAATAAGATGCAGATGATTCTTATGAAGATGAGGATGATGATGAAGAAGAAGATGATGATGATGATGAGGATGAGGATGATGATGATGAAGAAGAAGAAGATTATGATGATGCTGATGATGGTGATGATGGTGATGATGGTGCAAGCCTGACTTCCTGATACCAGTTCTCGGCCGCCCTGGGCCCAGCCGCAACCGCTGCGCATCTCGAGGCCCGCCTGAACGTCAAGGGTTTGGAAGTTGCCCTATCCCCGTGGCTTTCATGGTATTTGTGTAGAAGGGTTTCTTCAGAATCCCCGAGTTTGCTTTGGACACTGAGAGTCTGCTTCCTGCTGCATCCAACAGGAAAGCGGCCATCGGCTCGTGCACGTGCAAACAATTTCCCTTCTCCCGCTCGCAGTTTCAGGCCGAAGCAGAACCCCTGCCAGGGGCACGGTCCTCAGTTCCAGGTTTGGGTCGGATGTAGGGCTTAGGGGATTCCAGCCTCGTGCCCGTGCTACCTATTGCAGTGCCTTGACCCCCCCCCCCCCCCCCCAAAAAAAAAACGCACTTGAGCAGCCCAGGCCGCAGCCCAAGCCGTGGCCGGAGCATGGGCAGATCGGCCGCTTGGCGGTTTACTCGAGTTGAGGATTGAGTTTGTGCCAGCTTCCATGTGTGCGTTGGGGATTTGGGCATGACTTGGCTGCGGCGGGATCCCCAGTCGGCAGGTTTTTTGTATATCCCGAAATCCCGAAACAAATCCGGCATCTCACCAAGGTTTCAAAGCATGTCAAAGAGCCCAAAGACCCCAAATGCCCCAAGCGCCTCAACCATGCCTTTTACAACATCCCCCCAAAATATCGCAAAACCCTATCTCGCCCGTCTCGAGTCCGACATCCTCTGGCGCTAGAGCCGATGACTCCTTGAAATCAAGCTGAGAAAGCCCCAAGGTTGCCCGGGAGCCCTCAGACCATCCAGCTGCAGGCAGGGGAGCATCACTTCGGTGGGTGGAAGAAGAGGGGGGGGGGGGGGTTGGCTGCAGTATGGCTGGGGAAGGCCCGGAAACTTTTTGTTTGAATTGGGGCTGAGGGTGCTAGCTGCTAGATAGTTGTAGGAGCTTGGACCGAAGCAAGTGTCTTGCCGAGCTCCGGTGTTCAAGACCTTTTCACCCAAGGCGCTAATGGCCCGAAGCCTGACCTTCTGGATCAGTCGTGAGTTTCTGGACTGCTGAGCCACTCAAGGCTTTGTCGCGAAAGACGTGCCCACGGAGGCCAACGACGAGCTAGTGGGATCTAGGGTTTGAGTGCTGCGCATTTTGTGTTGTTTGAGGATGTAGCTCTGGCCCTAATACCCCAAACCCGGTTTTTGAATTTGGACTCAAGGTGTTTGCTCAAGGTGTTTGCTGTTCGTAGTTTGGGAGCACTGTTCGACCGGCTTGCAGTGAGTGCTGTGGCCTGATGTCGGCGCAGGCGTAGGCTTGATTTCTCAGGCTTACCGTGACCGCTCAATCCTTGCTTTAACACTCCGTCCTTCCGCTGCCGCGCGTTTTGTCTAGCATCGCCCTGAACAGCCAAAGCCCATGTGGAACACATGTCACTGCCGTAAGACCCCCCTTCTCTTTGGGCTCCACAAGGTGCTTTGGCAGACAATCTGTGAATTCATGCAGTGGGGCTGCAACGCCCGGCAACCCAGCTGTCCGTCTTTACAGGATTTAGGGTTTAGGGTGTTTGAACACAGCACTATGGTACCACCAAGGAAGATCTGCATCTGTAAGCACAAACAAGACCAAGCGTGAACTGGAATTGTGAAGTAGCAATGCGATCAGATCAATGGTCAGTGCAGCCTCAGCCGTCTTCTTGAGTAAGTCGCAGCGACAGAGTTTTAAGAAGTAACGGCCGTAACGACAGCAGCAAGACAAGTTGACTCGGCATCCGAAGCGGCAAGGGCAACCAAGAACAACGAACAACAACAGTCGGAAACCCAACATACGTCTGATGGCGGCAGTTCGCAGAACAGAGAACCCTCTGCCACCCACCCCTCCCCGGCTTGGCATGTCAGCTTCTTGGTTTGCTTTCCATCACTTTTGAACAGAGTTTCTCCGCACTCCACGATTGCTATTAGTGTCGTTTGCAGCCCACTGTGCTTCGAACGGGGCCGAAATCATGAGCATCACAATCTTGGTATCTCAGCTGCTGCAATGTCAGGAAGCTGTTTCCTTCCAGTCCAGCAATCCCAGAAACCAAGTCGCCCGAAAACCCTTAAACCTCAAGCCTGGTATTCTGAACCCCCAAACGACACCCCGAGTCAAGGCCGAGCCCCCCAAGCCGGTCAGGTCCTCAACCTGGATCCCTCGGCCGCTGCCGCAGTGCATGAAATGACCCCGATGCAGGCGTGCGAGCGTTTCTCTTGCGTGGTCTCGGAGTTTCGGGTCTAGGGTCTAGTAGGGTTTAGGGTTTAGGCTTTTCGGGTCTTGAGGACCTTAAGGTGCTGAGGCGAGTTGGGCACCTGCGGCCTCCAAGGCCACTCGATTAGGGACTTTCCCGTTTCACGTTCGGGTTTCAGGGTTTCGGGCATTCAAAAGAGGCGGCTCTTCTGGGGTGCCATTTTACTCTACGGGGCCCTGTAAGTTTCCCTTCCGGGGCTTGAGGACTCAGCAGGGACTGCAGTCCTCGAGGTCCTTAGTTGTAGAAAGAAGTTTAGGGTCAAGGTCAGGACTTCGGCAGGAATTAGCAGAGCTGGGCTAGACATCCTTCTCCGATGCATCGCAGGCGGTGGACGCACTCCGGCTAGCCACTCATGATGAGATACTCGGCTGCCTTTGGGTGCTTATAACGGCAAACCTCTCCCCTGCCACAGATAGTTGAGCAGGGCTTGGGCTTCAAGCAGGGACATCAAGCAGACGAGTTCGGCCTGCACCCAGAAATCGGTTATCTTCTCTCCGTGCTTTTGGCGGCAAGACGAATCCTCTGCGCCAGAGACTTAACCCAAGGCCTCCTCACGCCCCGTGGCCCTAGGGGGCCGTGCTGATAGTTGCGAAGCTGTTTCGTAATAATGGCCGTGTCGGAGAAGCAGCTGAGGGACTGCTATGCAGTCCCAGGGGTTGTGCCTTCTGGGTGCTTGCAGCTTGCACTGTTTAGGAATCCCGGCCAGTTCATCCTCAACTTCAGTTCCCAGCACTGTGGTGTGGCGGGCTTAGCACGTGTAAGTTCTGCAGTGTTTTTTGCACTCAAAGTTGCTAGGACAGGAGGGCTCCAAAACTGCACATTCAGAAGCCCAAATACCGGTGAAAGACAAAAGAGAACCCCTAAACCACAGGATCCTTACCAACCCGCTAGGCTAGGACTCTTTGAGCAACCTCTCAACTGTAGAAATCTTGGGGTACCCCTTCAAGAGCCAACAGACCTACAGGTTCTATCCGATGTTGGGCTCAGTTGGGCTCCCTGTACATGCTGGGGTTCTCAATGATCGAATTCGCCGGAGTTTGTGCAGGATCGGTCCCTGGACGAAGGCGCTCGGGAGCTCATGAGGAAGCTGCCAGTGGAGGAGGCTACGGGCTCCGCGGGGTTGCAAAGGGAGCCGTTCATGGGAGGTGATTTCACTCGCAAGGATCCGAGAGTTTGGGTCGTGCTTGGCTTCCACCTCTGACAGCTCACAGCCCTAGGCCCTCAAGCCCTCCCAACCCACCCGACTTTTCCATCTGGTGAGATTGGCGGAATACTGACTTCCCATAAATCCAGGAGCCCGAAGTCCCCTCGTCCACGGACAGAGCTGATTAGGCGATGCAGCTTTTGAAGAAGCTTCCGGGCACGAAGCCCCGAGCCCGGAGCGGTGTGGGTTGAGGGTTTGGGAATCAAGGAGTTGCGAGTGGCGGCTATAAATCCCCAAAATCCCAACTGCCATATGTAGGAAGCAAGTCGCAAGCGACGAGCTCCAGGCCTTCGCTAATCACCACGCCAAGACGGCCTTCTTCAAGCCACGAAAAAGAACCTTCCACATCCTTTCCTTAGAGTTGACTGGATGTGAGAACTTTTCTGACACCAACTAGAGCATGTGGTGCATCGATCCGCGCAAAACTATGGGGTTAGGGCTTCAGGTTCAGGACCTCAGGAAGGAAGAGCCCTAGCCCTGAACCCTGAACCCAAGCAGTTTGCCAAGGAATCCAAGTGCCTTCGTCATCGGCTACGTGCTCCGCTATCGAAGGGAGGAGCGGACCAAGACAGCAAACTGGCGGAGTTGGTAAGAAGTTTCACTGAAGCTGGCGAAGCCTTGCTATATTTTGCGGGGAAGTGTAGGGCCTAAAGTATGCTTAAGTTCTAGGAGGCTTAGGGTGCAACGTGTAGGATGAAGGCTTGAGAGCTTCACTTTGCACCTCCAACCACACCACTGTGGTATTGCAGCTTGTCTCTTGCAGTTTAGAAGGTGTGAGAGGAGGCCCCCCGCAATCCACACATGCAACCGTTCCAAGTGCTTCTTAACCCTGAGCCCGAAGAGTCCTGAACAGCCAGAATGTTACGCCTATGTCTTGAAAGCATGGGAAATGTTTACTCATGGACTGATTTCACTTCCTGGATCAAATTCAAACCCCAGCGGCCTCGACCCTAAGCTCAGTCTCAAGCTCACTTCTTCAGTCAGTCTTACGTGGCTATTGGCCTTGAACATGTGATGTCGCCCCCTCAACATAGCAAGGGCAACCCCTCCCGAAGGCTGCAACCCCACCATCTCCGGCAGGCTTACTTCAGGTTCAGCTCGCAGCGCACTGTTTTAAAAAAGGTAAGGATATGGCACCTTCCCACCCCCGTCTCCCCATATCTCGTTGCGGGTGGGTGCTCCGTTACCCGAGCCGTAGTCAGTGTACAGCGCGGGCACACTCCCAACCTTGAGGGCTGAGGGCCCTACACATCCGTACACCCAGGGAGTTCAATGCGGTGCTGTGCAGCGCTCTCAGTTCCTTCAGAAGTTGCGTGTGCCTGCCCTAGTTAGTGCGTGCTCAGTGGACTCCAGTGAGCACTGGCAAAATTCGAAACCGGGGCTCGTGTGTGGTGTCCATGATTGGAGGATGCTGGGGGTGAATTCGGTTAAAGGTTCGTTTCTGCGAGTCCCCTATCAGCTTCGGGGGAATGGGTGGGGCCTGCAGGGACAGCAGAAAGATCACCAGGGAGGTCAATGCTAGGCACACGAGACGCGATTGTGCCGACATGCGCGAGCCCCATACGTCTTGCGCGATTTGCTTGTGTGAAAGGGCTGCAAGGATGGCAAGCTGAAGAGCAGCTCTATCCTTTGGAGCTGCTTCTGAAACCGGAAACTCCAAGAACCAACACCCTAAGTCCCAAAGACCTGAAACACTGAGCCTGTAGCAGCTCCCTTAAGCATCGGTGCGCCTAAATTGCAGCCTGATTGAATCTCAAGCCTCAGCGCTCTCTCAGCAGGATGCAATCCTTCGAGGTGAACGCTTCACTGAAACTTAAGCCCAAACTGAGCATCCTCAACCCCAAATCCAGTTTCGGCCTCTTGCAGGGAGCGAACCCACAATTAGGTGGTTTCCATGCGGTTAAAAAAGGCAGCAACTGAGAGGGAGGATCCGCGGTTTTGGATTCAGGGCTCAATCTTTGGAGTTTCCCTGTCAAAGCCTCAGCGTACTTGGTGTAGTTTGTGGACAGAGTTTAGCAACTGCTCGTACTTCTTGCAGGCCATGAGCTTGAACGCTGCATTTGCAGTTGCTGCTGCCTGGCTCAGCAGCGCCAATGTAACAATGTGCCATAACAAAAATCCCTGCAGCCACAGCATCAAAAAGCACTCCTGGAAACTCAAAGCAGCCAAAGAGTTGACCTGAACCTGAAAACAAAAAATCCTGAGCTCCAAAATCTCCAGAATTCAGAGAGTGGGATTGGGTACTTGTTCAATCGGGGCCTCTTCAGATAACCCCTTCCAAACCCCCGACCTCACCAAAACCTGACACATTCCTTGCATGAGCTGTCACAGAAAATATGAAGGAACAGAAGCTAGTGTTTTTTCGGGATGGCTGTCTGCTGTCCATGATTGCTTGGCGAGCAGCAGAGCCATGCGCAGCAGGCTTGCTCACAGCAGGGGCGAGTATGCTTTGCCTGTCGGCCGTTTGTTAATTCTTTACCCTTCTAACTTACAAGACTATTTCTTTATACTTCAGAGAGCTAACGAGGCCAAAGAAGGAACATGGAGCAAGACTGGCAACACTGTTACGAAGCTGAACAGACTGCGTCAACACATCGGCGAAATGTCTTTTGCATTTGTCATCCCATAGCGAATCACACTGGCTGAGGGCTTTGCGATCACGTGTACAAGTTGAGCTGGGATGGTTGCATTGCGGCTTTCGCTGTTTTCAGGCCAGATCCGCGACGGCAAGGTGATAGATACCCAAAGCGACTGCTTTTCTTTCTACAACCCATTCTTACAAAACTCCCCACAGTACCATACAAATGCCGAAGACAATGTCGATACCTGGAGGGCAGGAAAGCCACCGTGTTTCTAGCTTGGGAGCACAGAGTTTCTAAATTCGCAGTTTTCAAGCTTAGTCGCGACAACCCCCGACCACCCTTCACGCATGCCTCCCCTACAACCCTTAGGCCCTAAGACCCTCACCGCTCGAGCTACCAGCAGCTTCTCTTGCAGACAGGTTGCCAACGGCTCTCAACGACACGATCTGGCCGGTACGCGAGGAAAGGGGCTTCGAAGAGACCATGGCTTCAGGTTGAGGATGAAACGATGCGGCCTTGTTCCTTCTTTTTCAATCGTGGTTGTTTGCCGCCAAAAGCTGAGAACACAGCCAGGTGCAACAGCTGTCATTGATCCACAACCTGACACATCGTCATGTTGCCCCTTGGTTGTCCACGCGATGTTGTTCACTCCCCACACAGAGGAGAATCCGTGAGCTGGGCTCATAGCGTCCTGCGGTTGTTGCTACAGTATGATCCGAAGTTTCATCCCTGTCTTTGGCATGCAAGAGCACTGGCTCATTCGCTCCTCTAGAGAACGAGGCATGGAATCTTCTCCTGCTTTGGGCTGCTATTCAGACAAAAAGTGCCAGTTGTAGAAGGACTGGAATGAAGGCGGCAGAGACCCTGGAATTCAACTTCATTTTGCAGCCAGGGTCAGCTTGTTGCAGGATGGCGAAGTGCCCCTGCCGGACGGTTTGCTCCACAACCGAGCGGAGAAGAGGCCCTCCCTGGGGGCCGGAATGAATTAAGGTATGTGCCGAGTACGGTTGAATAACGTGCCGAATGAGTGTGGACTTCTGTTTTACGGATTTTTTTACGTTTGGTCTGCCTTTTGGCTGTCTTGGCATACAGGGCTTGCGGAGGGTTGCGGGCTTGGGGCCTTCTGAAACCCGAAATGAGCTCAGAGGCCCGAGGATTCGCTCCTTTTTCCCTCCTTTCGCGCTCCGAATCTGGCTTCGGAAACACCAAAACAAGATTCTCTGGAGCCTAGAGAAGATTCCTGCAGCGCAGGCACGCTGAGGAGGTGGCCGACTGGGCGAAGATCCCTCACCAGGACTGGCGAGGGCCATCTGCGGGCTAGACTTGGGGCTTTGGCGTCACGACGCAGGCACTACAGGTCCTACCGTGCCCTACGTACAGGTCACGTCTTGTGAGTTTTGTGCCCCCAGAAGCCAGTTTCATCAATAGGATTTTAAAGTAATATGATGGAAGAGAGTTAATGCAGTTTGGACGATGGGACACTGCTTCCATGGGCTCGACCGAAGATCCCACATCATGCATCATTCGCGATTGTCATGCATGTTCGTGAGGAGGCACGTCAGCTAACGAGTAGTTAAAACGCAATTGGGTTCAACAAGCTTCCACCCAAGGATTGGCTCAAGTTCACCACGGAGTCAGGCCAGCCGTAGCATGGTGCAGCATGTCATCCGGGGCTTGCTCGAGTGCATGGTATGGGGCGGGGATTCAGTACATCGCCCCTTCTGCTCAAGACCTTCCAAGTTGTCACTCCAGGTTCTGCAGGGGGTCAAACAGGGACCATACAGCTGGGCGATACCCATATCAGGTGTGACTCTTAGGTACTGTCGGAGAAACCCGCCCAAACGCGTCCCGAACCTGTTGCTATGGTTTACGGATTAGGGTTTAGCGTCTTGGCTTCGGCTCCGATGGACCCATAACAGATCGAAGCTCCGAAGCCCCGCGAAGACTCTGAAGAAAGCGGACCTTGTTCCTACAGCTACTAGCGAGTGAAAGCCAGGCGGCCAAGCCTCAAGCGTCGCATATTCCTTGGCCGCGTTCGCACCGTTTTGGGTGGGCATTGGGGCTTTATGTCGTTTTGGGGTAGTAGCAGGCGATAACTGCCGGTATCGGGGGGAAACAGCCTTAGGGAAACATGCCTAGGGCGTGCAGGGCGCATCGTCTGGTCTAGGGCCGAAGGCTTTTTGAGGTTCATCCCAAAGAAGCTTGCCTGCCGCAGAAACCATCGACCGAACAGACCTTTTGTCTTCAGACTGGGCGCGGGGCCCCAGCAGCGGGTTGCCGAAGCTACCAAGGCTTCAGGGTGATGTTTAGATGCCTCGTTATGTAACCACATGTTCCCCCTGCCCCCCCCCCCCCCGCCCCCCGGCCGCCAAAGGGCCCGTCCCCCAAGCTTCACAAGATTTCGGCTTTTATGGGCTGTATTCATCACCAGACCCGGGGCCTTAACCCTTCAACCACCCCCCCCCCACCACATCTTCATCGTATCGAGTCCATAGGACCCATAGAACCCGAAACTCTGAATCCCACATCCGAAAATGCAAGAAGGTCCGCGCAGAAAACCAGAATGCACAGACTCAGCAGCGCAAGCCGCCAGACCCAGAATTCAGAATGAAGAGTGTCTCGGTTGCTTTGCTGCTTCGTCACACAGCTCTAGCCCCTGATGGAAGAGAGGTGTGCGAGCCAGGGGTTCCGTGAAGCCTAGTCCTTGAGACCTTAGGTGCAGAAGACCGACGAGTGCAGAGAGCACATGCTGGATCCCGACGGCGAGGCTCACTGGCTGAAGCACAGGGATTAGTGTCACATTTGTCAACGAATCCAGCATTTCCGAGTAGCTTTGTTTGCCTGAGCCACCGAGATAGCTGAGTTGCTGAACGCTGAAAACCCTGAAGCTCTCAATCGGACACCTCCTCCGCACAACCTCCAATAAAATTCCCAGCCTTTTGTTCAGTGATCCTCCCAAGCGGAACGAGAAGTAACTCTGCGTGTGCGAGGGCCTCTCACTGGGGTTCAA